TCTCGGTCCTCCACCCTTGCTTGATCCCATTCAGGGAGCGCCAGGCGGTAACAAGAGATCGGCCAGTACGCTTAAAGCAGACCCGCTGCACAGTGACGGCTCGCTTGTCCTTGGTACCGCATACGGTGAGGTCCTTGGGTTGGCAGCCAAGAAGACGCTGGATGTGGTTGAGAGCGTCCATGGTTTCTCGGTTGGATTTGTGGAGGGTGAAATGAATGTAAGGACCCAGCTTGGGTTGGTCTGTCCCGATATCAGCATGAGGCGTAGGCAGGTTCATGGCAGCTTACCGGCGCCACGTCGCTGGCCCTTGCCATAACCAGTCTTCTGCTGTCCATTGGACCATTTTATGGCAAGTCTCTGGGAATCTTCCCCCTTGACTTCTTTGGTGCTGCTCTCAAACATATTGGGGAAAACCTCTCGGAGGATTTTGTGGCAAGCTGTACGCTCTTCTTTGGAGTCTATGGGCTACTGGAGATCAGCTACCGCTGTATAACGGGCGATGCAAACTCACCTGAGAGACAACTTCACGCTCATCCTCGTACGCCAGCCACCAGCTTCCAGAGTCGGCATTCCTGTCCCCGGCCCGGCCACCTCTTCTGCCCCTCCCACCTCTGCCACCGTCTCGTCCGCGTCCACGATCCCTCCCCTGCCCTCTGCCTCTACCGGACCCGGATGCCTGGTTCATGGCAGCCTCTTCCGGCGTCTCCTGCTCCTTCGGCTCATCAGCACTGGCCTCTCCTTCTTTGGACTTTCGAGCACCCCATCCAGAGTCGCCTTTGGGAGGCGCATTTCGCCCTTGAAGAACGAGAGCGTGGAGGGCGATGATGGTCTCGTCGGAGAAGTGAGCACGAAGAGTGGTGGTGGTCCCTTTGGGCCAAGAGGGGTGTTCTGAAAGACGGAGATTCTCTGGAAGATCCTCTTCCTTCTCTTCTTCAGCCTCTCCTGCCTCGGCGTTCAGAGCATCCTCTTCGGATGCTACTTTCTTTCCCTTGTTTCCTTTGCTCGGCACGGAAGGATCTTCAGGCTTGTTAATGTTCTTGAGCCTCACCACCTCCCCGTCAAGACCAATTTCGTTGACCAGGAAATCCGTAAACCTGTAAAGTCGCATTAGCCCAGCTGTCCAGTTCAATTGCGCTCTTCAGCACATGTAGCTACTCACGCACCGCTGTTTGATAACACCCCTGACACCTTTTCCCTTCCCAACAAAGCCTCTGATACCGCACTCTTCTTCGCCGACAAAGCCTTTACGGGCGACCATATCGGGGTCCAAGCCAGTGACGAGTTTAAGAGAGGGCGGGAGGGCCCAGTGTGTGGGTTTCAGACCAAGCTTTGACACTGGGTCAGGAAGGCGGCGGTGGGAAGCATGGAGGTGGTCTGTATAGGACGGTTGGTTGCTTGGTATGGGTTCGCCAGCGGGTGCTTCTGCTTGGGCTGGAGCAAAAGTTGGGGCAAGCGCGACGCTTTCGGGCGTTTCTACGGCTGCGGTGTCGTCGATTTTTGATCGCTTGGCCTCATCGTGGGCTGCAGGGTCCTCAGCTGGACGCTTGTGGGCGTTTTCTGGTGCAGACATGGCGGAAGGGTGATGGAGAGGCAAGATCAACTTTTCGCGATTAACTTTTGCGGTGGTTACGATAGTTACAGATAGTTACTGCTGTTTCTAACAACGGTGTTCCGACCATGATCTGAACAAATTATTGCACTCCACTCATCTCATACTGGCCACGATGAGCTCGTCCGATACGTGGGTATACGACGCAGCCTCAGGAGTATATTACCACGCACCATCGAACACCTACGCCGTCCCCGACCCCACCACAGGCCAGTGGTCTTACATTCCCGCACCCCACTTTCACCATGCCTCATCTTCCACCGGTTTCTCGAACCCCGCCCCAGCACAAACAGCCAGCAGCGAAAGTAATAACACTGGTGGATTTCGGGGTAAAGAAGAAGGGGAGGTCGAAGACGACGTCGGATGGGGCGGTTTGATGGAGCCTGAACAGCTAGCCGAAATACAACGGACCGGAAAGCTCAAGGAGAAAGGTGTGACGGGGAAGGCTGCACCAGCCGCTGCTGAACAAGAGATGGCGCCATATGGGGACACGCCGTCTTACGATGATCCAGCACTGTACGCCTATCAGTCGGGCGCAGACGAAATTCTCGAGCTACCCAAAGAACGCCCTGACCATCTTCTCCGGCTTGTTGTGCAGGCCACCGCAAGCCCCAAGGTTGTCGTGGGGCAGGTGGCCGTCATAGATTCGAGGGAAGGTGGTGTTCAGCTAGGAAGAGATCGATGCGAGAGGGGCGCACAGGCGCGAGTGCGGCTACGGGAGCTGGAAGTAAGCAAGACTCACGCGGTTGTATATTGGACAGAGGAGAGTCAAGATGAGCATGATCAGGAAGGGTGGCGGGTGGTAGATCTTGGTAGGTGGCCCTATGTACCGAGCCATATTTTGCTGAGCTGATACGCCCCAGGATCCACCCACGGGACATTCATATCGACGCCTCTCCGGGGTAACGAAATGACCGCCCCATACCGTCTGTCGGAACCCAAACACTCTTCGAAACCAGTCGCTATCTCCCATCTATCCACCCTCACCATTGGCTCCACAACTTTTGAAGCCCACATCCACTCATCCTGGCCATGCGACGCCTGTAAGCTCTGTGGCACCAATGAGCTGTCTCTCGAGACCGGTGAAGTGCCCGTAGAAGGCAAGTCACTCAAAGATAAGGACGCCGAGGAGCAAACCTGGGACGTTGCGATGAGCTCGAGAGAGAAATGGGGCAATCGAGATGCTCGGAGGAAAGTCGAGATGGCAAACCTCAAGGAGAATCTTATGAAACGAAATGGAGGTGGAAGCGGTTCGAATTCACCGGCGGCAGAACCTGCTCGCGAATACATCGACCGCTCAGCTATGCGTCGTCAGCTTCGTCCCAAATCACCGCCTCGCAAAGCTGCTACCCCCGCTACATCTGCTGCTGTAGTGTCAGCGGCGCCTGCTCCAGTGCAGAGTAAATTTGCTCAGGGGATGTTGGCCAAGCAAGGCTGGCAAGAAGGGAGCGGGCTGGGCAAGGATGAGACTGGGAGGGCTGTGCCGCTCGATACCCAGGTGAGAACCAAGAAACGGGGTCTGGGTGCGGAAGGAAGTGTTGATGATGGGGATGGCGATTGGAGAACAAAGGCAAAGATGAGGCGGTGGGGGGAAGTCCGCAAAGGATAGTGTACGACATGTTGTACTACAGCTAATGCATCGTTTTGATGTCTTTTTGTTTCTTCTTCCATTCCTGCAATCACTCGTTGTACTCTTCGCCCAAAGTTGTGCCCTTGGCATAATCGATAAACTTCTTCATACGCTCATACACCTGCAATTTCTCGTCAGTATAGCTCAGCAGCACAAGAGCGATGACCTACAGTGAACACAATAGCCTGACCAGGAGCAACACGAAGAACACGGGGGGTGATACCCTTGTAAAACGCCTTTGCGCCTTCATTCCTGAACATTTCTGATGTGACCGTGACCATTCGTGAAAGAGCGGTCTCGCCTTCGGCCTTGGAAGCTTTTTGGATACGACTATGACCCGCTGGGTCAGCTGCGTCGTGTGTACTCGGCTCGGTCACTACTTACGTTTTGATAGTATCGATCGGCGCATTGGAGAACGGTCCCATAGCACCACTGACCAGCCCCAAAGCCATAGTCTGCCAGCTTGGTAGCTGTCCGCTCTCGGCATATTGCGGCTGGTAATCCATTGCCCATTTCTTGAACTGCTGGTAAGCGGTAAAGTTGACACCCTGGTTGGTAGCTTGGCGGAGGGCTGTGAGGGAAACTCCACGGTAGAGGGTAGAAAGACCTTCTTCGCGGACGATTGTGAAGGCGGCGTGGGCGGCATTGCGGTATCGGGGAACGTCGAGAGGGTCTGCAAGTGAGTCTAGAGAATAGCATGAGCAGGGCACGAAAAGGGTGGGAAAAGACGTACGTTGTTGAGCTTGCAGTCTGATTTTGACGACCTCCATGGGTGTCACAACGGCAACAGCTTCTGTGGCACCAGCACCAAGACCAGCCAAAAAGGTGGCTTTGGCAGTGATTGTACCATCAGATGAGGAAAGCCAAGATTTGTACACTGAATATTCGCGTCAGTGCAGCCCTCGAGCAGAGCTCGCTCTCTTCTGACTCACTTTCGAAGGACGCAAACCGGATGGCCATCTTGGGCACAATACCACTGACAACAGCCCCAAGACCCTTATACAGACCGAGAGGTGTTTCTCGAGCAGCAATCTGTCGACCTGTAGCAAAGAAGCCCAGAGGTTTCAGCTACATGCCAGCCTGTGAGCAAGAGTACGAGGGTCAACGCGGGAGACATGGACTTACGCCCCTAGCCTTTCTTGACTTTGAAAGCTGCATTCGGACTTTGATGGTGTCTAAGGGATGACTTTACATGATATCAGCAATGTTACGGAGCAAAGAGGCTCGGCACTCACCAGACAAGGGCTTCCGCCAGACCAGCTGTACCACCCGCAATCAGATGTGTGCTCAGTGGCACTTTGTCCTTGACCATCTTGGTCGTCTTGGGGGGAGGAGGGTCAACGCGGTCTCCTGTGAGACCTCCTCCGAAGGGTTTCGAAGTCGAGGTAGACATAGTGGTGGACTTGTAGATGTGTTAACGTAAGAGAGTAGAGCCGGAAAACGCTGATTGATGTGGTTCGAGAGCTGGCTTGATGTGTATGGGAAGAGCTAAGTGATAAGTGTAGGTTGTGGTATGATTGTTGACTTGGAATACATCCTCGGCCTTGTCTTATATATGAGCTTCCCGTAACAGAATGACAGAAGAAGTCAATTTTCGCGAGTGGACGATAACCGGTCACTCAACAACCGGCTTTATGTCATCACGTCGCGTCGGTTTTACTCGGAAGCCGCCACCTTTTATGCTCCCGTTCACCTATTTCTTGGGCTTCCGACTCGGTGCATGGGATAGAGCATGCTAACAAACGAGGCAGGAAAGCACAGCCAGCGTTCCGATCCGATGCATAAAGTATCTTGCACGGAGAGTTACAGTCCATATCTTCGGCATTAAGTGGAGGCAGGCCGAACGCCGATTATGAGAGAGGACACAAAGTATTATTTCGAGTAAAGATCATGAAAGGGGACAACGCAGCCCCCTTCTCATCTCTATATGTACATACCCTCCGGAAGACCCATACTGTATACAACAAGTCACGTCCTATCTATATCCCTGGCCCTAGCAATTGCTACAGCGCCCTTCGCCAACCATCTCTCGCAGACTAACGCTGTCCCCCCGTCTCTTTCTCCTCGTCGACCCAAATGCCCCGCCAAGCCTTGAAACGCTTCCCACAGCACGTAGTTGGCGCTCGCCATAACTGACGCCTGTACCAGCAAGATCTGGGTCGAGGGTTCCAGCATCGATGGAAGAGAGGATTGTGCGGCTGGCGAGGAGGAAGGGGGTTTGAACGTTTTCACCAGTGTAGGATGATACTTCCACAAATATGAGATCTTGAGAGAAATCGTCAGCGTCGACATCCAGAGAGCCAGGGGTTCGTACTGTTCTCCTGTGCCCATCTGGAACCCTCCGAGTATTCCACTTCTCTCTCTTCTTCCCTGTCCAGCTTGTTGCCTACTAAGACTACCACCAAATGAGGTGAAGCCAATGCTCTACAGTCTGCTAGCCATCTGCCGAGGTTCATGAACGATTGCCGTCTGATATCAAAGTCAGTACAGATAGCGATCTCGCTGTGGAATCCAACTCACGATGTGATATCATACACCAGCACAACGCCTGCGGCACCCCCTGTTGACTGATTAGCCTTGAACCTGTACGCAGCAACATAATGCTTACTATAATACGATCTGGTTACCGACCTGAACCTCTCTTGTCCAGCTGTGTCCCATAGCTAGGTGGGCCTATCAGTGATCGTCTAGCCGCAATGACCTCGCGCCTGGACTCACCTGTAGTTTGATATTTCTGTCTCCTATACGTAATGTTCTACTAGAGAACTCGACGCCAATGGTATGTGGAGAGTTTGTCTTGACTATATATACTCGTGTCAGTGACGGACAAAGGAGTGCCTGCGGGACTGACAATGCTCGTGAATGCAGTGGTACAGTAGACATGATTTGCCTGTTCCCGCTTCTCCTGTTTGACCTCGTTAGATCCTCACACTATGCATACTGTAAAGGACACACCTATGACTATGAATTTGAAGAGGTAGTCTGAGAGCTCCATCATCAGCGGGCACACCAGCGGCGGCGGGTCAAACGGAAAGCGTACCATAGGCCTCTACGAGTTCTGTTCCTTCGCCGTCCATAGCGCTGTTGGTGAGCTCCTGAGCCTCTCTTTGACTCGTCTAATTGCGCCGACTTCTGTACTAAAACTTGTGATGCATGGGCCGACACCATAAACTGCATCTTGTCAACAGAGGGCGGGCATGTCCGCGCATTACGTATGTATTCGGGCGGCCGGCTGTGCATCTCAAATGGCCCCTATCTCGCTACAGCTATTGAATCTTTTCTCTTTTCTCTTCTCCATCTGCTCGTACACTGCCCCCCTTCTCCCGCGATGAGCTACCAGCGCCCCGTCGGCCGCGTGAGTATCTCCAGCCCTCGTGGCTCCTTTCGTGCTTTGCTGTTCTCCTACTGACCATCCCCTTTCGCCGTTATCCAGCAACAGCCAAGGCGCTATCGCCTGGATCCCATGATGACAAACTTTAGTGTCATCATGGCCCTCAGCAACCGTCAGTATACCAACGACCCAGAGTAAGCTTGTGCCGTCCCATTCCGCATCAAGGCTGATGTCGATTCGCCTAGATACGTGAAGGAGGTCGTAAGAAACTACATAAACGTCAAGCAGAGCCATGGAAGACAGTCATGGGAGATCAGTCAGAAATTGGAGCTCATCGAACGGGATGTAAGAAAACTTGCTGGACGAGTCGATGGGGCGCTGATGTGTTTGCAGTTCTCACAACACGCCATGTCGTTCGTACAGGCTAGGCGAGAGATGGGTCTGCCACCATCTCGAGTCATCCGAGTCCTCGGTACAAACAACAGTACTTCCAATAACTCCCTGTACCGTGCTCAAACCACCTCAGGTGCCAGCGCCGTATCTCATCGCCCCAGTACTGCCAGCACCAGCAGTCGGCCGGCGGCTCCGAATCACAATCGCCGCACGTCTGCCCCCGTGGTGCGAAGACCTCAGCAAAGAGACCCAGAAGCAGGAGAAGATGTGCCGCCCCCTCCTTACGCGAGCCAAGATCCCGATCCGGAGGCTACACGGCTCTTGCAGGAACGTCTGGCAGCAGAGTCGGTTAACAACCCTGCGGTCACTGCTGCCGTAGCCACCCCTCATACCCCTCATACCCCTCAGAACTCTACACCTGCAGCTTCTTCCCCAGCTCCCTCGACGCCCATGAGCCCGCCCGCACAGCCGATTGCGTCTACACAAAACGCAGAATCTTCTCAGGCTCAGTCTTCCCAGTTGCCTAGGCCGCCATCAGACCCAGAAATGGCCAGAATCTGGGAAGAATCCCAGTTTGAAGAAGCCAAGAGAATGAGTCTACAAGCTCAGAGTGAGCAAGAGCAGCTGGATGAAGCTATGAGATTGAGCTTGGCGGAAGCCGAATCAAGAGCCTACAATGACTCTTCGGAACCAGGACCAAGTCACTTGCCTGTGGTGACCGAATATGAGCCATACCAGCCTCCGGTACAGCAGAACGGCGGGTATGAGACAGGGCTCAATTCCGATCTTGCGGGTCTCAACATCGGGGGATCTGAGGGGTCATATGCGCCCCCCGCTGGCGCACCAGCAGGAAACAACCGTTTCAGCTCAATCATGGATCACGATGACAACCCTAGCGGTTTCTCGCAACAGCCTCTCACCCCATCAAAGACTGGGCCTACCATGCAAAGCAAAAATCCTTTCCTGGCTCCGTCTGAACAAGAGACCCATGAGGCCGGTAGCCCGCAGTCATCTCCATATGGCTATACACAACGGCAACCGGAAGAGCCTGCGGGGTCTAGCCACACGACTTATACTCCACCTGCGTACGCCCCACCGCCGGGAGCCCCTCCACCCCATCTCGTCATTCCCAGCTCTACTCCTTCTCGGCAAGTCTCGAACGAGAATATCTATCAGTCGCCTATCCAGAACTCACCTTCATCTCGTCCTTTCGAACCAACACCCGACGTCGCGCCCCCGAGCTATCCTTCTCCTCGAGCGGCTGCCGCCGCACCACCCTCCGACCACCCATCCCTGACTTCATCTCTCTATGGCGCTCGGGCCACCGACTTCGATGCGGCAGGCAGCAGCTTGAGCGGCGGTGTACCTCAACCTGGAGGTATCTCTACTGGAGCTGGACAGACGCCCGACAGGAGACGTACATCCTATGTTCCTCCCAGGAGCGGAGAAGATCCTCTAGAGATGTTGAGAGAATTCGACACTGTCTTCCTTGTGGATGACAGCTCGTCAATGGCTGGGCCATTGTGGAGAGAGGCGAGAGCTGCCATCATGGATGTTGCAGAGATTGCGTCTCGTTACGATGAGGACGGTATCGATATCCACTTCTTGAACAGCAAGCGAGTCGGTAGAGGGCTTAAAGGGAGGGACGATGTTGAGGAGTTGTTTGAGGGGCTCAAGCCCCGTGGTGTGACCCCGTGAGTAATGAACGATCAATTGTAGAGTAGCATCTGATATACTATCAGTACTGGTATGAGGCTTGAAGCCATCCTGAGGGACTACATGACTCGACTGGAGCGCGCTTCGACCTTGTCTCCCTCCATTGGATCATCATCGGAAGAACATGTGAAACCTCTGAACGTGGTCGTTGTCACGGACGGCGGTGAGTGCTTCGTTCTCCTCTGCGACGTATGCTGACAGTCCACCCTGATAGCCCCAACCGATGATCCCGAGTCAGTCATCGTCGCAGTGGCTCGCCGCCTTGATCGAGGTGAATACCCCTTGTCACAAGTCGGCATCCAATTTCTCCAGATTGGCGACGATGTGGGCGCTACCATGGCTCTCCAGCAGCTTGATGATGAGCTCAGTGAGACACATCAGATCAGGGATATCGTCGATACTGTGCCAGACTCTGGGCAAGAGATGACTGCACAGTTTATCATCAAGACGTTGCTGGGTGGTATCAATAGGAGGCTGGACAGAAGGGGGTGATAGGTGTCTTGGGATTGGCGTTGTAGAAGGCATGACGAGGCTCGTTAGCTCTGCTGGCTACCTAGCGATCGTTTGTAGCGAATACCGTACATACTTTATACTGTGACTTGGTATTATAATCTCTGATGTGAGTTGATCTTGGGCACGTAGCTGGATGCATATATATAGGCTGCCATAATGAGATGAAACAAGTCAATGCAATGGTCATAAATCCATGGATATTCTGTACTCGTACAGGTACTGCTGCTCCCTGTGTCGGTGGAGGCCGCTTCTGTCGAAGGCGACGCGTTGGTCACGATTCGTACGAACGACTTCTTTCTCTGAAGAGTTGCTCTCTCCTGATATCAACCCCATCCGCGTCACCGAGATGTACCACCCCAAAGCCCTCATCCTCGCCCTCCTCTTCTCTCTTTCGCTGATCCTTGCCGCCAAGTCTAGCGAGCAGCTCCAGATCGGCGTCAAGTATGTCCCGGAGGAATGCCCTCTGAAGACCAGAAAGGGCGACAAGTTGTCTATGCAGTGAGTCGGCAGGAGTCATACAATTACCCTGGTATAGAGCAAGGATTTGAGCTAATGCTTTGCACAGCTACACTGGTACTTTGGCTAAGGACGGGAGCAAGTTTGACAGCTCTTTGGATCGAAACCAGCCTTTCGAGTTTACTCGTGCGTCCTTTCCTGATATGTCTCGCGAGTGTGTAAGCTGATGCAGATGATCGAAAAGTCGGTGCTGGACAGGTCATCAAGGGATGGGACCAAGGTCTTCTCGACATGTGTATCTCTGAGAAGCGTAAGCTCACCATCCCCCACACCCTCGCTTATGGTACGTCACAATGGTCATATGATTACGAGGCATGGCTGATCTGCTGGATGTCACAGGCGAGCGAGGCCACCTCCCTGTGATTCCTCCCAAGAGCACTCTTGTCTTTGAAGTTGAACTTTTAGGCATCAAGAACCGACACGTTGACGAACTCTAAACCATGTATCACCTGAAGCAAACAAGTCCACAATGTTCTCGGGGCAACACAAACATACACAAACATGCATCGTATCTCGGCATTTTATGGATATGGCTTTGGACAACAAGACGGTAGACAACAAGATAACACTGTCCTGATCACTTTGAAGATATGTCGGTAATGAAAACAGGATCATACCGCAACGGGCTGTGAAGCCACTTCGCCTCCCTCTGGGAATCGCTCGACCATCCAAGAGAGGAAACTGGGGACATCCTCCGAGATACTATTGGGTAGAGATCCGTTTGTGACGAACCGGGGGATGTTGCCTTGCAAAATATGTATCAGAGCAGCCTTAGTCAAGATGTACACCGACGACTCACCTCCGGCATCGCTGCTCGTCGCCATTCTCCACTCCACCGTCCTTCCACCGTCCGTTTCTCGGACCCTCTCTACACTGACGTATTTGCCCCTCACCCGGCCCTTCTCCCCACCCTTCTTCTCAGGGCAGTCGGGGTGTATAAAGGGGATGGAGATGTTCATAAACGTGCGCTCGCCCTTGGGAGAGGTAACGAGTTCACGGGAGAGAAGGAGGACTACAAATGTGCGCGGGTTTGTCGGGGGCGGCGTCTTGTACGTAAGGCGCCAAACTTCGGCGACGTGCTTCTTATAGATATGAAGACACTCTGTCTCACGGCAAGACTCGATATACTCTCGCTCGTTCTGTGGAATTCGTCAGCTTCTCACAACGTGCAGTCTATAGCCACCACTGACTTCGCTGTGATACTCCAATAGTCCTCTTCTGAACCTCTCGTAGAGCCCCTCGGGGGATGTGTTCATTACTTTCGCAGCCCTGACCTCTTCAGGCAGCTCCCCGTCCTCCACAGCACTCCCGTTCAAATCGGACGCCTTGCCGTCCGGCAAGTCCTTGTGTTGGCGAGTGAACTTGCCGCTCAAGCTCCGCACCATACCACCGGGGCTGAATGTGCCAGAGTCGCGCTTCTTGGGAGCAGTGGAGGAATGAGATTGTTGATGAGATAAACGACGGAGTGATTCGGCGGTATGTAGGGATTCACGGCCGCACCAATAGTCCTTCACCCCCAGCTCTTTCCTTATCTGCAGACGATTAGCAAAGATGCCAGTCTACACTGATCGCCCGACGCACCTCATTGTAAGAGGAGGAGGATGGAAGATTGAGGACTTGGACGGTGGAGTTGTGCTTCAGAGAGTGCTTGTTCCATTGGCTGGGTTCGCATCAGCTCAATATGACCCTGCAGTGGTTAGTTGCTCACGCCATGCTCTCCGTGAGCTTGCCTCCCAATGCGAAATGGTCGTCGAGGAAGGCCTGGAATGCTGGAGATTCTGGATCGGGTATATCCTGAGAGTCGTGCGTCAGCCGTGGGCCCCATGCTGCAGGGAGATGGCTTGCCTCTGGCTTGAGGGGGTGAAGGTCGAGATGGATGCCCATGGTGCGGCGGATGGACGGGCAATACGATGGAAAGACAAATCCAGGTTCCGTCACCTGATTCCTCGTCTACAGTTACTTACGCGTCGGCCGCCGGTCAAAGCTCCAACCATACCGACGATTAGTCCTTTGTGCTGTTGTGCTTTCCTCTTTTTCCTTTCTTCTGCAAAGCACCAACAAAAACTGATGGCGATGGGTCAAATGGCACATTGCAACCATACCTCCTGGCGGCTGCACTACCGCTTCTTCAGAGATCTGGTATCTGCTCATAGAATGGTTGAAGTACACGCTGCCCCGAGGGTAGCAATTCGAAGCTCCGCCAAATCCGCCCAGTCCATCGTAGTCGTCTGTTTCCTGATCCTTCTCCTCTACATCTTTTTCTCGGGGGGGAGGGCAAGCGAGAGACTGGAGAAGGCAAGCAAGAATTTGGGAAAAGTCGGTAAGAACATCGGTGGCGCATTCTCAAGCCGTGAGAAGCCATCGACCTCCTCAAGCAACCGAGGAGACCGTAGAGAAGCTACTGCGCCGGACTCGGATGTGAGTAGTGATAGCGGGCAGGATTCCCCTCGCCCAAGAAAGAGAAGCCAAAAGGCTGAAGAGGGAAAGCGAGACAATAAACAAACCTCCCAGGAGGAGGACCACCAACAAGCAGTTCGTGAGAAGCATCATAGCAAATCTTCTGATCGATCACCCTCAAGGAGCGATACAACTCCCATCTCTACGTCAGACACGTCTGCTTCGACTGCAGAGCAGGATAGGCGGAGACAAGAGAGGAGGAAAAGGCGTGAAGAGAAAGAGAAGGAAAAAAGAGAAAAGGAAAAGAGAGATTCAGAGAGAAGAGACAAGGGAAGGAGGGATAGAGAGAAGAGAGCAAGCGAGAATGTGACCGAATCGGACACAAATGAGACGAAAGAGAGAAGTAACCAGGAGCAGAAAGAGAAAGATAGAGAGGCGAAGAAGAAGAAGGAGCAGGAGAAGCAGAAGAAGAAGGAGAAGAAGGCAAGAAAACAGCAACAGGTCGAGTACGAGAAACCAGACTCTTCTCCAAACCTCACTCCCCTACCTGACCATCGATCTGCCAAGCCCAAGCGAAGTATCCACCGCAGAAGAGGGTCAGACGATAGTGTCACCCCTTCACGCAATTCATCGTCGGGAAGTCATGTATCATGGAGTGATGAAGAAGGCCAGTCTCCTCATCCAGTGAGGAAGCACTTTCGAAAATGGGGCGATTACGTCGGCCTCACTGAAGACAAAGCGTCGTTCGAAAACAAACCAGAGGAGATTGAGCCAAAGTGGCAAACACATAGGAAGCTACCAGTCGATCCTGCAGAGCGATGTGCCAAGGCACTTCGAGGGAAGGGTGTTCTAGAGGACGGGGTATTGAAGCTGATGGAGGAGGCCGAGGTAGTAGCAATGGCGAAGCCTCGAGAAAAGCATTGGATCCAAGCACTGAACGATCAGTGGGATGATCATCATGGCTCAATACCTGCTGTCGCTGTCATGATGAGTCAAGAACTGAGCAAGCTTATCACACTCAACGATATAGAGCTTCTAGAGACTGTCCTCGAAGCCCGCAAATCCGCAAAGAAAGCTACGAAGCCAAAGTTGGATACCGGAATCGACAAGAAGAGAGACTATGGAAAGTTCAAAGACAGAGTGGGAGTCAGACCTGACGACCCTCTCTTTGTTTACAAATTCATCCTCGCATGGTACTGCGAGCACTACAGATGTCGATACTATGACGAGAGAATGGGCATCAGTGAAGAGCCGGTACCTATGATGTCTGACCCCAAGCTAGATAAGACGGCGCAGATCTTGGGCTGGATGGAATACCTCGGAAGACTGAATATGGGGCAACGACTATTCATTGGTCTAGACCTCTATGGCTTGTCGATGCGTGCGCAGGCGATGCGGGAGGGAGACGGCTATCGACTGGATCTTACTGTATTCATGCCGGGTGGACCTCCTGAAAAGCCAGAGAATGATCCCATGAAAGAGTGGGCCATCAAACTAGAAGACTCCGGCAAAGCTTTCCGAACAATCCACCTTGAGCTTGCCACCATGCTCTACAAGACAGAAGATGTCACAATGCTGAAGGATCCTTTCGTACGGCGCAGGCTGATATTCCGTCCGGGCTGGTCTCTGCGGGGTGTGAGATCAGACAAGCTGGGGAAGCCAGAACCCGAGAGAAGTGTCGCTCAGCGAACGCTCATTAAACGACCTTCAGAAGTGCTTGCCATACCAAGCAACATCAACGAGCGCATCACTAGGGCTCTCCGAAAGCCCAGCAAAAACGTGCGGAATGCTCTTTCAAGACTTTCTCCAGGAGAAGTATGCTTTCAATCCATACGCCAGTATGCCTGGGATAAAAACTCTGTCACTCCCGAAAACTCCAAGCTGACCCCCCTGACTTTTTGGATCGCCTGGTCCTTCAGCGGGGAGAGGATGCAGGAAAGCAAAGGACCGGCCGATGTCCAACAAGACCAACGAAACCATGACTTTGTGAGATCCATTGATCTCGGGGGTTATATACCCCTGTTCAAGCTTCAACCCCCGCGCTTTGTCCCTATCAATGGGTTTCCGGCGCTCGAGGTGCTTGTGCTGTCGTATGTCCCGCTTGGAAGAGCTGGAGCGACGGCTGAGCTGTTACTCGACAAAGACTATGGTCTCTTTGATGAGCTCAAGAAGATCAAGGAGCCCACTCGCCATTTGAGTAAACAGGCTACCAAGCTTCGATTGTTCATCTCTATCGCCGACGCGCGCTCTTCAAGATCTATCATAGAGGACTTGGACAAAAAGCTAGCAGAAGAGGGGCGGAGGCAATTGGTGGGTGGGAAATCACCAGATCAAGCTGTCATCAACATGCGAGGCTTGGCCCGTGATGCGCTGGGAGAGGCGTTTCTCGTGGATGAGGCTCAGGCTGGGAATGCAGAGGAAGGCCTGCTGCCCAAAGGCATACCTCTGAGGTATGATCCAACTGGAGCGGAGAAGTCATTGGGTATCGGCAAGAATCACCAGCCTCCTGCTGTTGATGAGTCCGGCCAGGCGCCACCATCCGAGTCCAGTGATACTCCAGCAATCCCAGCCGATCCACCAGCGCCGCTCGCCGAGGAAGGAAAGGCGAACCAGCCTCCCGGGCCACCTCCCCCTGCTCCAGTACACCTGCCATCTCCTACAAGTGAGTTGAGTGGTGCCAATCTCGGCGGTCAACCAAAGAGAGTCCCTTCCGCACCAGTGGATCCTATTCCAACAGGAAGATCAGCCGGAGCCGCTGCGGAAGCCCGACGTCGAGCGCTGGAGAATGAAAGAGAAGCGCAACCTTCGCCAGTCGATCGGAGAGTCAATGGAGAGAGTGTGAATCAAGACGGGCAGACCGGTTATATATCTCCTACAGTTGAGGATGATCCGGAAGGCGACGAAAGCGATGTGCCAAAGGATAAGAAAAGTAGATTTGGGAGATTGAGAGATATTGAAAACATATTCAGAGGTGGTGGCGGAGGAAAATAGTCGCAGGATAGAGAATGGGAGCGGATACATGTGGCATTGTGAGGCTGTAAGTGGTAGCAACAAGTCAAATGTGAGTGAACCTTTTCTACAGCTGCCGCGACAAGACTGACACCATATGGTAGTCAATAAGACTGTCCGCTATCACGACTATTCTCCCCATGTCGGCATAAGACAGGAAGAAGAGGAGGATACGGAAAGAGTGGATCGGGGAGAGAGAAGGAGCAAGGGTGATGTCCGATTGTCGGTCGGGCGCGGGTCATGTACATATAGCGGTTGGGTTGTTGGGTGGCAGGGATGAATCATAGAACCATGCAGGCCTCAATCCTCTGTCTCCGAGCATGAACAATTGCATCAGTAGGAGCGAAGGGGAAGATCAACAAGTCCTTCACATCCGTCGTAGTAGCCGGAACCAAATAAGGCATACGTAAAGATCTTCCGTGAACTTCGGTCATACCCGGGGGGCCCTTCGTTCTTTCGTTCGCTGGCCTATCTTCTATCTTCCTGTCCTCTCCCTGCTCCCTCGCCACCCTATACCATGGCCGCGAGCTCAAAGTATCCTGCCAGAGCCCATGCTCTCAAGCTCATCCGCGAGCTCGTCCCCCTCATCCCTGCGTCTCAGAAGGGCAAGGTATGTACATCTGCCCTCCAGCCGCATGCTCCTCGCCTGACACTCAAAGCTCCACGGTATATTCCTCCAAGGTGCTCCTACGCTCTACCGGGACGATACTGATCATGAGGAACCCTTCCGTAAGTCTAGTCACGCATCCCTCGTTCGGAAGACTGACATCATGGCTAGACCAAGAAGCCAACTTCAACTATCTTTCCGGCACTATCCACCCTTCTTGCTCCCTTATCGTCTTGTTCTCTCTAGCCAACACCTCTTCCAAGTCCGTCATCGAGCACCACTTGTTCATCCCGGCGGCAGACCCAGCCGAGACTATGTGGTCTGTGGCTCCTCCAACTCTTGAGGAGGCCAAAAAGACGTATGATAGCGACGACATCACTTATACTAGCTCATTGCCTTCAGTTCTGAAAAGTGCAGTATCACACGGGGGTGGGGAGGTCATCCTTCATGTCCTTCCTAGGACCACTGCCTACCCCGCACTACCAGAAATTATCGACCAAACGTCAGGCCTGGTTTTAGAGCAAGAGTTCCTCTTCCCTGCTCTCCATGCTGTTCGCCTTACCAAAGACGAATGCGAGATTTCTCTCATCCGCAAGGCCAACCAAATATCAAGTGGCGCTCATGAGGTTGTCATGAGGGAATTGGGACGATTTGCGCAGAGCAGGATTGCTGGCGATAAGGAAGTAGCAGTGAGGAGCGGTAAAGAGAGTATCCGAGAATGGGAGATTGAGAGTGAGCGAGACGCGGAAGCAGTCTTTGTGGCCTCTTGCAAGCGTATGGGGTATGTTGACAAGGTCTTTCTGGGAACATACTCATCCCTGTCTAGCGCCACTGATCAAGCCTATCTCCCCATCGTCGCGAGCGGCAGCAGAGCTAGTACTCTTCATTACGTGTGCGTATTTCACCTCTGTACCTTGTGATCCGGGATCTGACAGCCTTCAGTTGTAATGACCGCCTCTTCCCAGCTCTTCCCCGAAAGCAAGGCGATGTCTCCTTCTCCCATAACGTCTCTCGAGGCTGCTGTGGCGACAATCTCAACTCCCTCGAGTCTGCTTTGCATGGCGACTCCTTCTTCCCTCAACTTTTGTTGATCGACGCTGGTTGTGAATGGAAGGGTTACGCCTCAGACATCACTCGAGTGATGCCTGTCGGCAATGGCGGTAAATTCACCAAAGAGGGCGGGGCCATCTACGACCTTGTTTTGAGAATGCAAAAGGTTCGTCCCGGTGCTCTCTTTCATCCCTCTAAGTCTGACTGATATCGTATATAGGAATGTGAAGCCCTTGTCAAGCCTGGTGTGCATTGGGACTCTATCCATCTTCACGCCCACAAGGTTCTCATCGACGGCCTCCTCGCCCTCGGTATCCTCACTGGTTCCCCTGAAGCCATCCTCCAAAGCGGTATCACCGCTGCCTTCTTTCCCCACGGCCTGGGACACTCTATAGGTCTCGACACACACGATTCCCTGCAGTATCTCCGTTCGGCGCGCGTCGCTTTACCCCCCACGACGGCGACTACGCCCGACAAATTATACAAGTATCTCCGGCTCAGGCTGCCCCTTTTGGAGAACATGGTCGTCACTGTGGAGCCGGGATGTTACTTTGCGGCTCAGCTCATGAAAGAGCATGGTGTTTGGGAGAGCGAATTTGTGAATCAGAGCGAGCTGGAGAATTACGTGGACATTGGAGGGGTCAGGATTGAAGATGTGGTGGTGGTCAGACAGGACGGCGTAGAGAACCTGACTACGGTGGGCAAAGAGAGAGAGTGGATCGAGAGTGTTTGCTCTGGCACTTTGTAAAGAGGTTGCTCATAGACCATGAAGGCCCATGAATGCATTAGTCAGTGTTCTACAATACAGTCCGCTTCTACTTGATAGCGAGGTTCGTCTCCCGTGACCGGAGAATATCAGGGGGCTGTTGACTATAATAATAGAGAGCACCCATGAAGATGCGAAGTAGGTGATTATGAAGCTGCTGTATGAGCTAAAAATACAAAAGAGTCCCGTGTAGATAACCCAAAACAAAGAAATACCGAACAGATAGACTACTTTGCACTGTAAACAAAGAGAGAGTGTACGGCCGTATGCAGAACCTGGAGAGGAAGTGTTGAGACAGTCAATGGTGCCACTGACTGCGTGGCCCTTGAGTTGTGATCGCAGGACATCGTGTGTGATTGGAATGAGAGTGTTGTAGGATTTGAAAAGTGGTGAGGGATGAGCAGTGAGATATTACTCAAGGCCAGTGTGGCTCTTCATATCTCGACACCAGGGCCTATTACGCATCAGTTGATTTTCTATTGATGCCTTCGAAGACTTACGGTCTGTAGCTATCATCGTTGCTCCAATAAGCTCTGCATCTCATGGAGAAGCCATACGGGACTGGAAGCCGAGTCAGCACCCTCTCAAAAGAAGAAACGATCCACACGTACATTCGTATCCCCTTGAGCCCCCTCGATAATGATCTGCCATCTCCAAGATATGGTCCACCTTTGTAGTTGTGGTCAGGTGTTGCCTGGCATACACCAAGGCATCGACTGCCATCTGCTGCAACACCTCAGGCCTGTCGAGGTAGTATTGGATGGCCGAGTTGATCTGTTCTATGTTCCACGAGGATTTGAGGGGGATGACAAATTTGGAAAGGGCCGCTTCTTGTTCTGTAGGGAGGTCTGACGCCACAACACAGCCAGAGAGGAAGGCTTGAGCGTACTGCAACAGATCAGCAAAGGCAGATTGAGCGACGAGAATGAGCTCACTTTACGAATCAATTTCCTTTCCAGACTCGAATCAAAGACACAGACCCTCGACTCCCTCATCCCCTTGGCGAAATCCCGTCTCAGCTTGAGGTGTGTGGTGTAATACTGGTGATCCTTTTCATAAGTCTCCAAGGGGTCATCCCGGGCTTGTTGGGGGACAGAAACGGTGTAACCAGGATGAGGGTGGCGACCAACAAGAGGCTTCTGATCCGAGCCCTCAAGGTCGCGAATGTTGTTTGTGACGGTGGTTCGAATAGGGTAGACTTGATTCCACGGTCAACATACACCTGCGAAAAGACGAAAAAGACTCACAGCTCCCATCATACCCGAATATCTTTGCATCTGCCTTCTTCTCGTTCCACTTGACAGGCCAGAAATCCCATTCATTGGCCGTATCCGGACTATGCCCAAATAGCCCCATCTCCCAATCCGGATACTTTGCCTTGACTTTGCTATATTCGAACAGTTCGGGGAGTTCAAAAGCGTACTTGGAGAGGGTGATATTATTGGCCTGGGGATACCATTCGTAAGAGCAACGAAGTTCATGGCAGTCGCCAAGCTGCTGAACAAGGAGAGTGCCGCAATCAAGAACGTCTAGATGGGGGTCATTCTCTTTGAAGATGTTTCTACGTTCTTGTCAGGATCAAGTCACAGAGATGTCATGCTACTCACGAAATGGTCAAAACAACGTCGAACCGCACATCACTGCACTCGTACGGCACCGTAGACAGCCACTCCGGCTTGACCCAAATCTCACTCTCCTCTACCACTTGTTTACCTTTGCTCCTTATGTTTCTCCTCTTCTTCTCAAACGCCTCCTTGCTCTTCTCCAACTGTGATATTCGGTGGGATCTTTTGCGGATATTGGCTGATAGTGGTATTGAGCGATCGTAGCCTGCCCAGCCGGGACCCCAGACATCGACGATGAGACCCGGATGTCGAAGGGCAGCGTCGACAATTTCGTAGGTGTGGGTATTCATACGTTCCAAATAGTCCTTATAGTCTGTAGTACTGTTAGCTTGTCCAATCCGAGACAAGCTCGACCTACCAGTGAGCACCATGAAGCGCCGCTTCTCCTTGCCCGGGCGCAGCGCCGCAGGTCTGTGGTCAAACGGGCTCTGCCCCACCAGATCTGGATTCCCCCACCAGCTCGGCCAGGCATCTTCTGACTCCTGCCGTATCCTCACATCATCCCATTCCGTCCATGCCCGGTCCTCTTTGGGTCCCCTGAGTTTGCTCTCCAATTCTTCCGTCCGGCGCTTGGCTTCGAGCTCTGATCTCAAAGTGACGAGACTCACGTCTCGAGCATTGTTGTGCCGAACGTCCCATTCTTGCAGCGCGAGCTCTTGATGCCATAAAGACTCTCGCAGATTGTGCTCCCTATATTCACCAAGCAGCAACCCACCAAGGAAGAGCAGGCCGGCGGCCAGTGCTAATTGTGTTGTTTTGCGTCTTGCCAACCCCAGTAGCGGCACACTGGACCGCCTCCGGGACGATCCGATGGTCTGTAGAAGCCTGGAGGAGGTTCGTTGGGTGAGAGAGGGTTTGCGTTTCTTCTCGTCGGTGTAGAGAGGGAGGAAGGAGGCATTCGAGGATGAGCTCGAGTCTGAGCGAGGGGGGCTCGAGGAGGCGGAGGAGCGGGGGATGTCGTCGGGACGGGAGTGGTAGGAGCGGGGGGATATGCCAGACATGGTGTGGGGAAGAAGAGATGCGGATGAGAGAAGGGATGCAAAGTGAACTGAGAGATAAGTTGACTGCCAAGACTTTCCGGCCGACCCTGGCCCGCGGGCCGATTGTTTTCATCAGTCTGCACAATGCACAAAACCCTGCGCAGTCCAACTGCTCCCATGTATCGTCCGCAGCTGCAGCCCCCTCCTGGCTTCTCCAGCCCCCCTCTCCCGCTCCTGCCCCTCGCCATGCAGTCAACGATGCGTTCGATACGAAAATGGCCGTTTGGTAGAGACCAGGAACAGACATCTTAGGAGCCAGGACGACAGGTTTCCAAAAGATGTATATGCCCGTCCGCCTCCGTCGCCGTCTCAGCGTCTCTTGGCCTCTCGTCATGCTCCGCGCTCCTCTCCTGCCTATATGTATCTACGCTGTGCGTACGTACTGGCGTCCTACTCTCAATCCTTAGCCGGAGAGCAATGTTTACGGTGCCTGCTGCCATTCATGCCGGCGGCTGACCGATTGTCATCTAGCACACGTTCGTTCTTTCTCGCTACCCGAGATACGTCCACTCGCGCCTCCAATGGGCACATATCTCTCTGTGAACCCATGGGGTATGGGTATTTACTGAGAGCAGTGTTGCAGCGTATTGATCACATCTTATCTCTTCTTGACATCGGCTATTCCGTGTCCCACACGGAGAGTCCGTATTGTTTGGCACATTTGCGGGATAATCCAAGTACAGGAGCGAGCAGGAAGAGGGCAAGCTTCTTGATCGCGACTGACAATACTACTTGAGCGCCCAAATGAGCAGGATGTTGGAAGCACATTTGTAGGCCGAAAAGTGGGCAAAAAACCGAGTTTGAGAGTTACAGAAGCGGAAGATCGGCCTTTTTATGTTTTTGCCTTTCCGTTATCTTGCCCTGGTGGGGTACCTGGCGTGATGGGCACTTCTCTCGCTCACTATATCGACCGAAGCTCACAATGCATGTTATGTATACCGTCACTCTCCCCTCCCCACTGCCATGCAAAGATTCCTTGTGTCTATGGATCAGTCAATCCATCATGCGCGGAGCAGTTGACGCCCGAACGAAGCTGCTGCAACTGAAATCGGTCTCACGTCAGATCAAGGCAGCGCGTTTCGAGACTTTTTCATGTAAAAGGATCTACAGCCTCCCAGACCGACAATGCAAGACAGAACACAATTCAGAGACTTCTGACCACGCACACTAAGAGGATATCAGCTCGCTGAGCGTGATGATGGACCCGACCCGATTATAGCCCTGATCAGTCAGTCCGCCCACTCATGACGCTTGCTGCTCTGCCTCGACCTTGATTTGTTCATCATAGAGAGGAGACGTCATCTCAGTGTCTTTGGAGGTCATTGCCAGGCATTATCATCTACTTGGCTCTGGGGGAGGCCGTTCATCGGCAGCCTGAACTTGGCCATCCGGGCGCTGTGACGCATGAAGTACGAGTAGTCATACAGGACTCTGGAGTGTTAGAAGATGAACAAGGCTCGACTACATGGTACACATCTCGCGTGAGTGACATAAATGTACAACAGACCACACCCCTATGGTCGAATCTCAATCATCTCTCCATGCGATCTCCCCCCGGGACCACCTCTCGGCCCAGATGGCCCGTTTGTGATACGTTTTCCTAGACGCCGTGAACTCTTGGATGAAGTCGTCTATGGCCCTATTCTGTGATTGCTGTATGGTTCATTCAGCTTTACTTTCAATGACGCAAGCCCAGATAAGATAGACTTACCCTGTCCGCAGGACCATCTCCAATGGGCACGGGTGAGTCTATCCTTGACCCAGGGCGACTATTACCAGCAGACCTCCCTTCAATAAACGCGCTTGCGATCTTTTCGGATGCTTCGTCTTGGGCTGACAAGGAATGTTTAAGCCGTAGATGCAGGAAGGATGGTCGGACGCGCTGGTGACAGTCAGCTTGGCACATGATTCTCCATAATCTACGCACCTGATACAGATCTTTCTGGTTCTTTTCAATATCAGCCCAATTCCTCTTCAGGCCCTCAGCATGGGCATAAGACTGTGCTGTAGCATCTCTCAATGCCAGCAGCTCATCTCTTAACTCCAGATTCTTGCCTACGATACCTCATGAGTCATGCGATATGGAGAGTATACACACGCGTACCGGCAATTTCATCATTCTCCCTTCCTACACGCTCGACCTCTGCTGCAAGTTGTTGGACTTCGGGGAGCGAGAAAAGGAATGCTTCGGTAAGCTCGGGAGAGGACAAGAGGTCTTTGAGGAACGACGGGGGGTATGCCGCGAGGGAAGGGAATTGCTGGATGAGAGGAGTCGACATGTTTGCGGTAATTGTCCCCTAGGAGCTTCTGGAGGTTTCAAGGATGAGAAACAAGTCAAGATGCATAGCTACGACCTCGCTGAGGGCCGGCCACGGTGATGATGACGCTCAGTGCGGTGGTGGCCGCCACCGGCTCATCGGTTCACCGCTCCCCACCACAACGATCTCCAGACTCAACTTGCCATTCGAACACAAACAGCCAAGCCAGCAATGAGTGTGCCAGACTGGGACACTGCCTATGTCAACGAAGAGTACGTCCCTTCGGTCCACCCCCATCACGCTGACCGCCTTCAGGCATGTTGACGCCTTCGCCCAGGCACTCTCTTACAATGATCTTATTCCAGCAGAGGGCGAGTTTACTCCTGGGTCGCCCAGATCACCTGGTGCACCGATTGACTCGCCTAGTCTGGGAAGTGCTACACAAAAGAACAACCAAGCAGGCGGAGCCCAAACGTGGCAATACGGCCCCGATAATGGCGCTTTTGGAAGTGGCCTGGACAAAGATGCTCGTGTGGAAAAGTTGACGGCCACTAGCGACTTTGCAGTGGGTCAATCGATAGCCTCCAATCCAGCCAACACTGACATGTGAAAGCCCATACACCAACGCGTATCACGCAGACGGCAAGCCCGCGCCACCTCACAAGGCCTCACCTACCACCTGATACGGTGGCCTCTCCTCTTCTTCTTCTTCTTCATCATCTATCTCGAATTTTCAGCCTACGTTGTCACTCGCCAAGTAGTGAACGTATTCGAATGGCTTGTAGCATGGAGGGGACATAAGGCGAAACTAAGAAGAGAGCTACGCAAGGCAAAGACGTACGAAGAATGGACGGCCGCAGCTCTGAAACTTGATGAGCACATGGGGTTTGAGGACTGGAAGGAGACAGAAGAAGATTCGTATTTCGATTGGACTCTGGTCAGGCGTGTGAAGAGGACTCTCACGCGTTTGCGTTCCGCCAACGATACAAGAGGATTGATGGACGCACTCGCTGTTTGCGTCAGGGCAAATTTCGCCGGTACGGAGAGCGTCAAGATGTACAGCGAGGTGAGTGACGGGGAATGCTTGCCGCGCAAAGATGCTGACGCCATGATACAGACGTTCATCGGTACCAAAAAGGTTGTTGAAGCGCACGTCAAAGAGGTTGCCGCCTCATTGGACTATGTGCGCACCGCCTCGAATGTATCGCTCGAGGAGAAACGAGCATTCTTCAGAGCTATCAACAAGCATTACGGCTCAAGTGCTCTATGTCTTTCGGGGGGCGCATCGTTTGGCTACTATCAGTGAGTCCAATCATCCAATCAGATATGGGCAATTAGCTGCTAAACTATTCATCCAGCTTTGGTGTGATCAGAGCGTTCCTCGAAGCCGACCTCTTACCTCGTGTCATTACCGGTACATCAGCAGGAGGTCTCGCAGCGGCCCTCGTCTGTACGCGAACCAATGATGAGCTCCAGGAGCTTTTGGTCCCCGAGCTGGCAGACAAGATCACAGCTTGCGAGGATTCTTTCAGGGTTTGGATTCCGAGATGGAGGGCAACCGGTGCGCGATTCGACACCATTAAATGGGCCAGAAAGGTCAGCAAAGCAATATGAACCATGTAGAACGAGCTAATTCTGATGTAGGCTATGTGGTTCACCAGAGGTTCTTTGACATTCAAGGAAGCATATGCTAGGACAGGACGAGCATTGAACATCTCTGTAGTGCCATCAGATCGTCACTCGTAAGTCACTCATCTCAATTCCACAATCACAGCTGACCGTTAGCAGCCCGACCATTCTTTTGAACCATTTGACAGCCCCAAATTGTCTCATCTGGTCTGCAATCATCGCCAGCGCGGCCGTTCCTGGTATCCTCAACCCAGTTGTTTTGATGGCCAAGGATAGGAATGGGAACGTGAAGCCTCACAACCTTGGTGGCTCGCGATTCAAGGATGGCAGTCTGAGGTAAGTTGCGTTCTCAACACATGTTGGCCACGCTGATTGTATTACCATCATGTAGAGAAGACATCCCGTTGGGAAGCCTCCACACACAGTTCAACTGCAACTTTTCCATCGTATCCCAAACCAACCCTCACATTCATCTGTTCTTTTTCGCTCCACGAGGTTCTGTTGGCCGCCCTGTCGCACACCGCAAAGGAAAAGGCTGGCGAGGAGGTTTCCTGCTGTCGGCATTGGAAAGCTACATCAAGCTTGACCTGAGCAAACATTTCAAAGTCATTCGCGACTTGGATCTGATGCCTCAAATATTGCAGAGTGATTGGAGTGGTGTCTTTCTCCAGAGGTTTAGCGGCGATTTGACTTTGACGCCAAGGAGCACTATCCAAGATTGGTTCCATATCTTGTCCGATCCGACTAGGCAGCAGCTGGAGCGCATGTTGACGGTCGGAGAGAAGGTGACTTGGCCTGCTTTGAGGATGGTCCGAAACAGGATGACCATTGAGGTGAGTGCGATTCATAGCATCTCTTACGCTAAGCGCTGATCCTATCGCAGCGAGCCATCCTTCGAGGCCGCACAGAGGTCCGCTTCGCTCTGAACCGTAATCGTACATCCAACGATCACCCACACTCTCTGCCGGCTGCTGTGGCCACCGATGCCGACCCCAACTCTGTCTTTGACCACATTCCCATCGAATCCGATGTTGATGCGGGATTCACCAGCCGGTCAAAGCGGGTCAAGGCTAGAAACGGTCGGGGCGTCGCCGACCCGGAAGTTTTAAGTCTAGCAGGAGTGTTTCAATCGGAAAGCGAGACGAGAGGTGCGAGGAAGCGTCGAGGCCAGACACCAAGTAAAAAAGACAATGGCAAGGTCGAAACATTGAGAGACATTCCAGAATCTTCAAGTGTGCCATTCCCTGCCAGCGGGAGCCCACAGAAGGGCTACTTTGGGGAAACCCTTCGTCATGTCCGAGCGCCATCTCTCTCCTCTCTCAGCTCGCCTTTCCGGTCGATCCGCTCTTCCCTTCCCTCTAAGTCTGCATCGGCCGACTCTGCTTCATCTTCTTCTGTCCCTCAAAGTCCGACCACTATCAGCCAGAGACCGAGGTCGCAATTGAGCATCACGAGGTGGTTTGGGGGTGCATCGGAAAGCTCCTCCGAAGAGGATGAGGAAGAGGAGGAGTTGTTGAGGATCAGAAGCAGGAGGGGGACGGCTACTTCGAGCGAGGATGGAATATCGGGGTTTCAACTAGACACTGCCGTCGACTCGCACTCAGAATCAGATAGTGAAGGCGTGGGCGGTGTTCATACACCTGCTCAGGTCTTCTCCGAACCTCATTCAATCACAGACACGCTAGAGTCTGAAGGTGTTACCCCGATACCTGGTGGTGAGAGAGTCAGTCAAGAGACGATCGATGCTGGGGCTGCTGCAGGTCAGCGGCTGAGGAGGAACACAGGAGAGAGGGAAGGGAAGAAGAGCCACACGGGTGAAGGGAAGGCGAGCACAGAGACACCACCAGGTCAGGACGGGTGAAATGTTGTATAGCGAGTGCGACAGAGACCTTGATGACATCAGCTTGTATCTTATGCATGGAAGAATTCCGTTGGAACACGGATATTTGGTCGGTCAACCCGGAAACACTTTTATGTGCGCAGGGCATCAACCTACCCTGACGCCCACAGCCCCTACAGCATCTCTTATCTCTCCTTCACGGCTCATAGTGGCGACGGGCCGTATGAGGGGTCTGCATACATAGCCTTTGCTGCTCTTTCTTGCCGGAAGCCTCCCTGCATACTACGGAGACGGCGGTGCGCCCCACAGCCAAAAACAGTCGCGACGCGTCGCTGCGGTGCCTGTTTCGTCACCGATGTGTTGTTGTCTCCAACAATTCCTATCTCCTTCTTTCTTTCTTGCATCTACAACGTATAGTGACCCCGCCCTCAGCCGCCAGAGCGGTCCCCTATAATGTCCATCTCCCTCACCCACATATTCTCCTATCTCCCACCGCCGCGGCCTGTCGTGCCCTTGGACTACAACCTCGGTTTCTTCAACATTCTCCTGACCGCCCTGGTACTGGCAGCTCCACATACCGGAGGATGGAAGCTGTTTCGGATTGGGGTTGCTGCCCCCTTCATCAGCGCTCTCTGGGTATACTTGGCGTTTGTGCCAGTCACAATATGTAATTACGACCACTGGGGCATTCCCGTCTTGCTCGGTGAGTGCGCGCTCGTGTGCCAATGACGTTGCTGACTCTTGCATGTGACAGCAAGCTTTGTAGCTAGGACATTTGAGCTCCTCGTGTTCTTCCCTGCTGAAACACATACACATCGGCTCGTTCCTCGTAAACCTTTACCGGTCGACTCCACCAAGCTCTCCCCCGTTGCAATCACATCAGAAAACACTCCACTTGTCCCTGAACAAGTACCGCCCCCCTTCACTCTCGCCAAGTTATATTGGGCTGCATCGCTCTGGTGGTCTTTCCGTGGGCTCGGCTGGAACTACTGTTGCCCTCTCCCTGCTTCATCCAGGAAGGCTCCCTTCATCAAAGGGTCATCACGCAAAGAATTCTTCATCGCTCAGGCCAAGTTCTTTGCACTCGCATGGATATGGCACGACCTGATGCGCACTATCATGGTGTTCACCGAGGCCGCCGACTTCTTCCTTCCGGGCGCTACAATGTCGTACGACGATCTGAGTTTTGGGCAGAGGGCGCTGTACAGCATCATCGTGGTCTCGAGAACGTGGTATGGGTTAAATCTCGCGCATGTGACCTCTTCGTGCTTTATTGTGGCTCTAGGGGGGTTACTGGGCTGGGAGGGAGAGATTTGGAGTCCCTGGGGATGGCCGCCTTTGTTTGGCAACTTTGCTGAGCTCTGGAAATACCCTGGCCTCTCAACCATGTGGTCAAGAGTAAGTGCGCCTGCTTGGTAAATACTGGATGCGCTGACAAGACCCAGACATGGCAAGGATACAACCGCCGATGGCTCTACGTCTTTGGCTGGATCGGTATATCTGAAAACATTCTCCACCTCACCCACACCGGCATATCATCTCACCCCCAAGCCCCTCCAGACTCTTCTTCCTCTGCCAACACCCCTTCTCCCTCTGGCCGCGTCTCTCCAAGTCACCCTATTCCCACAACGGGACAATCGGTGCAACTGCCCGTCAAAAAGATGACTACGCGCTTGATGTTTCAAAACCTGGTCAAGAGCACAATTGTTTTTGCCCTTTCGGGACTACAGCATGATTTAGGCACTTATGCGCTTCTCAGCAAGACACGCGCCAATCAGAATATCACACTACAAGACGCGTTGATTTTGACGCCGTTCTTTGTCATTCAACCCCTCGCTTTGGCGGGAGAAGCAGCGGTCAAGACGGTCTGGCGCGGGTGGAAGTTTAAGGCGCATCCTACTTGGAAGAAGGGCTCGGTCGGATATACTGGCCAGCCTGGGTGGCTTGTCTTGTCTGAGCGACTCTTGGGCTTTATCTGGACCTGGTTTTGGCTAGGAACGTCGGCAAAGTACTTCGTTAAAGGTACCGTGACTGGCGGGGCTTATTGGTCTCAGGAAGGAGAGGTGTATCCCAGTCTGATCGGTGGGCTGTGGAAGGGGGCGTGGTTTCATTGAGTCCATAATAGAACAAATAGATAATGTCTCTTATGTGCATATATGAATAGATGGTGTTGAAAATTTCGTACATGCGCGGGTCAGACTCGACCTAGTGCTTGTTGTAGTTGGAGAATAGGTTTCATAGATAAAGAAGAAGGAAACATGGAAACTACAACGGAACACTCCAGCGTGGACGTCCGGCGGCCATCTCCGCAATCCATTCTTTCCAGACATATCACAACAGTGCTCTCGTACACATTACTTTCCAAATCCGATCCGCTCTTGTTTCGTTTTCTATCTATAGCCTCTTCTGCTCTCTTCCGTTTCCCAGTCTGGCTCCCGTATACCCATGGTATATCTGATTTGCTCACCATGCACCGTCTTTATATCCTGGGCCCGAGGGCAAGTCGCCTTGTCTTGATTGACACTGGTGCCTCGTGTCAACTCAGGAGAACAAGGGGGTGGAGAGGGATAGGGCCCGCTCGTTGATGTGTAAGGGTGGGGTAGACTGCACGAGGGTCTCCCTCCTAATTCCCTCTGATCTACGAGACCCGAATTTCTACCTGCAGTCGGTAGTGATGTACAATGATTAGAGCACCGAAGCTGCAAGCCACCCATCTCATCACAGAATGATGAGTAGACAGCTCCCTCAGGCTGTAAATGATGTGGATCGTTTACGTGGATCTCGGGACTGCGAAGGAGCCTGGTGGGTTGGAGGTGGGCGGCGACAGGAGATAAGGGAGCGAGCGTTGCATGGTGGAGGCGCTTGGAGAGGCGGGAAGTGGTGTCGGATGCCACGATACGAGGACGCTGTGTAGCGTGTGTGCTGGAAGGGGGCGTAAACGGCAGGTCGTGATAGCGAGGACGTCGTCGTTCTGCCGGGACGTCACAAGGAATACCCTGTAGAAGGTCAGTCGGGAATGGCTGACAAGATTGTCAGCAACACGTACCCTGCCCTCAACACGAGGCGGACTCGTCCGATCGAGAATGTCTACAGCATCTGCCAGTATGTCCAGGGGATTCCTGATCCATACGACTCTTCTTGCAGGCTTCAATTCTCGACTGTGCTTGGAGGCGGGGGTTTGAGGAGCAGAGGGGCGCTGAGGGGGCATGTCTGCTGTGGGCGGTCAGGCATTCGTGTGTCAATGCCAATTGGCGGCTTACGGGCAATTGAGAGAGCTGTTTATCGATCCAGGAGGCGAAAAGCGTGTGGCGAGGCAGATGTGAGCCTGGTTATCGAGTTTGAGGTAGCAGGATATGTAAGTGCCGAGCAAGCAGCGAAACGAGCACAGATGATGTCAAGGGGTGGAAATACGGGTGAGTAGAGTTCCAAAGATCAGGGTTCAAGACAGTCATTGTGCTTGAGGTTCATTGTTCTTATGAATACCTTAAGGCGCACAGTCCTCATGGCTGAGGGCAGTCAGGAAACGTGAGCAGCCTGTCTGCCCTGTAGGTTCCAGAAGACGAGCCGTATACTTCCGACGAGCCGAACACCTGTACGTTTGGGTTGCAGGGCACGCATGTGATCGCTGCGTGACCGTTTCGGACCTTGTTCTGTTTCTTTTTGTTCTCTGAGAAGAAGCATACCTGACGAGAACAACAACGATGCCCAGCGGTCACTGCCGCCGCCTCGTTGGTGGTAACGCCGTAAATCCCCGTTTGCGCCTTATGATCTCTTTCATCGGCTCAAAATAATTCACGGCCCTATAAATCCCACCCCGCCGACGCAGTCCGCCCACAAAACAGCTCGCCCGTAGAGTGCAGTTGAACCACTCACCGCTTATACGAATCCTACCGAAATTGAAACAACATGGCTCTCGCTTCCTCGTCTTCCAGCGTGCTCAAATCAGCGCAGGCTGCCCCTCTCAGATGTTTAACGTCCCAGGGTATGTATTGTTTGGATGAGTTTTACTCAATGCTTACCTCATATTTGCAGCTCGCACTTACGCTACTCCTGCTGCCGCCACATCTTCCTTCTCTGCCCCTCCTCAATCCTATCCATCGTCCAGCACCAGCACAACGCCATCAGCTGCCCAGACCTACCTCACAAACCTCCTCTCGCTGCCTCCCTCTCGCCAGTTCCCCCCTTCCCTCGCTCTCCAAATCCTCACCCACAAATCCTACCGGTTCTCCCACCCCGTCCGCTCCATCTCGCCCGAAGACCCATCAGCAATCCTCGAATCGTCTGCTCCCCACAACAGCCGGCTCGCCTTTCTCGGACGTCGGGCGCTGACCACGTATCTGGCGTTGTTCGTGCATGAACAATATGTGGGCTCTAGTGGAAAACTGAGGGAGCAAGGTGGGGACTTTTTGAGAGGTAAAGAGCTGGACGAAAGGCTGGCGAATTTGAGGCATCCCAATAATCTGGGGAGGGTTCTCGGAGGTGCATGGGGTCTGGAGGAGGTGATGAGGTGGGATAGAAATATTGTGAGTGGGCGTGGGTGCTCGAAATTGAGGTCTTGCTGATGGATCCCAGACTGGCCATGCGACAGGTTACGCCGCGGTCAAGGGCCAAGCTGTTGAGGCCGTTATGGGTGGTATCTTTACCCAATTCGGGTCACCAGCTGCCCACCGGGCTTTCCACCTCCATATCCTTCCCAAAGTTGCCAGCCAACTGAGGGATCCATTCCTGGTAGACAAAGTGCAAAGTGTGAGAGAAGAACTGGAGAAGGAGTTTGGAAGGGGCATTCTGCCAAAGCAATAGATTGCATTCTACATTATTATATAGCATGGATCAGCATTTGCATATTGCTAAGAGTAGACGTGCATCTTCAGACCGGCAGTCGTGCAACTTGGGATTGGCGGACTTGAACCACGATGATTGTACAGTACTCGAGAGGCATGGACGAAGACTGCCGCCGATAGGCAGATCAGGTCTGCATGAGCAAAGGCGGGTCTCTGGCCTCTCAGCGCTGAAGTTATCCTCGGCAAAGTCAATGATCCTTCCACGCCTCATATAGACCCTCACCCGGATTCTGAACTGTCTTGCGACCTCCCCTGGTGGCCTGGTCTAGCGCCATTGCTGCTCTAGCTTAGTGGAAGGATCATTGAATTTGCCGAGAATGATTTCAGCGCTGAGAGACCAGAGACCCGCCTTTACCCATGTGGACCTGATCTGCCTATCGGTGGCAGTCTTCGTCCATGCCTCTTGATGCCAGGCCAAAATGCACTGGGCTGTGTACATATTTCGCCAGTCAGGACATTCAAGTTGATGACGTGGTCAATTGTTTTCCATTAGCAGTCACTTTACCTCAACTTGTGCCAAAGAACGACGCAGGAAACCAATCCCAGATTCCATGATCGGTCGGGGGACAGAACTACCGGACGTCATGCAGAGCATCGAGAATCACTCTGATACGATCAAGATCCGCTCATACTTATTCCAACTCTCCGATTGGTCGAAAGATACCCCAGGGGCGCGTTTTGGCAGACGCCGCGCGCACCTGATTGGAGCTAAAAAAAATGTTCATGCAAGCGCAATAAACCCAACAGAACCGATCGTCCACATGCACCTCATCTCTCTACCCCCTCCTCTACCCTCTATGATCTCATCTTAACCAATGAGGATCTTCTCGTCGTCGTCGTTGAAAGAGTACTCGGGGATTTCGAGGTTGAGAGGAGCAGGACCTCGTCGAATTCGGCCGGAAATGTCGTAGTGGGAACCGTGACAAGGGCAGAACCATCCTCCGTAGTCACCAGCCTCACCTGCGAGGCGTCAGCATGTACAAGATTTAAAGACGGACGAAACACACCAATAGGGACACAACCCAAATGTGTGCAGACACCAAGCATGACAAGCCTACGTCACCATCAGCCATCGCCCCATGCAAATCTTTGTCGCAACTCACCATTCCTGTCGTTGCGTCCTCTGCTCATCGGTCTCGGGATCACGCAAAGTCTTGACGTCGATCGCGTTGGCCTCTTCGATCTCGTCAGGAGTTCGGTGTCGGATGAAAACTGGCTTTCCTCGCCACTTGACGATAAGGTTCTTGCCTGAGATCAAGAGTCAGTTCTGCACGTTTGAGAAACACCGTATAAGGAGCCCTCGCCTGGCATGTGTTGACGCGGCACCCCCGCCGCCAATCACAGACCTCCTGAAAAAAAAAGTCGCGACCTACCTTCAGGAATAGAACCCATCTCAACCTCGATCTTGGCCAAAGCCAACACATCCGCAGAAGCCGCCATGTTACTCAGAACGTCCACAACAGTGCTCTTGGCACCAGAGGCAGACAAAGCACCGAGGGCACCGACCATAAAGTACGAGACATTCCTGGTGGTGTTGGGGTTCTTGGCACGGTAATCGCTGAAATCGGGGACACCGGTGGCAGAAGAGGCGCCGGCGGCAGCAGGGACGGAGCGGGTGGTGGAGATGAATCGTTGTTGGAAAGAGGATGTTGTGGGGAGGGCTAGAGTTTTCGCGCGTCGAATGTCAGCATTATTCCGTGATTTGCTGCCCGCCGATCTCGCCGCCTGTCCTTTTCTCTGCCCTGCATCCTCTGCATGCTCTACTCACCGTTGGTCCTGCCGAGGTGGCCTCGGGCGCCAGACTTGAAGGCCCAGGCGGCGGGGACGTCGGGCCTAGGGCCGGCTGCGTGGGCGTGGTGGGGATCGGCGGGGGCTGCGACGTTGAGGGCGATGCCGCGGGCGAGAGGGACGCCGGTGGGGAGGGACCTGGCGGTGGGGAGGAGGTTGATTCTGCCGATGTGGGCTGCCATTTTTGTGTTGAGAGGAGGATACAGAGCCGTTCAATCGCTCCGTGCTTGATTGGCCCTCGGAACAAATCCAATAACGCCGCCCGCCGCCTCCTGTGGCGCGTGTTTTCACTCATCTCTCGTTGGGCAGCGCTCCGTCGACCTCTCCCCGCCCCCTGCTTTTTCGCACGCTCAACAGTCTCGGAGGAGCAGCTGCAGAAGATCCAGTGCATCCGTAGCAGCCCATAGACACCGGTCATGCATGGGTACATCGCTCGCGCATCGTGATTGGATTGGTCCTTCACTCTGCCGCTACTCACTCTTTTGTCGCTGCATACCACACTGCACTCCTATCACCTGGCCAGCCGAGTCCTCTGCAGCACCCATTCATATATACCACTCGCTGTTGCTATTATGCATGCATGGCCTCCACTCTGCATTACGTCAGCCTCCACTGTGCTGCCGGCGGCCTCCGTGTGTCCGCGTCATAACTTGAGCCGAGATTCCTTCCGTCCGTTCTTCGTTGCCCCAGGAGATGCTTGCGAGAACGATACATCCCTCCCGACCTGGGCCCAGTACCGCCCTCCTCCGCCCGGCACTCGCCGCCACTCGACCCCTGACCACCAGCCTGCCAGCTCTCAGACAGCGAGATCCTCGTAAGTCTCTGCGGTCAGTCTACAGCCATCTTCTCACTCGGGATCAGCACCCAGAGGCCATGTACGCCCCGCTCCGCCCCGACGTCCTATACGTCCCTCAACCTTTCCAGCGGCCGACCCAAACACCACCGCCCAGTATCCTCCCTTCTCCGTAGAGGGCATCGACCTCGATACGCCAGTATACCAATCAGGCCACGTCAATATCCCGCCAGATCCAGAAGGCGTCCTGGGAGACAGTCATGCCGCGAGACAAGTCTTGGGGCACGAAAGCCTGGTAGTCGTAAGACAGCTGGAGATGCTCAATGTGTTTATGGGCGTGAGTGGTTCGTGCGGTGGATACGAGCTTGGCTGATCCAATAGACAGTTTGAACAAGCAAACAGATACGCCCTACACTCTCCCGATGGACAGCTAGTTGGATTGCAAGTATCACTCATACAATAGAAGTGGCAGTACTGACGGACTGCCCAGTATGGCGGAAGAGGAGCAAGGCTACCTCTCGGCAATTAGCAGACAGATGCTGCGAACCCACCGCCCTTTCAGATCCGTCATCATGGACCGCACTGGAAAGCCTGTCCTATGGGTAAGTGTCCGGCCCCAAATATGACCCATCCATCTTACACATGACAGATTCGCCGACCATTCGCATTCATAAACTCGCGCATCTTTGTGCACTCGTCCGAAGCCGCCGCCGCCGACTCCACCCTCGTCGGCGAAACCCAACAATCATGGCACCCCTGGCGCCGCCGCTACAACCTTTTCCAGACTCGCGAACACGGAGAAACGTTTAGGCAGTTTGCAAAGATCGATTCGGGGTTCCTAGCGTGGGACTTTTGGTTGAAAGATAGAGGTGGACGGTTGGTGGCTAGTATCAACAGAAACTTTAGAGGTCTGGGTAGGGAGCTGTTCACAGACACTGGTAAGCGGGACGAGCCTTGCTGCGACGAAAAGCTGATTTGAAATCAGGACAATATGTTATCCGATTCGACTCGGCGGGGACAGAACTCGATCTCGCCCCAGGATCCAATGTCAACCTCCAAGGACAGTCTCTGATCCTGCCCCAATCGTCCGAGGGTGGATTGACATTGGACCAAAGGGCCATGGCTCTAGCCACTGCTGTTTCGAGTGAGTCGCTCGAACGTTTGTTAGGTAATCAGTGCTGATGATATCACAGTCGACTTTGACTTTTTCTCGAGACACTCGGGCAGCGGGTAAGCAATATAGTTAGCATTCTGGTCAAAACTGACTCTTCCGCAGCGGCATGGGCTTCCCACTGTTTTTCTGGGGAGGCGGTGACGGCGGTGCCGACGCCCAAGCCGGCTCTCGACCGAGCGGTGTCCAGGGCTCGGACGTCGCCGGTGGAGCTGCAGCGGGCGCCATGGGCAGTGCAGCGGGCGGTCTCTCTGAAGACGAGCAGATCTACGGCCGCCAGCCACCTTCTGCCGAACCCGGATCCGCCCCACCTCCCGCTCCCGCACCCGATCAAGGTCAATACGGATGGCCCGAAACATGGCCGGAAGATATGGGGGGAGGAGTAGAAGGCTTGGAAGGGTATCGGGAAGAAGCTGGGTGGAGTGAGGATGAGGTTATGCAAGATCCGTGGGGGCAGCAGCAAGGTGGAGGTGATGATGGGGGATGGTTTGGAGGTGGTGATGGCGGCTGGGGAGAATAAGCACAGTATAATCAAATACAGCCAGTTGCATAGTTTATAACAATGTCACTTATCAAGCCTTTGCTTTTGGCTACGGGACTGTCAGCGCCTTGGTCATTTTCCAACAATGTACATACCTTGCAGTCTTCCATGACCGTGTTCTTTACCAGCAACATGATAGTATTTTGCTCATCTGCCTTGGTCAACGAGTTGTCGTGCTCGTAGCTCGCGCCGATAGCAAGCTTGGTGCCATCGGGGCTGAATGAGAGAGCAGAAATCGGCGCAGGGTACTTGGGGAAGAGCTTCATCCTCTTCTTGGCATTGTGGTCCCAGATGGAAATGAAGCCATCGGAACCGCCGGATGCAAAGGTGTTGTGTCTATATCAATCAGCCACTGTTTTTATCAAATAGCCCTGTGGACTTACATCGGGTGGTAAGCAATAGCATTGATGGGATAGACGCAGTCCACACCGTCAATGTTTTGACGATGCGCTCGGAAAGCGTATTTAGAGCCCTGGTCGGCAGGGTCGAGGTACTCGACCGCGATTCTTCCCTCCAAAGATCCAGACGCCCATCCTAGCCAAGATCAGCCGTCTGCAAGCACTTTCCACATGAAAACCACTCACCCTTGCCATCCGCCATGGTCGCAACACTCCTAGTCATAAACTTCAACGCACTCTCCCTCTCCTGGCTCGCCGCAATCTGCTCTGTCGCAGCCGCAAGCTTGGCCGCATCGTAAACCCAGACGTGACGTTTGGACATGGAGACGAGGAGGCGGTTGGAGAGAGGGGCGTAGGCGAGGTTGTATGCGCGAGCGGGGAGCGTTTGAGTCGATTTGAGGGGGTTGGGGAGGGTGGTGTCCCAGACTTTGATGGTAGAGTCCCAGGAAGAAGAGACGAGGACGTCTGCGAGGGGGTTAGCGGGCTACGAATACCATCGAGGCGACTTACGGTGTTCAGCACACCAGACTATGCTTTGAACAGCATCGTCGTGCTTTCCCAAGACCTGGACGAGGCCAGTATCGAAATCCCATCGCCTGATCCTCCTGTCAAGGCCGGCAGAGTATCCGATATTCGAGGTGGAACCAAAGCAAGCGGTCAGGACGGCAGACTTTTCAGAAAAGCTAAGACGAGTCAGCAGACTACATATAGAACTACACGGTGTGCTCACATTCTGGGCGGTTGGGGAGGTCCTGAGAGGTCGTGTAGTTGTATTGACTTGAGAACGTCAGCTGTATACGCGCCAGTTTGCAGAGCTTCCACTCACGCCGTCCCAGGAAGATACGAGCAGCCGCTGGGAGTCGAGAGACCAGCTGACTGAAGAGATGCCGTCGATGGGGGGTTGGAGGGAGAGGTCGCCGGCCGACATGGCTGTGGATGAGATGGGGTGGAATGAAAGAGGAGATGGAGAACGCGCCAAAAGCAAGGCAGAATAAATAATTCCACCTGTTTTATTTTGATTTTGCACTCTCTTGATATTCAAACATTCTGCCCATACATCTCCTTCACAAGGCATATACACCATGGACCTCGACAGCTACGAACCCAGAGATAGGTCGGGTCCCATGGACATCGACCCCCCCGTCTACAACACCGCACGCCTCGACCACTTTGTCTACTCTCAGGACGATGGGCCGTCACGAAAGCGCAAGTGGCAAGCCCTATCCAGACTCTGCTGAGCTAACAGAACTGTATAGGCCACCATAATGAGCTCGAACAAGCGCCATTCCACCCCCAGCCATCCTCGGGCTTTGCCAATTTCAACTCTACAGCTCTGAACGCTGCCCCTCTCCTGCTCTCAGCTCTCAATACTCCCAAGAAAGCTCCTACGTATGACCCATCGCAATGGTACTCTCAGGGATCCTCCAATCGCACGCCGGTACATCATTTGGCCACTCAGGAAGTTGACATGGACAGCCCTGCGAGACCGGCGCCGTCTGCGCCTGGGCCTGATGAAGATGATGCCGAAGGGAAGCAGTATGAAGAGGAGCATGAGGAGAAGAAGCCGAGAAAGTTTGCCAAGGGTGCTGTCTCGAGGACCAACAAGAAGAGGCAGCAAGCCAAAAAGGAGCGGGGCGGTGCCAATGAAGTGAGTCTGCGCCCATCGACTCATCCAGCCTATGCTGACCCGACTATCTTAGGAGAAGGGGCTTCTGCGGCATAGTGACTCGGCCGCGCCAGCGTTCTCGAAATCAGAACACCACTACAACGTGCATATGCAGCCTTCCGCCTTGAGGCATAGTGAGATTCCAGCGCTCTTGTTAGGGTAAGTCCGCGACGCAGTTGAGGGATGCAACTGACATATGCCTCAGATACCTTCAGTTCTTTGTGAATGCGTGTATTGTGCTGTTTTGCATCTACCTCGCGGTGCTTTTTGTGCTGGCCGTGAGAAGTGACGTCAAGAACAAGATGAACGAGTATTCTGTCGGTGCGTGGCCTGTAAGTGTCGCGTCGACATTGCTGACTTGGTCTCTCAGAAATATTACAAGAGATTGCCGAGTGCACCAACATGTACTTGACCAACATGTGTGGCTCGGCTCATCGTGTGCCTCATATGTGAGTTCTTGTACATGCAGATTCACGGAAATTGACCGCGTCACTAGGGATGCGCCTTGTCGCGCTTGGGATGCCTGTATGAACCGCGACCCCACAGTCATGGGCCGAATCAACATCATCGCCGAGGTGTTTGCAGGCGTCATCAACAGCTTTGTCGAACCCATCAGCTGGAAAACAATGGTGTGTCATCTTGCCTCATTCTGCCTCTGTGAACTGACACCGGTGGACAGAGCTTTACCGTTGTGACCCTCACCTTCCTCGTCATCCTTACCAACTCTGCATTGTTCAACCTCCGGGCTCGCGCATCGCACAACGACACGCCCCCGCCCGTTGCGCCGTTCTGGCCGCCGCACGGGCAGTTTATGCCGCAACTTCCGTCCAACATGCCTCAAGGGCCAGGATACCAGCATGATATTAACGGCATGGATGCACGGATTGGGGGAGCTGGAGGTCCACACGGAGCGCAGGAGGAGGCGAAGCAGATCGGGTGGACGGAGAAGAAGAAAGGGTGGTGGTAATTCTTCATGCACTCTGTAGTCTTCTCGGCGTATCAAGGGTAATATCCAGGATATACATTCTTGCCATACAGCCCTTACGCTTCTTATACCTATATATAGTCTTCAACTAGTCATCTTAGGCACCGTTACCGGAATCTTCACTACCCAACAGACTGGCAGAAAGATCAGCAGTCGTCCTGAAACAAGAGATGAACTCACGAAAACTCCTTCATCAACGAACATTCGCCGCCGTTCTCGAGGTCAATGTTGTATGCCTGGAACAATCCTTCTGAGCTGATGACCATCACCTGCGGTACCGTACTGCGCGCCAGATTAGCCCAAACCCTTTCAAGGAAACAAGAAACGTACCCGCTCATAGCCACAACAGTCCTCCCATGGTTCCCTCTCAACTTGATGAACGCAAAATCCCTCTGCGGCTCCCACATCTCCGACATGCTCTTTGGCAGATAACCTCCAACGCCACCCACAAACGACTTGCCGAGATGGTACGACCGTCGCCTAAGACTGGATGTGGCGGATGAGCCGGAAGCGGGGTTGTGAGGGTCTAGAGGCGGGGAAGAGGTGGACGGTGTTTCGGACGGGGTAGGGCTGCGAGCGCCGTCTGTCACCGACTCTTCTGTCGAGTGGGCCTTTTCGCCGCTTTTCCGCGAGTTGGCGAGACGGTAGATGTGTATCGTGCTCGAATCGGACGACACGGCCAGCAGCGTGCTCATGAGATTAAAGTTGATACTGAATATCTTTGCGCTCTGCGTCCCTCGCCTGAATTGCCACAACTTTTTCGCGTCCGGCACGCTAAACACCCGTACTACGGTACCCTTATCCGAGGCAGTCGCCAGCATGGTGCCGGAAGAGTTGAGAGCGAGAGAGGCGATGGGTGTCTTGTGGGCCTGAATGACGTTGAGGGCGGTGAGAGAGATGGTGTCGAACAGGAGGACGTCGCCTGTTGTGGGTGCTGGCGGCGCCGGGGGTACAGCCGTGGAAGAGAGTGGGGTAGAAGAAGCAGATGGGGCGGGGGATGGGTAGGCGAGGTATGACCGTTCAGAAGAGGATGAGAGGGCGCAGACGGCTGCGTCTCTATGAGCTCTGGCCCACATGCAGGGCAAATGCACGTACCATTTGGATTCGGCCCCGTTTCGATGGTATGCAAGAGCTTCATGGTGGAGATGTCGTAGATATAGATCTCATTCTCCAGCACGACTACAAGCCTCTTTCGGTTCATCTTGACTGCCAAGACAGAGGTGGGGAAGATGAGCTCGCAGATGGTGGATTGGCGCTGTACCCTTGGTCAGTCGTGACCCAATCGTAGGGGGAGACGACAAGTACCTTTGTATTGACGATCTGTAGCTTGCGGGGGCTGTTGTTGGGGAGTGTATCGGCAGCACCTACAAGCGCGACCAGAGACGTGCAGAAGAGCATCTCCACGATGCCCGTTGCCCCCTGGTCATCTACACGCGCCGAGCGGTTGATCAGTGGGGCCTTTGGGATACTTGTGGGAACGACTCACTCTTCGAATGGACCTTGCCGAAAGGGTCGCAGTTGAGGATGGTGTAGCCCTTCTTGTGGCCGACAGCGACGCAGGAGAAGTCCTGGTTGAAGTTGCAGCACTGTAGGTGGTCAGCGCGGGGGGATGACAGGGAGGGGGGGCCGTACGAGAAGGTCTGGGTGGCGCTTGTTGAGGCGGGACATGGAGGATGGGATGGGATGTGGGATAAGTAGTGGACAGTGACAGACTAGTGGTCAAGGATGATAGCGTGGATGCCCTTCATTGCCGGCGGACATCCCCGCACACGGTGGCGAACGGGAAGCTGCATCGGGTATTTCCAAGGTATTTCTTCCTTTCATCTTTCTGCAGCAGTATTTCATAGCATACTTGAGTAGAGACCTTCTGCAGCCAGCTGCACACGAACGGGCCACCCCGCCATTGCTCCACCTCGACACCGCCACCATCAGACGGCGCAGTCGAGGACTGAGGACATCTCAGAACGAAGAAGCTTTCTTCCTCCGCCGTCCCTCGCCGTCCATCTCTAGTGGGCAGTGCCCAGGCCCGTCGTGTGCCTTCTCAGATATAGACTCTCAGCTTTCCCTTTCACCCTTGTCCTTTGCACAGCATGCTCGAACACCCCGTATGCCCGTATACCCCACGCCACCCCCCAGTGACATCATATCCAGGGTGATGTAGCAACAACAACAGAGAGCGTCATCATCGCGAATAGATGTATAGCGAACGGTATATAAAACAAGGCATCAAAGCTGGATCTTTCAACTTTATTCCTACAACTATTCACAATGGCTACCACCCAGACCACCCAGACCCAAAAGACCACTCAATCCAAGCAAGAGATCCTCGTTGTTGCCAAGAGCCTTCGGGAAGAGATTGTAAGTCGTCGGCCTGCCGATGTGCTAACCTGACATGTCACAGGCCGAGCCCCTTGCCACGCTCAAGTCTGAAAACCCATCAGCCGAGGACGTGGAAAAGGCTCTCACCTCCATCCGTGACTCTGTCAAGCACGCCAACGAGGCCGTCCCCACCACGTCCCAAGTCTCCACCTCCTCCTCTACAACGACCTCTACTGGCAACCCTCTTGCCTTTGCCCAGAATGGTATCCAAAGCGGTGTCGATGGTGTCAGCAACTTGATCGGACAAGGACAGACTGCGGAGCAGTCTGGTTCTATCGAGGAGGTTGACTCTACTGAGCAGAAGAATGACGAGAAGGCGGTCGTGAAAGCGGACAAGAAAGCGGACGAGAAAGAGGGCGCGAAGGAAGATGAGAAAGAGGAGCCCGCCAGCAACGAAGACGTGAACAAGGTGGGCGAGGTTCTGGCTGGTGTCGTGGAGGACGTGAACAAGGCTGTGGATGGCCTGACGGATGACCTCAAGAAGCTTCCTATCGTCGTGAGTCTGCCCCGAGCTCATACGTGATGAAGCTGATTGAAATTGTAGGGCGCTCTTATTGGGGAGATTGACGATGGACTCAAGACGCTTCTTTTCGGTGTAGAGATAGTGCTGAAAGGTGTCTTGCAAGTTGTCCAAGGACTCCTTTCTGGCCTTACTGGTGTTCTTGGAGGCGTGGGCGGTAGTCTTCTGGGAGGTAAGGGCGATCAAGTCGGAATCGCAAGGATCCAGCTGACAATACACAGGCCTTCTCTAATCCAAGGCAGTTTGATACTTTGCCAGCTGTCCTGGACGGACCATGTGTAGAGTAATGTAGAATCTTGTATAGAACACCTGTCAACTATAGTCGAAAGAACAAAGATGTAGCGCATGTAGCGATATGATGAATACAGCTGAAATCAATGCGACTGGTTATCAAGAGGGCTAATCCTGCTGTATGCATAGAGAGCAAACAGAGGGTGAACTACATACCATCTAATGGGGGTGTCCTGATCGCGGGTAGTCACCTGGATGGCGTGATCGTAATTTTGGACGTTCGTTATGATGTTGACGATTCGGAGAAGGGATGTAACTGTATATATAATCAGTCAGCTCCATTTCTCATCCTCACCCATCATGCCCCCCCGCCCCCCACGCCACCTGCCCCTCAGCTGGAAGGCCCCCAAACCCCACCTCGCCGCCTACCACCCCCCGTCTCCCGCCATCAACTCGGCCGCACCCCAGTTCAACCCCCCCGTCTCTCCCCAGCTCCCCGCCAGGCGCCAGCCAGCATTCAGCCCAGGAGGATTCGGCCTGCAATCAACGCCTGCCGCTGCCCCGTCGCCGCAATCATGGGGCAAGGGCAAAGAAAGAGAAGCCGCAATTGACGAAATCCAGAGGAAAGATGATGCTATTCGAAGAGAAGAGGAGATGCTGGAAGGCAAGCAGCCAAAGGAAGGTAGAGAAGAGGCAGAAGCTTGCTATGTTGTGAGTATATCATTATAGCATGTAGACGCGCCAGCTTACATCCCGCAGCCCCCACCAGCGACCATCGCCTACACCTCGTCTGAACCCCTGCCCCTTCTCTACTCCCCTACTCCCCTTCCTCCCTTCACAGTCGCCTACGAAACGTGGGGTACTTTAAACGCCGACGCCTCTAATGCCATTCTGTTGCATACCGGTCTCTCTGCCTCCTCCCATGTCGCTTCAAACGGCAATGACGTCGCTCCTTCCACCTCGTCCAAACCCGGATGGTGGCAGGACTTTGTCGGACCGGGCAAGAGTATCGATACCGACAAGTTCTTTGTCATCTGTACCAATGTCCTTGGCGGGTGTTTTGGATCTACTGGTCCCAGCTCGCCTTACCCACCAGGAGACGGCATCACGCGCTGGGCGACTCGGTTCCCGTTGTTGAGTGTGCACGACATGGTGCGCGCGCAGCTCTCGTTGCTGGACCATTTGGGGATAGAAAAGCTGTATGCTAGTATAGGGAGCAGTATGGGGGGAATGCAGAGTTTGAGTCTGGGGTATCTGGCGCCGGAGAGGGTGGGCAGGATTGCGAGCATCTCGGCGTGTGGCAGGAGTGGGCTGAATGGAGTCGGCATGAGGTATGCCCAGAGAAGTGGTATGTGGCTCTTTACCTGGACCCGAATCCATGCTGACATGTGTAGTCCTCATGGCTGACCCAAACTGGAACAGAGGGTTCTACTATGATGCTATTCCTCCCCACAACGGCATGAAGCTTGCTCGACGCAAGTCCGTTCGTTGACATTATATGCCCATTGGCTAACGATCCTATAGAGATTGCCACAATCACTTACCGCTCTGGGCCCGAATGGGAACAACGCTTCGGCCGTCAGATGCTTTCCGAGCAGGAGAAGAACCTGGATGAGAATGGAAACCCTGGCGTCCCAAGGCTGAGCCCGGATTTCTTGATTGAAACCTATCTCGATCACCAAGTAGGACACTATCTTTCCCCCCCTCCGACCATATCTAACAACGCGACAGGGCGAGCGATTCTGTCTCACATATGACGCCAACTCTATGATCTACATCTCGAAAGCCATGGACTTGTTCGACCTTACCGGCCCTGCCCTCACCTCTCTCGCGCAACGCTTCAACGACGCCTACCCCGATCAGCCTCCGTTCCCCTTCCCTAACGACCCGACCAGCGTATCTGCTTCGGCACCTAGAGGAGCGACAGAGGTGAAAAAGGTCAGCGAAGCAGAGCTAAAAGAGTTGAAGGAGGAGCAAAAGAAAAAGCTTGCCAAATTCATCCCCACTTCAAAATCACCCCACCTCTCCGACCTTGCCGCAGGTCTCCAGAGGCTCAAGGACATTCCCACCCTTGTTCTCGGTGTACAATCCGACGTCTTGTTCCCTGTAGAGCAGCAGCGTGAGCTGGCGGACGCGCTCAAGCTCGCGGGCAATGCGAATGTGACCTATTACGAGTTGGGCGGGGTCTGGGGGCATGATACGTTCTTGTTGGATGTGCAGAATGTTGGGAGTGCTATCAGGGGGTTCTTGCATTGAGGTGAAAGAGACGTGGAAGATCTTGGAGTGTCTTTATAAGTTGTACTTGTTTGGGGTATCAAAAAGCATATGCATATTGTCCGACTCATGGACGTGTGAGTGTAAGAGAGTCCAACGTGAATGTATGACACGGGTTTATCGCAGGGTGTGAAGTGATTTGAACGAGCAAGCAAGAAAGGGCGCTGTGGGGCGTCAGGTTAGCTCAACCTAGAGGCCGCTCACAGTCGAGCAAGAAGACGCGGTTATAATTGTTGGTAGATATCCTGGTACTGCATGTAAGGCGTCTCGACCGTGGTCTACGAAATACAGTTTGCTCTGATGGGACGGCACCCTCCGGCTTACATTGGGTGCTCTCTCCGCGAGGGGCAATAGTCCCAACGGCAAATTTGATCTATATCAAAAGTCAGCACTCCCCCATAATGTCTTCAGCACCTGGAAAAGAACCCACAGGCAAGGACTCTGATGACCAGTTTTGCAGCACCTACGCGACTCCAAACAACCGACAAATCTCATCCTTCCCGTCCATCTTCAGACCCGCCAAAGTGCTCTTGACCGTCGGATCGCCCCGGAAGGGGATTACAGGAGCAGACGGTTGAGGTCTTTGCGGCGTTTCCATGTCGGTCACGGATTGACCTCGTACAGTTAGAGTGGAGCTGGTGGTCGGACTGTGAGGTGATACAGGGATCTCTCTGCGCTATTAGGGACATACGTTAGCTTTATAATCGAGGGTGATTGAGCAACCCTCACACTGCCTATAGAAGGGGATCCGCGACCATGTCTCGGAGACTCGATGCCAGTAATCACACCCTTAACCGCGGGTAGGGGCAGTCCTCCTGGGAAGAATACGCTGCTCGTTGCAGAGGCACCACTTGCCGCCGACAAAGCGGTTGACGGCAGGTCATTCCCTGAAGATTGGGTCGGTTCAACGTCTCGGTTTCCATATGGCTCATCTCCGGCGAGACGCTCTGCTTCGAGAGGAGCAGGACGACGGGAGCGGAAGCTAGAAGGACCAGAGGGCGAGGGTGTAGAGGACATCCTGGGCGATTAAAGTGCTTGTGTTTATGCGAGGTGAGTTATTGACCGAGATAAAAAGATCTTTGTCGTGATTTCAGCGTGATTTTGATGTTCTCTCGCGACTTGATTACGTCATCGGTCAGGCGCGTGTTCTTGGTTCTTCGTGCCGTTCCGTCAAGAAGGCAGTTGCTGATCACGAAGACGGTGGCAAATCGGTCAACAACACACTCGTATACATCTATAACCCCCACCACCCACCCTGTCCACAGCCTTTCACCAGCATTCCATCATGTCCGCTCACGACACTGGCCACGATAGGCTGGACTCGGGTCCGCTGCAAGAGAAACGATCAACTGACTCGGCTCGGCTGCCCTCTACGTCCTACAGAAGTCACAAGAAGACTTTGAGTGGTCAAAATGGGTTACCAGCACCATTACCTGACTCGATGTCGACCTCCAAAGTCGCGATCATATTCGCGACAGCACTATTGGGAGCCGCATGGCTGTATATCGATCCTCTGGCCAGGTGGCGCTCCTCTACGAGGTTTGCCACCTACGTAGCCGATGATTGGGTGAATGATATGCAGCTGGAACGCCTCTTGGAGAAGAGGATACTCGAGAACATTGGGCCAGTGGTGGGCGCTGGAAGCGGCCTCGTGATAGCTAGCCCCAGTGTTGGACAGGGGGCCGAGCCCAACTACTATGTACGCGCCTAGCACTGTAAAGATGGTTTCCATCTGATCACCACTCTTAGTATACCTGGACCAGGGACTCGGCGCTCACATTTTCATCACTCATCCCCAATTTCTATTCATTAAACAACACCGATTCACCGACTGACGGCCCCGATATACTCTTGCGGGAGCCCCTCTTCCGGGCATATGTCGAGAGCCAATCCAAGATACAAGCTGCTCCCAATCCTTCGGGTGATCTCAAAACAGGAGGTCTGAACGAACCAAAGTTCAACGTCAACGGGAGCGCATTCAATGGCAACTGGGGGCGACCACAGAGGTGAGGGATTATCACTCTGAAAGTTCTTGGCTCACTCGGAAGCGTAGGGATGGCCCAGCGCTTCGAGCAATTACAGTCCTCAAATACGCAAATTTCCTTCTCGATAGAGGATACCCAGCCGATATCCAGTACCTGCGGCAGTGGATATACAACCCGAAGCGCCTGAAGTCGGTTGGACCGGCGTTGAAGAATGATCTTGAGGAGGTGGCGCACGGGTGGTTCAAACGAGGATTCGATCTCTGGGAAGAAGTGTGAGTATGCTGTGTATACAGATTGCCATGCTGAAGGGTCGAAAGTGACGGATACCACCTCTTCAACCTCCTCGTATCGCGCAGAGCGCTCTGGGAAGGACAAGCGCTAGCATCCCGACTGGAAGACAAGGAGGCCGCGTCTTACTATGGCCTCCAAGCACAGCGCATTGGTGATAATCTCTCTCAATTCTGGGAAGGCGAGAAGCTGTATTGGAAGTCCAGTCTGGCATCACTCAACCCTGGAGACACGGTCGGGCTAAACTTTCCACAAAGAGGATGGCACGATTGTTCCCTCCCCTTATCCATTATCCATGCGCGATCCGAAACGCAATCGCCTGGCAATCTGACATCCCTGTCATTCGCACCCTCGGATGCCGACGTGCTCGCTTCCTTGCGCGCCTTTGCCCTCTCATTCGAAGGGCTTTACCGAGTCAACGGTCAAAAGAAATGGACTGAAAGCTGGAACTTGGGGAGATATCGTGAAGACGTTTACGATGGCCAAGGGACGAGCAAGGCGAATCCTTGGTACCTTTGCACCTACTCCTTCGCCCACAGCCTGCATCTCGCATACAAAGATCTCAGTGAAAGTGGATCTATCACGGTAACCAAAAGTAGTCGAGACTTCTGGGGCGATGTGATCCAGTCGAGCGAGGTGAAGGCTGGAGATGAATGGAAGCAAGGAGATGGGGCATATGATAGGGCAATGCGGGAGTTGCTGGATTTGGGAGATCGATATCTCTCCCGTGGGAGGTATGTTATGAGAGCAAACGGGGATCGCATGAGCGAACAATATGGGAGGTACGTCTAGTTGTATTCTCCTGACCTTTTGGTGACTCATGCGACATGGTGACAGGGAAAACTTTCGAGCCACCGGTGCGCGTGACCTGACGTGGTCGTATGCGAGTCTACTTGAAGCGATCAGACTGAGGCGCACCTTGGTGTGATGGAAGTGGTCAACCATCAGCTAGCAAATGATGTAAAGTAGATGTGGAGCAGCGGGCGTTCTCTGAGGTTGTATCCAAGAGTGGTGATTGTTGGTGGGAGTCATGTATATCGCTGTTGTCTGCATTACGTTTGTGGAATTTGGTTTCTACGTTGCATTGCTAATCCTCGTCAACGATAGTGATCTTTGTTTCTTCGACAGCTCTCTGTTTCTCCGGCTCTTCGACCTTCTCCTCTACATGAGGCGGCGCGGGTCCTGCTTCTTCCTCTTCCTCCCCATCATCGTCCTCTCCCGGCCGTCTGAACGCGATCTTTGGTCCCGAGGCTTCGAGCTTGCGTGTCAAGCCACCACCTCCTGTTGGTGTGTTCTCTATAGCAGCAGGCTTGCTCCCGTTCCTGCCCTGTTTCCTCTTTTGCCGCTTAGCTCTGTTCTTGGCTGTCTTTGATTCTGCTTCAGCATCGCGTTCTGCTTGACGTTTCGCAAAGGCAGCCCGTTCCTCTTCCTACAAAGGTATCAGCCGTGACCTGCACTTTTGCTCTGCATTCACTCACAGCTTTAGACTCTTCCTCCATCATTCGTAACCGCTCATACTCTCTCCGTCTACTTTGCTTGTACACGTGAAACTCGCCGGAACCAGCACCAGCCGATGAACCTTGGACGTTCTTCATCATATCACGAGGAGCCCGCAGCTCCTTTTTAACGACACCTGTTGGAAGCGCGACTTCCTTTTCTGGGTTGGCAAGGAGTTTGTCGAGCTGTGAAACGCGTCAGGTAAGTTGCAGCAGCAGACAATAGACATACCTGACGGCGTTGGAGATCGGCAACGGTGGTCCGAGGCTTTTTGGCGGGACGGGAACCGGAGGCATGGGAGTCTGGGGAGAGGTCTCGAGGGGTGCGGTCTGGAGAAGCCATGATGCGGGATGAACGGTTGGAAGAACACAAAGAGACTGCAGTGATCACGAGAAGAGAGGCGGAGTGGAGGCGAGTGCCACTTTCGTCCAGAGTCGGTGATAATTCCGCACTGAGTGGTATGTGAAGGCATCATAACCAGTCCATCCCCCCATTCACTCCTTATTCCATTTCTTATTTCAGTCCCACCCATACACGCCCCCCTTGTCACCCGCCGCCTCCCCAGGACTGTTCTTGTGGCCCGAAGCAACTGCAATTTACATCCTCGAACGCGAAACGTGTCCTCTCCTCCCGACGACCTTCTTTGTTAATTGGATCCTCGCTTTTAATCGCCTCATAATTACATCGCCCGTTGCCCCTGCCACGTATACTTATCTATATCTCCAAGGTTGGTAAGCATGTCGCTTCGATCGCACTTGACTGACTTGGGTTCTCAAGGCCGTGCTTGCTTCTCGAGTTGCGTCCAAGCCAATCTATCTTGTCTCAAGCTTGCTGTTTCTTGAACTCCCCGCCACCGAGACACTGCGCAACAACATCCACGTTTATACATATACCCGCACGGTGATACACGACTGCCAACATGGTCCAATCCGCGGCCCCTGCGTCTTCAGAGATTGCCCATCACTCTCAAGCTCAACCGTCGTCACAACCCGCTCCGTCGCTCGAGCAGTCGAAGGGTAGCCCCAGTGGCCTGCATCAGCCTACAATGCCCGGCGACATGCAAACACAACAGATGCCAACCCCCATGGGAGCTTACCGGCAACCAGACCAAAGAGCACTTCACCCCCACGCCCAGCCACAAGATAGCAAGACAGGTTACAACCAGTCTCCCCGCGAGTCATGGCGCCCGTCCCCCCAGCCTGCCAAGCCGAGCATCGCAAGTGGATCTTCACATACACCGGGTGATCACGACGGCGAGAGCCAGGTTACCGCCAGTCGTCTGGGCCCAGGAGACCACCATGATAGGGCAGAGAGCGAGGCTGTCACTGCCAAGCAAGATTTGACTTCTGGTATCTCCCCTTCTCAGAGCCCAGCGCACCAGGAGCCCAGCCTCGACTCACTCGCCAAACTGCGTCAATTCAAGCGCGAAGTTGAAGCCTCTCGCCAAACCAAATCATCCTCGGTTGAACTGGATCCCTCAAGACTGGCAAAGATGGCCGAGTCGTTCCTCTTGTCCCAGAATCAGCCGACGTCACAACAAAAGTCATCCCTCTCCCAATCTTCGTCCACATCGCCATTTATACCCCTGGCACAAAATGGGTCGGCAACCGCGACGGAAGACGATGAGAAGGAGAAGTTTATCAGGGAACAGCAGCTGAAAGAACAACTCAGGGCAAGAGTCGACCGAGCCGGAGTGGCGGGTAAACCCAAGGAGCAGTCCCCTTCTACCAATCAACAACAGTTGCCTAGTAGGCGGCCTCGCGCTGAAGATCTGATTGATCCGGGAACTCAATCTGCTGCAACTGCACCGATCCCGACCGGTCCAGCTGCTTTGTCGCACGATCCGGTCGACCCACGTCTTCGTCGTCCGCCACCAGGGGGTCCCGCGCTTAGCCATCCACTTCCACCCCATCCAATCCCCAATGGCCCTCCAGCCCTCCACAATCTTCCGCCCACAACCTCAGCGCCAGCTCCAGGTAGCAATTTTGAGCCCAGCGAGAGGAATTTCGTCCCGGCAAGGTTCAGGGATGGAAAGGGAGGTGTACCGGTCTTTGGATCATTCAAAAAGCATGGATCGGACAATGATTTGCCTGTCTATCCTAGGGTTGATAGTGTTCCGCCTCCTATCAGAGAAGAACGTCACCGGCCTAGGGACATTGAGCTATCCCCGCCGCCAAGATCGGAGGGAAGAAGTCTCGCAGAGTAAGTGGCAATATACACATTTTTGCCCTTTTACTGACGGCATGTACAGCAGAATATCTGCCCCTCGATCAGCTGCCGTTTCCTCTAGGCCTCGATCGCCTTCGCCCGTACGCGGTCCTGCCCCTTACCGCCCCCCTCGAAATACATATCTGGGGCCACCCGCCGCTCGAGATTTGCGAGACATCCGGGAATACCACCGACCGCCGTCCCCTCGACGTTACGCTGACCGAAGCCCGCCTCCACCGATCGACGCTCCATACCGGCCGCCTTACGATACGAGGTACGGAGACCCCAGGAACTATCCAGACCCGCGAGATTCTCGAGACCCCAGGAATGCGCCCGAGAGGTTCCGAGACAGAGAGTACGCTAGACCGTTGTCTAGAGACTTTGACCGGCCGCCCTCTCCACCTGGACGTGGCAGGGAATTCAGCAGATATCCCGAGCGTGACCCGTAAGAGCCATTTCTGCATCTTTGGAAAGGATACTCATGCCAGTGTAGTTACACAGGACCCCCTCTAGACTACCGTCCCGCGCCACCTGTTCCTGCAGTGAATGAAAATGTTTTGGAGACTATCGAAAACCTCAAGGCTCAACTCTCTCACCTTCAACAGGCAGCGTTACAGCCAGCACCGTCCCCCTACCCGCCTAGAGATCACGATCGCGAGCGTGAGCGGGACATTGAGCGTGAGCGAGAAAGGGAAAGGTTTGCCCGATACGGTCCTCCTCCACGGGACTACCCTCCCCCGCCGCGGGACTATTCTCCACCACCACCCCGAGGTCCTTATCGCGATTCCTCCCCTCCCTACCGCCGAGGGCCTTCGCCGCCACCCCTGCGAAGGGGTCCGTCTCCTCCTCCTATCCGACGAGGTCCGTCTCCTCCATTCTCCAGTCGAAGAGACCTTTCTCCACCGCCAAGCTCCCGACTGCGACGACCAGGTTCGCCCCCACCTCCCCCCCGCGGGGGCTACCTCCCTCCGAGGGAATACGGGTACGATAGACCTGACCCCACGCCAAAGAGGCGGCGGCTGAGTATGGAGCCGGATGAATTGAGGGGCGGACCCGTGGTGTACAGATGAAAGGGCACATGCTGATGTGCTTGATGAGTGCTCTTGCAATGTTTGATAGAGAGGCGTTCAGAAGTTGGGATCCGTTATTGTGGCAGATACGAGGTATATACTTGTATGAAGACGGAATGAATTCATGAATCTTGTCCAAGTACCGTGCATGCCATTGCCAGAGTCTCGCACGCTGGCTACTGCGAGCATCCATCTGGCTCAGACACAATATGCGCGACCTTGGCCCATCTGCAGTCTGTCATAACTTCGAAATCATTAAGACTCACAAGCGCGAACGGGAGCAAATATGACGGGAGCAGCGAGCGACGGATACCCGAGAATGATCATGCCATCGTCTCGAACGTGTCCATCTTCTCACAAGTATCATCTGTGCTCCGGAATCCAGCAGCATGCCCAGCAGCATGACCAACAGCATATCCCTACTCCTCGTCGTCCTCCCGCTCCTTGCCCTCGCGGCAGCCCATGAGCCACTGACCCCACTTCCACCCACCGATGGGCAACGGCCGCTGTCTGTCCCACCGTTACCTGCGCAAAGCAGCTCTGGATCTGGCGGATGGAGATCGTCCGAGAGATATTATGGAGAGCAAGTATGGCGGATCCGCCTTGGCGGCGGGGACCTCGCGAGGATGGGGGATATCCTCGAATCTGTCGATGTAGGTACCACCCAGGGCTCACACGACCATACTGATACTTGTCTCAGGATCTCGATTTGGATATATGGGGAACAACCGCGACAACCATTGACATTCGCCTGACGGACAGACAGAAGGACATGCTGGAAAGCGCTCTGAAGCTCGAGTCAGAGTCTGCGCTCGAATCATTCATCCCCGATCTCCAAGCTCTCATAGAAGCTACAGCTCCTACCCATCACGACATCTCCGACTCTGGTTTCCAAGATCCTCTACATCAGGATCTTGAAGAGTCTTCTGGCCGGCCAGAAATCAGCAAGAAGAAATCAAAGCCCCCTAAACCCGACCCCTTCAATCTCACCACTCTTCTTACGCCTTTCCACGATTCTTATCATTCGCTCGCCGATATCGCCAAGTTTGGCGATCGTCTAGTCGAGACATTCAATGGTGAACAAGGCCTCGAGGTATGGGACTTTACGGTGGGAACAAGCTGGGAGGGGAGGGAAATCAAGGGGTGGAGTGCCAGGTTCGGCAATGAGCCGGACAACGGCGAAGATGGGGATGAAGAACCCCGCCGAGAGATTGTCATTATGAGCGGTCAACATGGTCGAGAGGTACGTATCTCGTATACTTGACGGCGAAAGTTTACTAAATGGTCGTGTGACTGATATTCTGCAGTGGGTCGGCCCTTCTTCGGCTCTCTACTTTCTCCACTCGACTATCCTCTCTGCTTTATACCCCTCCATCAACCCTGATCCATCTCTCCTACTCCGGCACTTTACAGTGACGATCATTCCCTTGATCAATCCCGACGGCTTTGAATACTCTCAGCACCACCGAATGTGGCGCAAGAACCGTCAGGAAGTGGGCCACAAATCGTGCTTGGGCATCGACCTGAATTCAAACTGGGGTTTCAAGTGGAAGGGGCAGAAGAAAGTGAGGCCATGCAAGGAAGGCTTCCCAGGGAGAGAGCCGTTTGAAGCCGTGGAGACGAGGGCTGTGGCGGATTGGTTGGAGTCAAAGAAGGCGGAGGGTGTCATTATCAAGAGTTTTGTTGACCTGCACAGCTACGGCCAACTTTGTGCGTCTATTCCCAGTGTGTCTTTGGCGAGGCTGATGTCTTGAAAGTCATGTTCCCTTACGCCCATTCTTGTGACGATTTCCCCGTCGACGCAGAGATGCTCATGGAGGCTGGTATGGGTGTCGCAAAGGCCATTCGTACTACGCATGGACAAGCGTATGAAACAGGTCAGGCCTGTGACTTGACTTATAGGCAGCCTGGAGACAGTGTGGACTATTCATACGGGGTGGCGGACATCAGATGGTCGTACTCTGCCGAGCTCAGAGACACGGGAACGGTTCGTCATTGCGGCATGTCGCCCATGTCAGGTTTGCTGATGCGTCGCGCATAGTACGGATTCATGCTGCCCAAGGATCTAATCAGGCCGACTGCCGAGGAGATCTCGGCTGGTATACTACATTTGGCCAAGTTTATCTACTTGATGGAGGTAGCCGATTGAAGGTTTGGTGTATTGTATTGGGAAGCTCGAAGTATCAAGCAATTTGCTTGTAGGCAGGTCCGTATGAAGGCCGACATGTAACGATCATAACTGGGTATAAGTCTCTACATTGCCTCTCGCCGTTAAGAACTTCCCAATCAAGGGACCAGGCGTGAGAAAAGTGCCGTCCATCGCTTCTGTTTTCATTTTCGTGATAGGGAAACCATCAGAGCGGGTTAAGAATATATGCTCGACGCAGGTGTGGTGGCAAGACATTCGATATCTCAGACTCAGAACTATCGGTGGCAGTATGATGATGCTCGTGGATGGGGTCATGGCTGGTGGGTTGAGTGAACGCGGCGACCGCCGCCGAATTTCACTCTTCTTTCTCCATTTTCGTGTTCTCTGCCTTTACTATCATCTGCACCCCACCATGCGTCTCCCCCAGCTCACCCTCCCAAAGAACCTCATCAGGTCCCTCGCCACCGCCGCCGAACAAGCATCCTCCTCCACCGCCCCCCCCGCCCCCTCACCGCCCAACAAGTGGTCCCCGCATACCCTCAGAACAGGCCTGATCGCCCGTAAGCGCGGTATGACTGCCATCTGGGACGCCGACGGCCGCAGACACCCTGTCACTATCCTCCAAGTAGACTCCAACCACGTCCTTCGCCACAACCCACCCCTCCCCCAAGCATCCTCCCAATTCCACTCGCTGCAAATCGGCGCCGGCGACAAGCGCGCGAAAAATACTACAAAGCAGCAGCTGGGCCACTTCAAGAAGGCGGGATTGGAGGGGGGTAAATATATAGTCAAGGAGTTTCAGGTGTCTGAAGATGCGGTGATCAATGTGGGAGAAGAGTTGAGTGCGGGGCATTTCGTGCCGGGGCAGTATGTGGATGTGCAGGGTGCGACGTGAGTGCTTCGAGTGCTCTACGACTATTCAGCTGACTCCTATACAGGATCGGAAAGGGCTTCCAGGGTGTCATGAAGCGTTTCGGTTTCCGAGGTTTGAAGGCTACCCACGGTACCTCCGTCAAGCACCGAGCTGGTGGTTCTTACGGTCAGAACCAGGTATGTCTTTTCGATCTCCTTTGGAACGTGACTGACGCCTTGGTAGGACCCTGGACACATTATCAAAGGCAAAAAGATGCCTGGGCGCATGGGCGGCGTCAACCGAACGACCCAAAATCTCCTCATCCACCGAGTTGACCACCTCTTAAACCTTCTCTACGTTCGAGGCTGCGTACCCGGCCACGACGATGCGTTCATCACCATTCGAGATGCTAAAAAGCTCGTCAAGGCCAAGGCGCAGCTGGCGTTGAAGAAGGGTAAAGAGGAGGGCGAGTGGCTGGGTCAGGGTGTGATTGGACTTCCTACACCGGGTGCTACCAAGGCGCAGGTGGAGAGTGAGGGTTGGCCAGAAGTCGTCGAGTGGAAGGGAGAAGGTTACGCTGAAAGGTAGAGCATTTGCATCGTATTCGCATGTATTTTGGGTAGTAGCACATGTCAAAGAGTGTCGTTAAGAAATGCTAATCGAGCTTGTGTCCGTGATGATACGTCAAGAGATAGAACGATGAAACGTCAAGAGATAGAACGATGAAACGTCGGGAGATAAACGATGAAACGTCAAAAGCTAAAATCTAGATCAAAACCATGCCCATGCCCAACACCAACCCTGCCACAGCCACAAGCCCACTCAGGGCACCATGCCCCATCTTCATCTCGGCCCCGCTAATGCTCTTGCTAGAGACTACGGCATCAGAGCTCGTGCTGGAAGCAGTCGCAGCACTGGCAGCCACAGACCCGGCCGTCACTGTGCTTGTGGGCGCACTGACGCCATTCAAGCTAGCCGCCACATTGAAGGGGGCGTTTTCGTTAGAGTCGTAAAAGTCGAGCAGGATGTGGTTGGGTTTCCTGCCCCAGATCTGATTACAGTTGTCGACGTGGTAGCCGATGGAGCCGTCGCCAGTCTCCGAGTTGGTAGTGTTGAGCGAGGTCTTGTCGGGGACGTAGAACTGGGTACCGGCGAAAGAGTAGGTAGAGTCGAGGAAGTGGTTGATCATGTAGAGTTGGGAGTTGGAGTCGCCGGATGTTCGGTTGACAGAACAGCCGAAAGACGCGTCGGTAACGTCTGCAGCAATTGTTAGCAGCGACCTTTTGGCTTTCGCATGTACGCACCATAGGCATCCTCCCACATCGCTGTGAATTCGTCCAAGATGTACCCCACGCTCGATACGTCGGCCTCGTAGTCCATGAATGTCACGACAGTCTTGCCAGAGTCGATGATATCGCTCAGGCTGGGCCAGTCGCTCAGGGAAGAGGGCTGCGAGTCGGGTGTATAGGCCTTGTCGGTCAGTCCCGCAGTAGAGTAAGCAGACTCAAAGGCCGAGGGAGCGAGGTTGTCAGAGTTTACAATGACGATGGTGATGACTGCATGGTCTTAGAGGCGCACTGATGGTAGCTCGTAGGACTCACCATCGTTGGGGTTGTCAGTCACCCATGAGGCCACAGAAGACAGGTAGTCGGACAAGAGCCCTCCGTCCAGCAGAGACTATTCGGCGCGTCAGTTTCGAGATACGTCGTCCCAAATTTCAGCAGCTCACGCATGAAGAGTGACAGAGGTGAATACCGTCAGTGGCATTGTGGCTGTATACGGGTCAGCATTTCACTCCAATAGCTCACACAATACTGACGCTTGGACTTGGAGGGTCCTGATCCCGTCGTTCTGCAAACGAGTAAGCCTCGTTCCCGTGTTTCGGCCTGTGCGCACTCACCAGCTGGCTGGTCACGTCCTTGTCCTGGTTCGAGGCGACACTGCTCCCAACAGCATATCTGTTCTCTCACATCAGCCAGGTTTATTGGGTGTGCTGGAGACTGGCCGTACGAGTCGTGGGCACCAATGAAGGTGACGTTGCTGTAGAGCTGGGAACACAGCTCCGAGTGGCCATTACAAGTGTCGGCGGCAGTGACGATAGCGGGGAGGGCAGCAAGGAGGGGCAGGGCGAGGAGGGAGGCGAGAGACGGCATGGTGGTAGTTTGACAGTGAAAGACAAGGGTTGGACAGGGTAGCAGTAAGGGGAAGCTGTGCGGTCAGATCTACTGCGTCAAGCGGTGATGGTCTGAGGGGCGGCGAGATGGTGGATGTGGCGGAATCCTTTGTGGCGTGGCGGATATGGTGGAGATGGGGGAAGAGATGGGATGAGATGGGCGGGTTGGATGACGAGAGGGGATGACGAGAGGGGTTCTGAGCTGAGGGACGCGTTGACTGCAGTCGACAAAAAGAAACCACAGACGCGTGCACCCCTGACCCCTGTCGGACATCGCCGCGTGCATCGTCCTATGCATCTCTTCTCTGCCATGCATCTCTCCTACAGCGTGTGCCCTCCCCATGCATGCACTGCATGCCCTGTGCTGCACTCACGAGTTGGATGCATACGGCCGACTGCCCTAAGCGATGCTCTCCCCACGCAAATATACTCCCGCTGGGCCCCGGCCATCCGACGGGATCAAAATGCCCCATCGTCATGGCCATCATCGCGTCCATTGATCGCACTGTTTTCTTTCCCCAGCGTCTGCATCTCTCTTCCATCTTTCCTCCATCCCCGCCATGGGCACAACCCTCTCCCCCTTCAGATACCTCCAGCTCGCACGCTACTGTCTCACCCGCTGGGCAGACAACTTCCCCGCCTACCGCAAGTCCAAGACCGCACTCGCAAGGGCACACGCAAAGAGATACCTCAAGCGTGCAGGAGAGGAGCGCAAGCGATGGGAAGGCCTTGTAAAGGCAGGGGCAGTCGAGCCGTCAGATAAAGAGTCCAAAACGTCGTTTGACGGCTCTGCAGCGCACGATCGTGCCAGTGCCAATCACGGCCAGGCGCAAGATCCCCACGGCCACAACCACGACCCAAAGAAGGGCCACCCTCACCAGAACCACCACAAGCATCAATTCCCACATTCACATCGATTCCCCAAACTCGCTCCCAATCCGAAATGGCCCCCGGGGCCAAAAGAGATATTCAACTTGATGAACGACGAGCGGCTGTTTGTCAAGGGGGCAGCAAAGCCTCCTCGTGAAGTCATCGTTCTCTGCCATGGTGAGTGTCGTAGAGATCTAGACGCGATACGCAGCTGACGCATCGTGTAGGGCTATATGGATTTTCCACTGCCACGCCTATTCCACTCTTTCCTTCCCTCAAACTGCATTACTGGGCGAGCGTATTAGAAGTTCTAAGAGACAAGATGGGCTGTGAAGTCGTCGTGGTCGGTGTCAAGGGGTGAGTTCTGCACCCTGATGATCCCTTGAAGCGTTGCAGGGGTTTTGAGTGACTCCAGCATGTAACGTAAACTGACGTCTTTGGCGCAGCACTGGTTCCGTCCAAGAACGTGCCGACCAAATGCACGAGTTTCTCAAGACAACCCTTCCCAAGGGCACTGGTGTCAACTTTGTCGCTCATTCCATGGGCGGTCTTGACTGCAGACACCTCATCTCCAACATCAAACCTTATTCCTACACCCCTCTGTCCCTCACCACTATCGGCACGCCCCATAGAGGCTCCCCATTCATGGACTGGTGTGCTGCCAATATCGGCGTTGGTTCGGCCGCGGCGGTAGCTACTGCAGCCTTGACTTCTGAAAAGGTCAAGAACCTACCATATTCCCTGAAATCGCCTCTGCTATCGCGGCCCCCGCCTATGGGCAGCGGCCAAAAGCCCGACGCCATATCCTCATTTGCTGCCGGCCTCACATCCTACCTCTTGTCCATATTCGACTCTCCAGCCTACGCCAACCTGACCACCTCCTACCTCCGTGACCATTTTAACCCCGCGACGCCCGACTCGCCTTCAGTCAAGTACACCTCTGTAGCTGGACGGTGCAGCAAAATGTCGGTGCTCCACCCGCTGTGGTTCCCCAAGCTCGTCTTGGACGCGGCGGCAGAGAATGGCTATGCGGAGGATACGTCCAATTTCGTCTTTGGGCCGGATGGAAAGCCGCTTTATGAAGGGAACGACGGGCTCGTCAGTGTGTCTAGCGCGAAATGGGGAGAATTCCTTGGCGCTGTGGACGAATGCCATCACTGGGATCTCCGGGGTGAAGGTGGTCTCTTTCCCGGCAACTCTGCCATCACGCTAGGCGACGACGTCAAGAAGGGTGAAGGCAAAAAAGCCGCGGGGTGGGATCTTGAAGGCGATCAGGACGGGTTCGACGAGCACCTGGGTCTGGCGGCAAAGGAAAAGAAGATGATGGAGTTTGAGCGCACAGAGATGAAGAAGGCTGGAAAGGCCGGAGAGCATGTCAAACCTTCGAAAGATGGCGAGTCTTCCATCTTGTCGCCTTCCACTTGGGACCTTGCCCAGGTCGGCCAAGTCGTCGACTGGGCGACAGATTACCTGCCCGGGTCGGGCGACAAGGAAAAAACCGAAGTCGGCAAGAGACAAATGGCAGCTGCCAAGCAGGAGAAGGAGGACGCAGAGAGGGAGCTGGAAGAAGGAGAGCCTGTGGAAAATGGCAAGGCGAGAAAGGACCAGTTTGACCTGGAACGGTTCTATGGGGGGCTGATGTTGAAGTTGAGGGATGACGGGTTTTAATGGGGGGTGTGCATTGCATGGGCGTTATGTGGAAAAAAAAACATATATTCTAGTAAAACTCATTGTCTATTTGGCATGTGTTTGTTCATTTGTTTGTACTTGTAATGAATATGACTCTTATGTCACCGAAACGAGTCATGACCCCGGCCCGCCGCAGTCCATGACATCCTCGCCTTGTTCCACAAACTTGCTCAACTCTTTCTTCCAGGGCTCCCACACTTGGCCATACTTTTTCAATAGTCTTCCCAGCTCCGCCTTTTGTTCCGTCTACCGTTTTGTCAATAGCTATATCCAAAGCTGGCAAGAGACTGACGATGATGGCCGGCACTTGTTCGCCTTCGGGCATACCCCAGACGTCGGAAAACATTTCACTCAGCTTTGGCTTTGGCAGCTTTTCTGCTCGGCTGAACGATTTCAGCACATCAGTCTTGTGGGCTTTGAGGAGAGCAGCCTCTTCTGCTTCAGTCCACCAGTTCTGTGAGACGAGGTAGGCCCGCATTCGATGGATCGGGTTGTCTTGATCCTCACATCAGCATTTCCTCTCAACCCGAAGGCGCCCTACTCACCAACCACGTTCCACTCCCGGACCTCATCCTTTTCCCTATACATGCTCGAATCATCGCTCGTGCTATGGTGTCCGACTCTGTACGTCATTGCCTCTACCAGAACACCCTTTTTACCTTCAACGGCGCGTTTGCGAGCTTCTTTGACGGCGGTGAGGACGGCGAGGGCATCGTTGCCATCAACGCGGATGGTGTCGAGTCCGTAAGCAGGGCCGCGGGAGGCTATACCGTCACCTGCATACTGGTCCACTATGGGGGTGGATATCGCAAAGCTAAGAGTAGGTAAGCGTATGTGACATTGAAGAAATGGTAAAAAGTACCCGTTGTTTCGGCAGAACCAAATACAAGGTCCGCCGAGGACGCTGTTCATTCCCAGAGCAGCGTGAAAGTCGCCCTCACTTGCAGCGCCTATACATAGTCTTAGTCGTGCTGCCTCAAGTAATCGACGTACCATCGCCAAAGTAGCATATAGCACAATCACCCTGTCGCTCGTCGTCCGACTTGAGCATATATGCTGCGCCGGCTGCTTGTGGCATCCTATTGCTCGGTCAACCCTGTAGGTCCTATTTTACACTCACTGGGTGGCGAGAGGACTGGTGATGGTATGGAATCCTAGCTCAGGGGCAGAGTAATGAACAGGCATCATCCTGCCTTTCGTACCCTTGTCTTCGACGTTGCCGAAACATTGTGCCATGAGCGAGTTGAGGGTAAAGCCTCGGTGCAAGAGTGCTGCCGACTCTCTCTACTTGTTTCAACATCTGCCATGATACCATCCACTTACGTATTGCCCAAAGATCTCATCCCCAGCCCGCAGTGCAGCGGCGCTACCTACGATGGCCGCCTCCTCCCCAGCACACTGCATGTAGAACGAGATCCGCCCCTGCCTTTGCGACTGATAGAGCACATTGTCTACGATAGGAATGAGAGTCATGGTGCGGTACATGGAGAGAGCTTCTTCTTTGGTGATCTGGGACTCGGCACCATTCTTGACAATGTGGCCTTCTTCGTCCAACACTCGAAAGGTCGGGATGGTCTGTTCACATTAGCTGGCATGGCGATTACATGATGGAACAAGTCACCTTGGCAACAGCATTGAACCAGCCTTGTTCGGCTGACCACCAACTCTCGTGCGTACCCCTGCGCAGAGGCCTGCTCATTCTACCGGCCTTGGCCTGCCGCTCTGCCTGAGTACCAGGGACGTACAGAGGCCTGCCTTCAGCACCCTCTGAGGGTGGGGTGAACGTGGGAAGAGGTGTTGGGAGCGGGAGTGGCGCAGAGGTCGAGGTGGTGCTGTGTAGCGGCGGGAGATCTGGTGGCGGGCCTGTGATCTATGCTGGTGTCAGAGGGGAGATGGACATTGGGCGAGATACTTGCAAGGCTTCGACGCCAGAGGTCGCTCCTGAGCAAACAACGTCTAGGTATGCGTGCAACCATATCTAGTGCTTCTTAGAGATACATAGCGGCAACGTCCCTCTCTCCATCTCATCTCCCTTGTCGATGTGATCAGCTGCTCAGATGGGTCCCGCTCCTCGGCCCGCCGGTGCAGAGTCGGCGATGGCCGCCGCATTGCGTGACTTGGCGAGCAGTGAGCAGGCTGGAGAGAAACGATTCTAGGGATACATTCGTCAAGTCGTCAGTCCAATACAGCTGGCAGCACAGTACACTACGGCTACAGATATCCAGATACACCCAGACACCCCCACGCTACACTCGCGGACTCCCAGGCCACCTGTCCCCCCCCTCGCCCCTCCCCAGTCTCCACCCCCCAAAGATCACAAATCCTGTGGCCACCACGACCAGAATCCCAACAAGCACCGGGTACGCGACCCGCCTTCTTCCCAGCTCACGCGGCTGGATGAGTGGCTGTCGCTCCGGATCATAGATATCGGCCGGTGCTCGCCCGGCACTCGCGCCCTCGACACTTTCTTCTCCAGCACGCCTGCAGGGGACTTGGCCCTGGTCAAATGATATTGGTGTGTCCGACATTGAGGTCGGCGTGAGCTGCGCGGGGGGCACTGGGGTGGGAGGCAGGCGGGGCTTGGGGAAGGCTGAGCGGGTGGGGGTGCGTGGCGGGGGCGAGGCGGCAAAGGTGACAGAGGACATGGGGGCGGTGGGCTGTCTCCTCTGTGCGGCGTAAGGGCGACGCGATGTTTCAAACGCAGACATTTCTTCGACAGTTCCCACCTCAGCGGGCGAAGAGCGGGCAGCCTCCACCTCGCCACCACACAAACGCCGACCCACGTGGCAAGCGGCCCTCCCCGCCTGACTGACTTTTTCCCTCGCGCTGCCACGTCTTTGCGCCCATCTTCTCTTGCTTTTCCTTCTCAAAGAACTCATATAGCAAAAATGTCCACCACCGAGCAGACCTACATCATGATCAAGTGCGTATAGTCCCTCTGCGGCTGTGGCGGCAGGTCTACTCAAGTAGACCCTGTCGTCAAGGCGGGAAAAGCTTTAGAAGTCTGTAGAAGCTGACCTTGTCTTTCTCTCCTGCTGTTCTCCAATTCCTCGCTATCTTGCTACTACCCACACCGTATTTCAATGACTACTGCATCGCTGTACTCTCCCTCCGTTCTCGCTTGCACCTTCGCTCGGACCTTCTCCCCACAGGCCTGACGGCGTCCAGCGTGGCCTCGTCGGTGAGATCATCGCCCGATTCGAGAAGCGTGGCTTCAAGCTCGCGGCCCTCAAGCTCGCCACCCCCTCCAAGGAGCACCTCGAGAAGCACTATGCCGACCTCTCCTCCAAGGGCTTCTTCCCCCGACTCATCGAGTACAGTGAGTCTCTGGAGCCCTACACCGATAGACCTCTGCTGATATGGGTACAGTGATGTCCGGCCCCGTTGTCTGCATGGTCTGGGAGGGTCTCGACGCCGTCAAGACCGGCCGTGTCATGCTCGGTGCCACCAACCCCCTCGCCTCTGCCCCCGGTACCATCCGAGGTGACTACGCTCTCCAGGTGGGAATGAACGTCTGCCACGGTTCCGACTCTGTCGAGAACGGCCAGAAGGAGATTGCTCTCTGGTTCCCGTAAGTACTTCGAGTGTGTTCCAGGTGACGGTGGCTGATCACCATTTCGCAGCGAGGGTATCAACCAGTACAAGCTCTCCGCTCAGGCTTGGCTCTACGAGGCCTAAGCGACCATGTCCTTGGGCTATCGTTTTACCTCCTTGTGATGTTGATTATGCATAGCAATGACGGAACTACAGGGGGCATATGTTACATATATCCATCTACATGTCTCATCGTAATCTAAAAGACCAATGGCTCGACGTTTCGGCTCGTAATCGTTGAAAGTCTACACATCAAATTAAGCGTATCAAATCGTGGTCAGTTCGTTCACCGTTACGACACAAGTCTACAACACCACCAGTGTGTCTAGCAATATATACGAGCTGTCTCTTCCCTGCTTTTAGATTACATTTGTCCATCAGACATACGAGGCAGATCACGATCACACAGAAGACCCCTCACCGCTCCGCACCTGTACGCGATACCCAAACTCCCCAGCCGAGGGCGAAACCATTGATGGTGCGATCCCCGGCATCACTCTTGAGCTCCCGACATCACCAGGGAATATTGGGTGCGTTTGACGCCGATTCATCCCTGGTGGCACATGTCCGCTAGGCGAGATACGTGCAGGCTGGGCATATATGCTGAAACCGAGACCGTTTTGGGTATGCGTGGGCGAGCGCGTGGCAGTGGAAGAAGAGGAAGAATTGTGCCGACGGTGCACGCTCTTGGGTGTTTGCGGTGAACCCAGGTAAACAGACGATGGTCTGGCAAAGGCTGATGCAGGTGTTGAGGGACTCTTGCGCTGAGGGTCCAAAAGAGGAGATCCAGTCGATGGGTAGGGACTGGGCATGACCACCGGGGCCAGGGTCGGGCTTTGGTGCGGCCAAGCTGAAGGCAATTCTCGATTGGCTGCTTTTGTTGACTTTGGGCTCTGGACATCGCGGAAACTCTTCTGCTTGACTCTCCGACTGTAATGTGTCGATGTTTCTATGCCGGTATCAGTCATGGGAGCCTCGTTCTGATTCACTCGACATACCTCGCAGCCCCAGCTCTACCGCCTTGATCAACACCTGGTGTCTATTCCTCGACGGTCCAAAGTTGGACACCACCCATGTCCAGTCAACGTGCTCCTTGGGTGCCCCGTCCTCCGCCCTCTTTGAGATTTGCACCAAGCCCTGCAGCCGATCCACCTCGGCCGTCTTCCATGGACCGTGGATTACCTTGCCCGGCTGTGGCAGGGAAGATGGGTCGGGAAGAGTAGCCAATGCGGTGTTGGGGTCGGTGAAGAGGCAGGACCTGGCGGGTGAAGAGGGCGTAGCGGGGATAGAAGGGGGAAGAGGAGTCCGTGGAGCAGATGGAGAGCCGGGGGTTTTGCGCTTCTTGCCCGGCGACAATGCCTGGGGGATCGGGGGCGGTCGCATCGCTGCATTGGCTGGTTCTGAAGCAGGGGGTGTATTGTCTGGTGAAAGAAAATCGTTGGATGACTCGATCGAGTCTGTAATCGCATTCTTTTTTACCATCTGTGAAGCGCTCAATAGTCATTCAACCTTTCAGCCGATTTTGCTCACCAAGCGTCCACAAAGCTCCTTCATGTCATTCACAATATCTTGCAGTGACATATCCTGGCTCATGCTAGCTCGAGTCATGCCAAGCTTAATCACATCTCTGTCCGTTTCATCCTTCAGCCAGTCAGAGATCTCGTTCTGGAGGAGAAAAAACAAGAGGGGGCTCACAAACAACGCTGCGAGCCCTATGTAAAAGTCTGTGGCAATGGACAAAACATTCTTTTGGAAACGCAACACCTCGCGATCTTTGGGGGTTGCCCAAACTTTGACATGACTGAGCGCGGGATAGTCTTCCGTTGCAGTTGATTGACCTCGTGCTTGAGTGGAGGGAGAGGCCTGGTGGGGCGAGTCTGGATGGGCAGTAACGGCCGGCATGATCGGGCTGTCAAGACGCTTGTCGTTTGAGGGCGTATGCTTGTTCCCTGACTTGACAGCATTTCCCTCGACGCATGCACCCCCCTCCCCATCGACCTTCGGTGCACCCGTGTTAAGCTTTGCGCTGAGACTGCCTGTCTGATGGCCATCACTGTTGGACGACGTGCCTGCCACTTAATGGGGGAGAGGATGCACGCGGTACACACGAAGGAGGTCATAAACACGCGGCGGGTGGACCATCAGCATATACGAGACAACAATCGAGCGATAAAGCATGGGCATGACACGATCAGCGATCGGACCGAATGTCAAGCAGCAGACCCCATAGGCCAAACGCAGACACTCACCTTGCGCCACACCATCATGTTCGTAATTGCCTGATTTGTGGGAATCTGAGATACAGCCCGGCTCGGGCATAACCGACGACAATTCGTTTGAAGATGACGTGAGGGGGGAGGAGGTTGAACGATCTGCAGACGAGAAGGGTCAGCATGGTGAAGTAGCAAGCCGGGTGACGTTGAGCGACTCACGGCCGGTGGAAGCTCCGCTTGTTTGAAGAGTCGGCCCGGGCAATGGCTCGGGGACGATCAAGTCGGGCAGCCAGTCAAGTCTGGAAAAGTCGATATCGGCCAAGTCTGGCAGCATGGACGCATCATGGCTGGTCGCACTGGGGGGAATGTCGAGGAACTCGGCGCATGGAAAAGAGCCGTCGGTGGCAGAGATGGGTTGGCAGACCGGAGCAGCTGGCTCTGGGGCGGTGAAGAAGGAGAACGAGCTAAACAGCTCATCGCAAGACTGTGGAGTGGCTTGGGGCTCGGACGAAGTGGGGGTTGAACGGCTTTCAGCTCCGTCCTCGTCCATATGCACCCCCTCGAACTCGTTGTAAAAGTCTTCCCATATATGAGCAGACGGCGCAAGGCAGGTATCGACCTCCCTATGAGCGCCACCCCAGCCAAAGCCTCGGCCGGGGAGTGAAAGGGGGGCGATCGTTGTTGACGAAGAGGCCACCGACGGCGAATAGGAGCTGGTCGAGGCGAAGGACGGTGGTGCGGCACGGTCATAGCTCTGGGATTTGAGAAAGGCAGACGGATGTTCGTATGGTCTGAAGCGGTGGTCTGTCTGCTGGGCATGTGAGGCAGCAGGTGATGGGATAACAATGGGCGATGAGGAGGAAGCCTGGCCTGGCTCGAGGGCGCGGCTCTCACGAGCTCGGGCAGCCACAGTTGGTGATGAGCGCATAACACCGGGAGGTCGAGATTTGGGGGGTGCCGAATGGGCTACGGTGCACCATAGAAGATGAAAGCGGTATTGTCTGGGATGGTGGAGGGAGAAGTGATAAACTAGATAGGATATCAGTGCACGGTTCAGCGTATTTTGTATATCATCATATTCTGGACCCCGCCTCGTACATACAGGGTACCTCCCTCGCTCGGATCAGTACGTACCCTCCTTCAGATACCAGCTGCGCTGGGCAGATGCCCAGGCGATCGCTGAGTGCTTCTTTCCTCGCCCCTCAGCAGCTTCGAGTGGCCCCGGCCCGGCGGGCTGACAGCCGATGTATAGGAGGGGGCTGCCTCGCGGGTGAGGGATTGTCTGCTGGTGGCTATTGTTGTGCCAGTGGGAGGTGCAGGGGGTACAGCCTGGGTACGCTGCCACAGATTCCTAATGGCGATCCTAATTGTGTTGGCGGGTGAGTTTTTCCTTTGTAGCGCCGCTGATCACTCGGTGATGGCTAGGACACAGAAAGTGGAGGTCCGCGCTCGTGTCAACAAACCGAATAGCACCGGAATCATAATCAGACTGGGCTTTTTCACCCAACCTGCCTCCGTCGTTCCCATTTGCGCAATATGCCTCGAGCAATGCATGCTAGAAAGTCCGTGAATGTCGTCCATCTCCATCCCTCCAGGACTGCAGAAACTGGTAAAAAAACCCCAAAATAGCCACCTATAAAGAGCGCGATATCATCACGAGCATGTGTCTCGCCCCTCTCGGACTACGCGCCGCCAAACACTGGCAAACTTTCTTCAGGCGATGTTCACAGCCGTTCAGCCGTCCCTTTTGCTCTGTGTCTGCCCGCGCCGCATCGCACTTTTGCGAGCTTCCCATGCATCATCGATAGGGCTCAGACTCGTGACTGTCTTTCCCGGCGCCACGCTAGTGTTTCCAAGCGCTGTGGAAAGGTCATGCACGTCGGATCGCCGAGCAACGCCAATGGCATGGAGCAGCCTGGAGGCATATGCCACATCCACTAGGGGATCTCGGAAGATGTTGGGAGGCTCGACTCCAAACAGGATATCGTTGTTGACGGTCCCTGCAAGCACAGCCGAGTCATGCGCTGTAGCAAGATTAGCGAACGATCCACGCGGCAGATTCACCTTAGCCTGGGCACTCACAAGCTCCCTGTCGATCTGTTGATACCTCGTGCAACCATGACACCCACTTTCCGGTTTGCGCCGAATCGCCATCGAACTTGAGCAAGTGCTGCTCCGCCCAGGCGTACCAGATCTCCACCGCTTTCTGTTGCACCACGCCTTCCTCGCGGCCCGCCAGCCCGACGATGACGGCGGCAGCTCCTTGTCGGATCTCTTCATCATCGTCCTGGACTAGCCGGAGTAGCGCTTGGTGGAGTTCAGGGCTGGGCCACGAGGCAAGATGTGGCCCGAGATACGAGAGAGCTTTGTACGCTGCGTATCTTGCTGGTTGAGCCTGTATGTGAGGGTCAGCTGGTGTCGTCAGAGACACAGGGCGAGACTTGCCTCGTCTTCCTGCGATGAACAGAGGATTCTGGACGCTAACTTGTCGTAGACTGGCAAATGCCGCGGGTCATTTTCGAGAGCCTGCGACATGTCAGCAACCGCTGCTTGCTTATGTACTCCACTCACCATATGCACAACCCACCCGAGCGCCGCCAGGGCCGCCTCCTTCACCGGTATACATTTTGATCTCACGAGCAGTGTCTCTAGCGATTGACAGATGCTCTCAAGCCTTCCGCCTTCCTCTCTCCAGCTTTTCAAAAGCGACTTCCAATCAGTCTCGGCCAGAGCATCCAATGCCTTTTCTGATACAGCATCACCGGCTTGTCCCGTGATGGCCAATTTGAGCACGCGGTTCAACAGCTTCGTTGAATAAGCATTCTCAAGTTGGGGTAGGCGTTCAAGCACGATAAGGTTGACCGTTTCAGCCGAGTGGGGGCCGAGGAGAGAGAGGACATCGAGAGACGAAGGGGAGTGGGACAAGATGGCATTGGCGCATGCGGCGAGACGAAACTCTTCGCCCGGGACAAGGCTCTGTGTCGGGGATTCGAGATATTCGGATGCTTTTCGGACAAGCAAATCTAGCAAAGCGCTTGTATCGGGTTTGGCCTGAGAGAGATACGACTCTACACAGGCGATCAACTCTGCTGTAATGGTCGGATACAGACCCGGCAGATGCTCCTTTACCAATCCTACAAGCACAGCCCCCACGGCTTCCTTCTCGGTCCCCATAACACTGTCCCATTGTATCTGGTTCTCCACAAGCTGATGGATGAGACATGTTTGCCCGTGGGCAGCGTTTGGGGGGCCCATTGAGCCAGCAGACGTCTCGAGCACGCGCTGCAATGCCTCTTCTGGAGAAAGGACAGATGCCAATGCCTGAGCAGCTGCCCGCCGTACTTGATGCTCTCGGCTATGCAAGTACGGACTCAGTACACGCATCAACCGCTGGGCTACATCTGTATTCTTTTCAGACCACCGCAAACTTCGGATAATGATCAAGATGGGGAACAGCGGTGTGTGTTTATTGCCCGCTTCGGCGGTATTGCCGCTCGACAGATGGTCGATGAGGCAAGGAAGGATGAGGGGGAACTTGGAGTGAAAGGTGGAAAACGTTGTTCGGGAAGCGAGGGTGGCACGGGAGCGGTAGTAGTCTTGGCCGCCTCGGGTAGGAGAGAGACATCGGTGGACCAAAGTTGAAAAGAGTATCAAGCCGACGTTTCGGACGTTCCAGCTGGAAAGGTGTAAGCTGGAACAACAATCTAGGAGACGCACTCACTCTGGAGATTCAAATGCTCGCAAAGATGTGATGACACCCCGCTCAAACCAGACATCAAACCACTTGGTCTGCTTGGCGTCCAGTAGCACGATTTTCAACACGTTGAACGCGTGCACCTTGGTAACGTTCGACGTCTTGTCGTTATCAACCCGAGCAAAGTCAAGCAAAGCAAGCAAGGCCCGCTCAAGCAACAGTCCAGAGCCAGACACGATAGCCAAGATGCTGTATGGCAGGGCTGCGGATCGTCTGGTAGTGGAGAGTCCGTCCGACGAGATGGTCTCCAGCTCTCGAGCCAACCATCTTTGACAAAGATCAGCGAGGGCGTCGATCGGCCTGACAGCTTCCACAAGAAGAGCAAAAGCGCTTGCAAGCTTGGAGAATGTCCCGCGATGTCGGATCTCATGCATCCAGACGAGGAACGTTTGACCGGCCGAGTCGACCTCAGAGCGTGACCAGATCGTCTGAGTCACGCCGTCTTGAGATATGGGAATGACGATGAGGCTGGACAGGAGCTCACTGGAAATTGATCAGAGCACGCATATTGAGATGTGAAAAAGGGCTTACCCAGCGCTCATTGTAGCTCGCCAGCATCCCGACAGTAATCCCGTGTGGTCGATCCCCTCTTCATCTTCGCCATCTTCACCCCCGCCCAAAACTTCATAAGCTCGGGCAATCTCATGATGTGCGTCTTTGCCCGCGCCCTCCTCGTCAATAGAGGTGCGCTTTGTGGGGGAGAGGGAGATGACGGCTCTGGTGACATTCCAGACGCGAGAAGTCAGCCTGAAAAGTTGGTGAAAGATGGGAGTCCATAGAGACTGTGATTCGAGGGTATTGAGGTTGAGGCAATGGAGGACATCCCTAACGGACATCAGTGTGCCATTGACAAAGAAAATGTATTGCCCACCGTATTCCACCCAAAAGACCATGTAATGGGTGAGTCTCAATCATGGTCAAATCCCGCTCGACAATCTCCACCGTAGCTTCCAGCTTGTCGATCAGTTCTTGTACAAATCCGAGAGCTTCTTTCTCAGTGCTATGCTTCAAGACCACACCGAACAGGATACAGAGGGCTGCTTTACCAGTTTCGGCTTGCGTTTTCCGGGGGTGACAGATGGACTCGAGGGCTGTATGTAAGAGGGCTCGAGAAGAGGGTGTTGCAGGGGTGTCGTAGGCTGGCAGAGGGATCTTTGCATTATCGAGGCTTTAAAGTGCATCAGAATTGGTCCTGTCTGTCCTGAGACGACCTACATTTTTCGAGAACGGGACCGGACTTCAGTGAATTCGCTTGCCTGACAAGCAAGCAATTGTTCCACCCTGCTCTGGGTAAACACCATTTCTTGTTTCCCCTCATCGCTCCCAAAAACATCCAGATACCGACTCAGCAAGTTTAGCGCCAGCAGTACCCGAAACACTGGATACCTTCTCGCATGCCACAGATTTTCGTCGATCCAGGCCAGGAACCACGAATGAAAGTCATCGGTATGGACAAGAGCACCTCGAATTTCATCACTCTCCTTGAGGACTTCGGGAGTCGAAGGCTGCTTGGACAGTCTGCGCAGGTTGCGATGGAGAAGGGTGATATACTGGTGCAGACGGACAAAGAAGGCATACGCCGCAGACGAGAATGCAGAACGGGAACTGGGCTAGCATTAACGACTGGAGACACGCACGTCAGGAAAAACTTACCCGGCCGATGGAAGCGCTTCATTCCACACAAAACTCTCCTTGATCAACTGCAGCACACCCTCTGTGTAGGCTTTCTTCCCGGTCACAAGGTCGAATGCTCGAAGCCTAGTATCGACATCATCACTTTCCAGTGCCAGCCGAATTTCATCACGCGGGAGATGTTCTACCTCAACCAAGCCGTTGGATACTCCCAAGGAAGCTATAGCCACCCAGGTATTGATTACCGGTTCCGGTGGGCCAACAAGGGACAGCAAGGGCTGGAATAGACTGGGGTATGTGTTGAATAGACGGGGTAACAGGTATCGGGTTACATTTGCCAATGTGCCATGCGGTTGAAACTTGCTGAGCAGCGCTGAGAGACGTAACAGCAGGGCATCCTGTTGTTCGGGCGAGAGTGATTGCTTTGGTGATGGCAAGAGGGAGACCCCAGCAAATACCAGAAGGAGATCCGAGACGAGGGAACAGCGGGCGCCGGCATTGTGTGTTATTGAAACCTCGCCTTCCAAATCTTCCAAAAGTTTGGTAGAAATTGCGCGGGTCGGCATGTACGGCAAGAGGGCGTGCAGTGCTGACATATTGGCCCTACTGGACAGATCACTCCGAGAGAAGCCCTGGAATAGGGGAACCATGAAGTTGGAAGAGGCTGATAACGCTTGACTGCGCGCAGCCAGTTGCCCGGCAGCAGATAGGACCTCTGTCGAGCGGGTTTGTTGCACTTTTAGGGGATGGTCGAGATGGTTGGCTACGATAGTCGCGTATCGGCCACCTGGCTGAAACTCAGGGGCTATGTCGGATGAGACAAGGGGTTGAAATTTGGTATCCACCTCGAGGCATGATGATATCCGGCGAAGTATAGCCAAGAGCAATTCCAAATGCTTTAGTTGGTTAGTTTCTTGGCCGTAGTTGAGAGCAGTTTTCAATGCTTGGTCAAGTATAGTCGAACTGAGGGGACAGACAAGTCAGTCGTAGACCCACTACTCTCTGTCTATGCGCGTACTCTTCGATAAGATCTTGTGGCGTGGCTCTTGCGAGCAACTTGCGTTGTCCTTCTACTTGCTCGAGATGCGAGTCGCGGGGGGGCAGGGTCGGCATGTTGGTCCAGGGCCGGTGTCGTGGGGAGGTATGGGGTAAAAGCCGTTTAGTTCGCCTGGGCTGGCGGGGCTGAGGTGCAGCGGAACGAGTGCTGTGCGAGATATACTGGGCATGCCATCATCAATACTTGTCCCGGATCAACAGAAAAAAACAAGACGGCGGTCACCGGCGGTCTCGAGCTGTTAATAACGGTTAAGAAAGTTGGCAAAAAAGGGCCCCTCCTTATTAATATTATGGCATCAGCGGCGCATCAACACACCAGGAAGAATTCGTCGCATCTCCCTGACATTTTATCTCCCGCCCACCCACCCGCCATGGCCGCCACCGCCACCAACGCCCAGCTCTACCAGCAGTCCCAAATGGACCAGCAGATACAGATGCCCGTTCCCAACCTTAACCACAGCCTGCCCCCCGTACCGCCTCAGCAACAACAGTCACCCGTGCAGCAGACCCACTATCAGCAACCCCCACAGCCGGCGAGCTTGTACGAAGAGGGCGTCAGCCAAGACTTCGCAGATGACAGGCAAAGCCGGTATGCTAGCCAGCCAGCACCTTTATTAGACCAGTGTATGTCCTTCATCTCAGCGGGACCCCCGTTTTGCACTGCGTAAACTAAGACTCTCACCAGCCCATCTCCGTCCCGGCAACCAAGCCAACCTGCTATCACACGACCGCACTCTAGAACTCTACCGTTCCAATGCCAAAAAAACGAATGACCCCGAGCTCATATTCGAGTTCGCCGTATTCATGATCGATGCCGCCAAAGGCATGGTTTCCCCGGCGCAAGAGGCCGACCCTGCACCTTCACCTCAAGTCACCAAGCAGCTCGAAAAGAGAGAAGAGATTCTGAAGGAAGCGACGCAGCTATTGAAGAAGCTGGCGGACAGAGGGTTTTCGGACGCTCAGTACTTTTTGGCGGATTGCTATGCCAACGGGGTCGGCACAGTGCGAGGGAGGCAAGACTTCGACCGGGCATTCCCGCTGTTCATTCTCGCTGCCAAGCATGGGCACCCTGATGCATGCTACAGGGCAGGGACCTGCTGTGAGCACGGGTGGGGATGCAGAAGAGAGAGTGCGAAAGCCGTGACATTCTATAAGCGAGTCTCTATGTCTCACGTATGAGGCTGAGCTGACAACATTTTCAGGAAAGCGGCTGTTGGCCTCCATCCGGGAGCAATGTACAGGCTGGGGACCGCCGAGCTTAATGGATCTCTCGGCCTTCCTCGCCGACCCAAAGAAGGCGTCAAGTGGCTCAAGCGGTCTGCCGAACACGCGAACGAAGAGTTTCCTCACGCTCTCCACGAATTGGCTCTCCTGCACGAACGCGGTATCGAGAATGTCGTCTTTGTGGATAATGACTATGCCGCCGAGCTCTTGTCAAAAGCTGCTGAACTCGGGTATGCCCCAAGTGCGTTCAAGCTGGGAGAATGTTACGAGTATGGCAAGATGGGATGTCCCACGGATCCAGCTTTGTCCATCCACTACTACGTGAGTCATCGCGATCTGCGCAGTCTTGTTTGCTCACTTTTCAAAGAACATTGCCGCCCAGCAAGATCACAAGGACGCCTGTTTTGCCCTCACTTCCTGGTACCTGATGGGATCTCCTGGTGTCTTGCCTCAATCTGACACTGAGGCTTACCTATGGGCAAAGAAGGCTGCCGAGTTGGGTCTGGCCAAGGCACAGTACGCTTTTGGCTACTTTACCGAGGTACGATATCACATTACATAGGAGTGCCCTCGCTCATTTCCTTCTTCAGACTGGTTTGGGAACAGACGCCAACCCCGCCGCTGCTCAAATCTGGTACAAAAAAGCTGCCGAAGGCGGTGACAAGCGTGCTGCAAAGCGGTTAGCAGCGGGCGGAGGATCGAGAAGTGCGGCACTGGACAGAAGACTCGAAATGGAAGCGCTCAAGGAGGAGAGAAGCTTACTGAGTCATTCGGCGAATAGCGGAAGTAAAAGTGGAGGTGGAAAGGACAAGGACAAGGACGGATGTCTGATCATGTGAAGGGATGATTATGACCTGGAAGAAAACGAAACATCTCTTTTCAAAACGCACGAACATCTTACCCACGTACGAGCCTCTCTGGTTCTGCCTTTTTTCTCCAGTATCACTACTTTTCACATCCCATTATCAGTCAGATCTTTGTGGAAGGATTGTAAGAGCATAATATGACTTTCTGTAACGATTTAGCGTATAGCTGTTTGTGGCGATGTTTTCGACTTTTGAGAGCGTAACGATATATACGATAGATACATTTTTATTCGACTTGTGGCCTGTAGAGTCAATTTCATGCATGACATCGGACATTCGGTACACCGTTTGAGCCAGTTGGAATCATAGACATGACTGATGAAGTGACATATTTGCTTCCGTCCCGCCGCCGAAAACAACCAAGGCAATGTGTACGAAGATACGTTACAACTCTCCCACAGAACGCTCAGCCGCACAGCTCACAATGTCTGGCCCAACGACTCAGGCTCCAGCTATGGAGGAGACAGAGTTCTCCCACCAGATCGCCATCGAGGTCAGTTTCTCTTCCTGCTCTCGCCCCATCCATCCTGCTTACATTTGCGTTCAGATGTCACGTCTCATGAACATGGTAAACCCCAATGACCTCCTGGGCAAGCGCGTAATCGACATAGCCAGAGGCAATCGTACCGGGGAAGACTTTGTCAAGGGTGAGCTTGCGACTTTCCTCGAATAGAGCCTCGCTGACTTGAGGGCTCAGCGGTGTCGGCGTTCGGCAAATTCCCTCGTGACGCTATACTTTCCCTACATACCCGGATCGCCACGTATCTTTCGATGACTCACAGCTTATCAAACGGAAACAGGGGAGCATCGGAACACTCCCCAACTAGGGCTTCAGGCCGAAGGTCGGCAAGCGAGCAGGAGATCGAAGGGATGGATCATGATGATAGCGACAGATTGGCGCCCGAGCCGGTTCGACAGGGAGGGCTGCGAAGGGCAGGAGATGCTCCTGTAACCTTCAAGGCGCCCCAAACTGCTCGACCATCGTTGCTGGGCCTTGACAGACTAGCTGCAGAAAAGCGGGCTGCTGCTGCAGGTGGGTCAGGCAAGATTGAGCCTCCCAACAAGAAAGCTAGACGGCTGGAGGAGAATGATGATGAGAAAGATCAAGCATCTGGTGGTGTTTTCAAAGGTTGGTTAACTCGGCTCACTGTCCCTGTTGGAGCTGACCAAGACATAGTGCCCGTGGTGCCCGTACGTCGAGACCATACTCGTATCAAACCCGATGAGACGCCCAGTCGTGGACCCGGCCTTTCTGACGAAGCTCGTGCTCGGGTTGAAGCTCGCAGAAGAGAACGCAATCAGCCTCAAACTGGAATCACCGCCAGTTCTGCCGACAAAGAGCCTTCCAGGCAAGGGCTTGGTGATTTCCAGAACAGACTGAACAGAGAGGGATACGAGGACCGAAGGCGGGGAGGCCATGGAGATAGAAGAGATGATAGGGGAGGGTACAGAGAAGACAGACGAGATGGCGGTGGGGGATATCGAGACGACAGAGGAGGGTTCAGGGATGGTGATAGACGGGAAGGCAAATCGTGGAACGCTGCTCCCACCCCTCGAACGTCGCGAAATGATAGAGACTTTGGGGGTGGCAGTGCACGAATCCCCAACAGAGGATGGGATGAGACTCCTCGGGGATCCCGTGGATTTGAGGGCCGGGGTAATGGATCGGGCGAATCTAGGGGTTGGGATCAGACGCCGAAGACCTCGAGAGGTGGATCCCCAGAGGGAAACGGACTCGAGCTAGATGCGAAAGAGTGGGAGGAAGAGCAAGTGAAGCTGGACAGAGATTGGTATAGCTACGACGACGAGGGAGCAGTGGTGAGCACGATCCCGTGGTCGTTGCTGGCATTCTCATTGATCAAAATCATAGGCCGCGGACGATGACCATAATCCCTTCTCTCAATGGGAGAACCTCGAGAAGGCAAAAGAAGAGGAGCTCCAAGTGAAGGCTCAGAAACGTCAAACAGCTCGACAGGCCCAATTCGTAAGTCTAGTCGCCATCGCGTACCAGCCAGGCTTACTTATATCACAGAACGCCGACAACGACCTGTGGGAGACCAACCGAATGCAGACTTCAGGAGTACTTTCCAAGGGCGGAGTGGACGAAGATTTCGAAGACGATTCCGACTCCAAAGTCCATGTTCTTGTGCATGATCTCAAACCACCCTTCTTGGACGGTACCGTGGCCTACACCAAACAGCTTGACCCTATCAATCCCGTCAAGGACGGCACGAGCGACATGGCAGTCTTCTCGAAGAAGGGGAGTGCCTTGGTCAGAGAGAGAAGGGAAAGACAGGAGAGAGAGAAGGCTGCTGCCAAAGCTGCGTCCATTGCAGGTACCACCTTGGGTAATCTGATGGGAGTGAAGGACGAACCGAACCTGGGGGAGGAGGGGCAGAAAGATGGTGTCGATGAAAATTACAAAGCCGACTCGCAATTCTCTAGTCACCTCAAGAAGACGGAAGGCGTCTCCAACTTTGCCAAATCGCGGACGTTGAAAGAGCAGCGAGAATATCTTCCGGCCTTTGCTGTTCGCGAAGAGCTGATGGGAATGATCAGAGACCACCAGGGTGAGCTAGTTTTGCAAGTTTGGGCATCAGCTGAACAGTCACAGTCCTTGTCGTTATTGGTGAAACAGGTTCCGGCAAAACAACACAGCTCGGCCAATTCTTGTACGAAGAGGGCTATTGCTCTACTGGAATGATCGGGTGCACGCAGCCCCGTCGTGTCGCTGCCATGTCTGTCGCCAAGCGTGTCAGTGAAGAGATGGAGGTACGCTCTCGCAATCCTTTTTACAAGCATTTCTGACCTTTTCCCAGTGTACATTAGGTGACACTGTCGGTTATGCCATCCGTTTTGAGGATTGTACATCGAAAGATACCAAGATCAAGTGTATGTCAACTGTGTCACCCCCACTTTTGCAACTGCTGAACTTTGGCAGTTATGACTGATGGTGTCCTCCTCCGAGAATCACTGAATGAGGGCGATCTCGATAGATATAATGTCATCATTTTGGATGAAGCGCACGAGCGCTCTCTGAGTACAGATATTCTGATGGGTCTTCTGAGAAAGAGTAAGTCTTATCTATGGAGGTCCTATGGCGATGGTGAATGCTGACAGCCAAACAGTATTGACTCGCCGACGTGATCTCAAACTCATCGTGACTTCCGCCACCATGAACGCCGACAAATTCTCCAAGTTCTTCGGTAACGCCGCGACGTACACTATCCCTGGTCGTACTTTCCCCGTGGAGATCTACCACTCGAAATCGCCTTGCGAAGATTATGTCGATAGTACTGTTAAGCAGGTGCTCCAAATCCACTTGACAAATCCTCAAGGTGATATTCTCGTGTTCATGACGGGCCAAGAAGACATTGAGTGCTGCTGCCAGGTTATCGAAGGTTTGTTTGGCAATGTGTCTGTAACAGGCAAGCTTACGCAATCATTACAGAACGGCTATCACAATTGGACGATCCCCTACCTTTGGCTGTCCTGCCTATCTACTCTCAGATGCCGGCTGATCTACAAGCAAAGATCTTCCAGCCAACTGCCGATGGGCGCCGAAAAGTCGTGGTCGCCACCAATATCGCCGAAACATCCCTGACGGGTAAGTGGCTTCTTGAGCCGGGAGACGTGGTTTGCTGACGGGCTGCAGTCGACGGTATCCTCTATGTAGTGGACTGTGGCTATTCTAAGCTCAAGGTCTACAACCCCAAGGTCGGTATGGACGCCCTTCAGATCACTCCCATCAGTCAGGCCAACTGTGGGCAGCGAGCTGGTCGAGCTGGTCGTACGGGTCCCGGGTGAGCCACCTTTTCCGTGTGGGTAGGCTGATTCTGACGATGTGCCACAGCTTCTGCTATCGACTATTCACCGAAAACGCGTATCTCAATGAGCTTTTTGCAAGCAACATTCCAGAAATTCAGAGGACAAACTTGGCCAATACCGTATTGTTGCTCAAATCTTTGGGTGTCAAAAATCTGCTCGAGTTTGATTTTATGGATCCCCCTCCTCAAGTAAGTGGGCTGTGGATGATCCGAAGCAAGCTCACATATTTTGCAGGAGAACATTCTGAACTCAATGTATCAGCTCTGGGTCCTAGGAGCCCTCGACAATGTCGGCAACCTTACTCCCATCGGCCGGAAGATGTCGGATTTCCCTATGGAGCCTTCACTCGCCAAAATGCTCATCGTATCTGTGGATTACAAATGCTCCTCAGAGATGCTCACCATAGTATCCATGCTGTCTGTGCCTTCCGTCTTCTATAGACCGCCCCAGAGGGCAGACGAGAGTGACGCGGCGCGAGAAAAGTTCTTTGTGCCCGAAAGCGATCACTTGACTTTGTTGCATGTGTACACTCAGTGGAAGAGCAACGGGTATGCACTCGCCCAATATGATGGAATCATCTCGCTGACACCCTCATAGGTACAGTGACGCTTGGTGCATGAAGCACTTCCTGCACCCCAAGATCATGCGCAAAGCTCGTGAGGTTCGAAGTCAGCTGGAAGATATCATCAAACAGCAGCGATTGGCGCTTTTGTCGGTCGGAACCGACTGGGATATCGTTAGGTTCGTATCTATTATTCGATCCGTAACGGAGATTCTGACTTCATACAGAAAATGTATCACCGCCGGCTACTTCCACCAAGCAGCCAGGGTGAAGGGTATCGGAGAGTACATGAACGTCCGTACAGGAGTGAGTCGGACCGTCATTCTCCTGTATTGGTACTGATGTTACGTACAGCTACCATGTGTTCTTCACCCCACTTCGGCACTGTATGGTCTCGGCTGTAAGTCGTTGCGGTTTCTCGAATCTCACGAGCTGACAGTGTTTTGAAGATATGCCAGACTATGTTGTCTACCATGAGCTGGTCTTGACATCCAAACGTGAGTACCTCCATTACTTTCTTCCACATTGATGTTCATGTCCGTTGCAGAGTACATGATGTGTGTGACATCTGTGGACCCCTACTGGCTTGCCGATCTCGGGAGTGTTTTCTTCTCTATCCGAGAAAAGAATTTCGACGCCTTGGCGCGGGCCCGGGCAAACAGAGACTTCAGCAAGAAGACAGAGATGGAAGCAGAAATGGCCAGGCAACGAGAAGAGTGAGCCCTACATGTATCAGTTTTTGGGAGTGCTGCTAATGGACATAGGATTGAGCGGAACAAGGCCGACAAGATACGGAAAGAGGCGGTCTCAAAAACACCAAGGATCGGTGGGCTAGGAACCGCTGCGACGCCCAGAAGAGCAGGGATTGGGGCTGGCGCTAGAGCCAACGCGACGCCCAGAAGGAGACCAGGAGGCATCTGAGTATCTCGATATCCCTGTACTCCCTGTATCACTGTAGTATGACCTGTCACAACAGGTCGGAGAACTTATTCATACACTCAAAATTCTAGCAAGACATGTAACAGGCTGACAAGTACATTATATCACACCCTTGCAGTGCCATAGATTGGCAGATGCGTCACCAAGTTGACCTATGTAATTATTCTCATCAGATTGCTTATGGGACGAGATGTTTGGGCTTACGTCGGCTGGTTGATGACTCTCATGTGGTGATGCTTATCTTCCATACCGAAATTCGTCATAGCCTATGGATCTTGTCAGCTGTGGACGATGTCATAGTTGTTACATCCGTAGACTTGCGTGCATCATAGTTCTGCTCATCACCGGCCACTTTTCCTTGCCACCAGCTTCTTTAGGCAATCCAGTGGAATTTGGAGGCTTTACCAGACCAAATTCCGATGTGGGAAAGTACATGAACTTGTACTCATTCTTTGGGTTTGGCTGCACTGCAAGTGAAGGCTTGTTGGCCTCGGGCTTACTGGTAACAGGGGCAGCATAAGGAAGAGGTATTGGATGATGGTTGGGCAGTGGATAACCTCCCCAAGGGTGTTTGCCGGACATCATCTGCTTTTCCAATTTCCTAGTGGTATGGTTAGCTGTGGGCAATGAACGCTTAAACGTGAAACATGATCTACTTGATTGCCTTCTTTTCCATCTTGACTTTTTTCGCTTGTTCCTTCTTGTTCCTTTTTGCTTCCTTGTCCCTTAGCTTCTCGGCTGTCTTGGCCAGCTTTACTTGCTCCTTCATATGTTTTTCGTGTTTTTTGACCAGCTTTCGTTGTTCTGCTCTAGACAATTGACCGAATGAAAATTGACCCATCAAATCTGGCTTGTATGCTCCCAGACCGCCCATGCCGCCAGAGTACGGGTACGCCATTCCTGATCCCCAATCTGCATCGAGGTCTTTACCAGAAGGCAGTGGGCGATGAGACGGCCGAATAGACGATGGTAGACCTGGTAAAGCCTAAGACCCTCCTGTCAACAACTGGGAAGGCAGCCAGAGGAGTTCACTTACACTGGTCGGGTAAGCTGTCCATGGGTCACTCGCGCCGCCCGGCCCTTTCCACCATTCTCCTAATTTGTCCATCAGACCTCCTCTGGGCTTGTCAGGCATACCATAATTTCCCCAAAGAGAGGTACTCATAGGATTCGGATTTGCTTGTTGACCCGGCGATGCCCAAACGTATGGATGATCGGGTGGAGGCAACGTCGTCGCTCCTGGTATCTGATGAACGCCTTTCCCTTGCGCTAGACCTTGTTGTATGGCTCCTCCAGGTGCCCAAGCACCAGTCTTCGTACTGATACCAGGAAGTAGATATTCGAGACCGGAAAAATCCTCGTTTTGGGACGGAGGCGGGGCAGCTGCTCCTGCTATACGCCGACCACCACCGAGAGGATGAGGACGTTCGCCGGGAAGAGGGTTGCCACGAGCAAGTCGACTGAAGTCGGCACCAGATATGGGACCGTCCAAGTCAGGAGGAGGCCTTGGGACTGCCATGATAGGCGAACTTGTGGGACGGGCAGCGATTTATAGTTTCGGGCAGTGAGTGGGCTGTGATTTGCGGCTCGCGTGGCGATACGGCGGTATGGTGCTCGATTGAAGATCAGTTTGTAGGAGTAGCGAAAGATCGACAAGGGGAACCCATTGTCCTGGATATATAAAAGCATGGCCGGTTCCTCAAGCAAGCAGTGATTTAAATCTTGATGGGAACAGCGTCTACACGCGTTTCAACGTTGTTCTCATTTGTTTGGTTCCTGGCCTCCAAGGCTCCCCGAACCTATGTAGGCAGTAGTCGGCACATCGTCTCAAATCTCACATAGAACGGAATAAATCGGATGTCTGCGTAGCTACTAGATCACAATTCGGCTGCATGGCTTATCATTACACGGGATAAAACCCTTAATCGGTGGTCACAGACGTGCGAGCTGAAAGACACAGAATATATTCCCAAAACCCTCACAAGGCCAAGACACTGATTAAGCGGACTGGAGCTTGGGAGGGAATCCAGCGCCAGAAGCCTTCTCCTCGTTCCTGTCCTTTCGACCGCCCTTGCCCCCGCGGCCGCCTCGGTTGCCACCTCGGCCTCGACCACCACCCCTGCCCCTACCACCTCGACCGCGACCACCGCCCCGACCGCCTCGCTTCTTTTCCTCCTCTTCCTTTTCGTTCAAATCGTTGGCAGCAAGCTTTCCCTTGAAGGAAGCTCGCGTGTGCCAGAAGTTTCGCTGTTCCTCCTCTATGATAAGTGTCAGATTGTGATGGGAATATAATGATGAGATGTACATACCAGTCATTCGGGCCCATTCGACCTCGACACCTCCAAAAGTCATTTTCGCCTCCTTCAACTTCTCAAATTCCTCATCGGAGAACGCGCTGTTATCCGACTTCGCGATGGTGCCCCAGGTGTTACCAGGAGGGAAAGCAATGAAAGGAGCGGGCATGACTTTGGTGATCTGAGACTGTGGATTCATGTCAGCTTCAATTGGATCACGTTTTGCGCCGAACACACCTTCAGGTCTTTCCAGTCTGGGTTCTCACCGTGGTTGATAAACTTGACGGAGGATTCGGGGGTGAATACAATCTTTGACTTGTCGAGGACCTTGCCAGAGTGACGGTCACACTCAAGAGTGACGCCATTGTACTCGATAGTGAGAGGCTCAGGCTCTTTGGTCCTAGCCTCCTTTCCCTCCCGTCCCTCGTCATCCTCATCATCCCTAGACCTCTTCTTTTTGTTATCGGAGGCAGCTGCAAAGTTCTTGACTTCAGGTCGAGAGCCGATGATAGCAACGTTGTCGGGGATCTTGGCGAGGTTGGGCAGGGCGCCATTCTTGGCCCGCTCCATCTCTCGGAAGGCGTTGAACTTTCCGCTCTCCTTGGCATTCTTCACGTTGCCCTTCTGGATGTCGGCTTCAGGGATACCCTTCTCCTTGGCCTTCATCTTGACATAGGCGTCCCTGAAGCAAGTTAGCGCTGATAATATACCCCATGAAATGGCAAAAGTACTTGGACATGAACACCATATCAGGACCATCGGCAATGAACTTGGGGATGCTCTCTCGCTCGGAGAACTTTTTGGCGTCAGCCTCGTAGGCGAACTCGACGAAGACAGAGCCCTATACGAAACGTAAGTATCGCCTTGCATCGATGATGTAGCGACTGACCTTGAAGGGTCCCTTGCCCTTGCCATTCTTGCCCTCAACATCCTCCTTCCTCTTTCTCACAGCGTTGATCTTGCCAAATTGCTCACAATAAGCCTCGATCTTCTCCTGGGTGTTGTCGTCGGTGTCGTTCTCACCAAAGCCTTTCTGTTGACAAAGATCAGCTTCCGTCCGCGTAATATCTGGAAACGACGTGTAAGGATGGGGTACACGTACAATGTACACAGATCGGTCCCAAGCATGGACGTTCTTCTCCAACGGCCGGCTCCTCCTCACATTCTCCTCATCCTCACTGACAGCGATCAAGGGGTCGTTTCCATCTTCTTGAATAGACTGACGGAGACCGTATACAACGAAGGGCACTCCATAAGGCTGGAACTCTTGCATGCGCTTGAAGGTCAAGATGGTCTTGATGGGCACCCAGCCTTCGGGGTTGCAAGAAGTCAAGCTGAAGAAATACCTGTGACCTGGAGTCAGCGCTGCAATGCGCGCGGAGAAATTTACGACGCACTTGTCCACTGGCAGGTTGCTGTCACTGAAGTAGAAGCGAACTGTATTGAGAGTCAGATTAGGCATGCAGAGCACATACAAGAAAGCTGCAACGGTGGGAGGTACGAACCCTGCTTGGCAACCTTGGCGAGGAGTTCTGTGACCTCCTCTGGGGACTTGCCGTCGACGACGGGGAGGGGCCCGAGGGCGGCGGGGGCGGGGGCGGCTTCGGGGGCGGACATGGGGGCTTCGGGGGTGTAGAAATGGGATCAGCGTCAAATTTCAGCACTCCAACTCTGCAGAGGCCTCATGCAAAATATAAATATTGCTTCCGCTTTTGTCAGTGATTATGTAATGTCGCAAGCCCTGAAAATGACATGTTGCGCGACTGATATGTTGAACGAGATGGTCCATTCACCGGCTCAGCCAAAGCTAATTTATTGCTGCAAATCCTGTCACCATGTTGTCGTCTCTGTCCCTGCGAGAAGTCTTTCCTTCTTCTCATCTCATCTATCTCCGCATTTCCTCCTATTGCTCCTCTAATACTTGCTGCCGGTCAGCTCTCTTCACCTATCCCCTACCTCTTGACGAGGCCGCCTCTCTTTCCGCATATCACTCTCATTCACATCCACAAACATGGTCACCAAGAACCGCAACACAGCCGCCGTCGCCGCTGCATCTGCAGCTATGATCTCTCTTCCCAGGGCTGTCGGTGCTTCCCCCGCTGCGCGATGGGGCCACCAGGCAGTGTACGTCAAGTCGCAGAAAGCCATGTACATTGTGGGAGGAGAAGTCTCAGCTTCGGGTAGCCAGATCACCAATGAAGTGCTGATCTTGCCTGTGAGTTTGGCAATGTCCCTATAAGATGGTGAAACTGATGCATATCAACAGCTCAACTCGACTAGCCCCTCCTTCTCCACTGGTTCTTCCGAAGGTCTTCCCCCACACGCCTTTGCCGCGGCCGCTCTCACCTCGGACGAGAGTTCTCTGGTCCTTGTAGGTGGAATGACTTCAGACTGTAGTTCTGATGGGCTGGCCCACACTCTGGACCTCTCGGGCGATGATGGATGGACTTCGACCACACCGTCAAAGCTTAGCAGGCGAAGGGGAGCTCAATCTGCTTGGGTTGACAACAACTCGACCAATGGGGAGATCATGGTTGTCGGTGGTATTGCGGACTCCTACTCTTGCGGTATGTCTATACCGCCTGGTGTTATCATACAAAGACTGATGTTCTAATAGCGAACTCCACCTCAGTATACACCGCATCCGATATCCTCTCTTTGCCCCTCTCCACCTCCGCCCTGGTTTCTTCGAGATCTCTTCCATCTTCTCTCACCGGATCTACCCTGGCGGTGTCCGACTTTGGCCTGGCATCCGACTCTTCTGGTAAGATCTACTTGGCCGGTGGTCAGTCGTCTTCGGGCGACCTGGTGTCCCTCGACACAATCGGTGTTTGGGACTCCACCAATGGTTGGCAGTCGCAGAGCACAACTGGTGATGTACCTGATGGGAGACTGGGTGCTTCATTGGTCGCTCATCCATCCTTGGACGTACTGTACGTCGCGCTGTCTTCTTTTGCGAACACTGCTGACAAGGGTACAGTGTGCTTCTTGGAGGCCTTGTCGCCAATACAACCTCCGGTTCCTACACTTCGAGCCACTTGCTCGCGCTGCTCAACACCACCAGCTTTGAATGGTCTACCCCTTCAGACCTCCAGCCGGACTCATCATCCGCTGCTTCCTACCACTCGGCGGTCATGACTGACGAAGGCGTCATGATTTCGGCTTTCGGTCTCTCTGCTACCAACACTCCTCGCTCAGATGTGACTTATCTCGACTTGCGAGACACATCTCAGAGTGCTTGGACATGGGAGTCGAGCTGGAATAGCAATATGCTGAATGCCTACAGCTCTGATGCGTCCACTAGTGCCAATGGCACCACTGCAGCTTCGAGCACTGGTGGCGTCACAGCTGCAGACGCCAAGACGAGTACGGGCACTTCTTCCAAGAAACTTGCGAGCATCATTGTTCCCGTCTTGGTCGTTGCCCTCTTGATTTTGCCCATCATTGTTTACCTCGTGCGTCGTCGCATGCGAGTCATAAAGAAGCGACGCATGGCCCGACATTTCTCTTTCTCGTCCCAAGAGGAATCTGGCGCCTTCACCTCCCCCTTTGACCAATATCTCGCTAAGCGTCGATCGCAGGCACAGTGGCCTTTCGGAGGGCAAGATGCGAACGAACAAGGCGGCGGCATTGTCGGTGGTGTCACGGGCAGCCTTGGCCGCATGGTGAGCCGAATCAGTAACCGCAGCTCCGAAGACGAGCACAACAACATGGAGGAAGGCGAGAGGCAGATGGCCCAGGTTGGTCAACGAGTCCGAGTCAACGCGGATAATCAGCAGCCGATGAACTGGGAGGAGATCGACTTTGGCCTCGGGAAACTTGACGAGTCAAAGAATCACGATTCTTCTCATATTGCCAGTTCGGGAGCGCCTGTCCGCGATGATCAGGACCTTACCGCCGGGACCACCACTGCTGGCGGATACTCGGATGACGTGCTTTACGCCGCCGCTGAGGCCATGACGCCCAACCCACACGTCTTTGGAGATGAACATGCTGTCTCTCAACCGGCCAACACTCTCTCTTCTGCCTACCCTGCTATTGAACCCACTCCTGCCTACACCGCTGTCGCTTCGGACGGTGACTGGAACCAGCTGGAGCAGAGCTTGTCCTCAAAGCCCGCTTTCCGCTCAATCTCGCCCACTGCCCAGCTTCGTTCACACGCCCACCTCGGTTCCTCATCCACGCCTTCCTCTCCCACTCCGCCCACCACGGCTGCGGTCCAGCGCACTGCATCTCTCACTCGTACAGTCTCACAGGCTTCGACTGTACCTAGCATCCCACCTTTCGAGTTTGAGCGCACCGAGTCTCCCGGCGGGACGATCACCCTCATCAACCCCAAGGACAACTCGGAAGCGAAAGAACCCGAGACACTCCCCTTTTCCAATCAGCCCAAGAGACTCTCCGGTACCCCTCACCGAAGTGTCTCTCAGCCCATCAGCCGTCAGCTTGCCGGAGGCCTCAGCCGACGAGGCTCTGCGCCTTCTAGCTCTGGCTCTGAAGACGGCCAATCTCCCAAGTTGTCTGGCGTGAGCGGTGGGCAGACCGCTCCCCAGAAGACGAGGGCAGTGAGCGCCAGTCATGCAGCGCCATCTAGAAAGGCCAGCCTTTCTAGCAATGGATCGGTCAAGTACCCTTCTGCGTCGAAGAGGAGGACGCAGTTGAGGGTCGTCAACATGGCGGCGGACGAAGAGGATTAGGTGTGACTTTCATTTTGCAACTTATTGAGGAGGTATTCTCAGCCACAAGTGAACGAAACTCAGTGAGAGATGCTGCTCGGCTGGCCCGGGCAGGTGAATACGTTTGTAGCAATTGATATAGTATAGTTTACGAGTATGCAAGACTAATCTCGTGAGGCCGCGGAGGAGTGTAGGGGGCGGGGATTCCTTTCGATTATCTGAGTAAACAATGGCCAGTATGGCCCCTGCCCATGCTAGGAAGTTGCGTACATACAAGTGCAGTAAGAGTACTTTGTGGTCGCGCGATCGCGCGACAGGAAGGGATGACTGAATGCTTACGTACTGCGCGATGCAGGCGAATTTGGCGATAACTGGCGATGGTGAACGGCTCTCGGAATGGCAAATGGGCACAGGTTATTTGATCCAGCGAATTTTGCCATCATGCCATACCGTATATATACGTCTAGGGGTTCGTCTTGAAAACCAAGTACTCGTCCGCACAACATCGTCCGAACACCATCTCAAGTGACATGGCGACCCAACAAAATTTCGAGCAGCCTGTTCAGAGGAGCGGCGAGTCCGCCCTGTCACTAAGCATCGGCCCGTCAACGCCCTTGCCAGAGCCCCAAGCAGCACCATGGGGAGCAAAGGTCAGCATTGTAGGAATGAATGCAGCGAGGGGAGCTGACAGATATCCACAGTGGCGGAGTTCTTCCTGGTTCATCACTCTAGTGGTGGCTCTCGGTACATCGACCGACATCTTGACATATGTGCGCACATTGCCAATTGCTTAACAATTGCCAGCTGATCAATTAACAGACCATCGTTGTACCCGTCCTGCCGTATCGATTACAAGAAATGGGATACACCAATGTGTCTGGCCTGACTGCCTGGCTTCTATTCGCCTACTCTGCCGGCATATTCGTCTTCACCTTCCCAATCGCCTATTTTTTCCACAGACACCCGTACCGCCGAGCGCCTCTGGTTGCTGCAGTCATAGTATTGGAGCTTTCACTGGTGCTTTTCATGCTAGCCAAGCCTTACTGGACTATGGTCGTCAGCAGATTCTTGCAAGGCGCCGCCTCAACGGTCGTATGGTCGGTTGGCTTTGCTCTAATGTAAGTTTGACTATGGAGTCCAAGGCATGTAGCTCATGATCACCCGTAGATGTGAGAATGTCGAAGAGGAGAACGTTGGCCGACAAATAGGGTTCGCGATGGCCGGTGTGTCAATTGGCTCGACTATCGTAGGCCCCCGCGATCTTCCATCTATTCAACTCATTACTCACAAGCGTTGACAGGCTCCGCCTATAGGAGGCGCATTATACGACAGGTATATCACCATGGTGACTTGACAGTATCCGTATGCTAACCAAAACCCCTGCAAAGCTTGGGCTGGCATGCCCCCTTCGTCTTTTGTATCATTGTCTGCGCAATCGATCTCATCCTTCGACTTTTTGTCTTGGAGAGAGCAGACATTCGCAGATTTCATGAAAAGCGACTTGGTCTGGAAGCTGGCGCTTTGAAACCAAGGATTGTCGATGGAGAGGTTGTCACACCCAAACATGTGTCACTTCCGGACAACAGCTTTATGCAGTTGACAACGGCCGAGAAGGAAAAGCTTTCTGGCGTTGAACTCACCCCGTGGCAAGTACTCGTTGCGCTGGGTCGCTCAGGCAGGGGCATGACCTCGTTATTGACAATGTTTTGCTATGGCTTGATTATGGGATCCACTGAACCTACGTAAGCTGTTCACTGTCCGACTTGTATGCGTGCTCATCCAAAAACAGATTGACCCTTCGAGTTCAGAGCCTGTGGGACAAAAGCTCGGACTTCGTTGGTCTAGTATATCTAGCCGCAGCTGCCCCCACCTTCTTCTGCGGCCCAATAGTAGGCGCGCTTGCAGACAAATATGGGGCAGAATGGATCATGGTACCCTCCATGATTTTCACCCTCCCTTGGCTACCTCTACTCTTATTAAAGAAGAGCTTGGCCGGCTTTATTGTCTTCTTTGCCTTTGCCAGTGAGCTCATTATTTGCTATCACTGCACAAGCTGATATATCTTCTAGATCTCTGGGTCAGTGCTGCCATGTCTCCGACAGGTCTTGAAGTCACGATGGTCTCCAGGAGCGTTCCAGGCATCAGCGAAATACGTGAGCTTGCATTAGTATGCGTGGTCTTACCCGCAACTGACATTCCTCCAGACCAATTCTCTGCCATGAACATTGCTTTTGGTATGTCCCCTGTACTGTCTCATGTAGTCACTCTTACCAAGAATTCTCTTTAGCTATCTCCACTGCGATCGGCACTATCGCCGGCGGACAGATGTACGATCACCTCCAGAATGGATGGGCAGCCGTCATTTGGTTTTCGTTTGCTTCGGCGGTTGCCATAATACCCCTGCAGTTCTTCTTTTCAGGCAACATCTCCCTATATAGGAGGCTGTTTGACCGCAAGGCGGTAAGGGAGAGTGACATAGAGGAGAGGGATAGTGCGGCCAACGATGGGGGTCGAGACAAGGAGGTGGCGAACGGGCAACTGTCGCCTTAACCGACGAAAGGCAACCTGGAAAGAGAGGAATGTGATTCATCCATCTCATGGCAGCACCGTCCAGCCGTCCTTGTCTGGACACTGGAACCAAATGTCAAAACACGGCTCGGTATCGAGTAGCCGAAGCATCGCACTGTACGAGTACTCTACGAGTACTACGGTATATTCTTAACGCACTGTAGCGCCATAATGAATTCTATAATACTTCTCGACATGCCCGTTCAAATCTTGTCACAATGCATATACTGCCATAGAAGATTGCTTTATACACCGCGGCAAGTCAAAGTCACGACTGGAATGTTCTATAGTTGCTTGGTTTGCTTATTGCTAGGCCCGCCCGGCGTCTCGGGCTTTGGCTCAGGGCCTGAGTCCGCGGCTACGTTCACGCTGAGCGAGATCTTCCAGCTATCACAGCCACCGCCATGACCGTCGCGAACGAACAGCCCCGACAGCTGCCTCTGCCTTGGATCCAGACCCCTCTCATCCGGTCGGCTACTTTGTCTGAACTGGCTGGATGGTGGGTCTTGCCCGTTCATGCCATGCACGAAAGCGCTGCTGACATGATAACAGTGAGATCTACCTCAAACTTGATAACATCCAGCCCAGCGGATCCTTCAAGTCGAGGCAAGTTCGCTTGAAGGCACTCGGGTCATGAGCTGACTGCAAACAGGGGTGTCGGAAATCTCATCCGCAAAGCCGCCCTCTCCAGCCGCTCTGGCTCCCCTCTCCACTTCTACTCTTCCTCTGGGGGCAATGCGGGCCTTGCCTGCGTATCTGCCTCCGTCCTCCTCTCATACCCCTGTACTATTGTCGTTCCCCTCTCGACCAAGCCGTTCATGATTGACAAGCTCAAGAAGGCCGGGGCGAGCGAGGTCAAACAAGTAGGAGCTACTTGGTTTGATGCGGACAAGTACTTGAGGGAGGTCTTGCTGAAAGAGGATGAAAACGGGGTGTATGTTCCGCCTTTTGATCACCCCGACATCTGGGAGGGGGCCGAAAGCTTGGCAGATGAGATTATCAGAGATCTCGGGGAGGTGCCTAGTGGGGTTGTATGCTCGGTTGGAGGCGGTGGTCTTCTAATCGGGCTATGCCAAGGGCTAGACAGATTGGATGCCTCGCATAAGGCTCAGGTGGTAGCCGTTGAAACGTACGGTGCCGAATCCTTACACGAGGCAGTCAAAGCTGGCGAGCTCGTCACTCTTCCCGGTATCACTTCCATCGCGACCAGTTTGGGAGCTGTTCGAGTAGCCAGCAAGGCATTCGATTATGGCATGAAAGAGCACGTGCATAGCGCCTTGGTAACGGACAAGGAAGCTGCAGAAGCTTGCGCGAGATTCTTAGACGACGAGCGGATCTTGGTTGAGCCAGCTTGTGGGGCCACGCTGGCTATGGTGTACTCTGGGCGGTTAAAGGAAATTTTGAGCTACAAAGAACACCACAAAGTGGTGCTGGAAGTCTGTGGAGGTTCAGCCATCTCGTCGGAGATCTTGGCTGGGTACAAGCAGATGTTTGACTTTTGATATGGAACATAGATAGATACAAGGATGCAAATGTATCATATAGAGTGCCAGTATGTTATCACGGGTGGTCAGAGGTGATAACATGGAGGGATTAGGAGACGACAACCTGAAAGCAGTCATTCTCCACTTCAGCCTGACGTCTCATCTCTTTCAAGCCATATTGCGCAGCCTATTCCATTCTTTCTTATCTTAGGTCACTCCTATTCTGACCCCTCTGCATCGTCCCAGACATTGCCACTGGCAGGTCTCTCCATATCTCTAGATCTCTTAAGAGTGGCGTGGTACAGGGAATGCACACTAATACAAACATATTGGTCTTCAGTCTCTCCCAACCATTGATCTAGTCCAAGAAGGGACGTTGATTGAGGATGTTTGCAACTTCCCAAGCGTGGTCAGAATCCCCCATGTCGTGCCAAGCCCAAAAGTCGGATAACATTCGGGCACCAGCCCGGTTGTCGAAACACGCATGAGGCCTGGGCATCCTTTAGTGACAAGTGGTTGAGCAGAAATGAGACAGACTCACCCAAAAGCACCCAGCATCTCGAGAGCTGCGCGGCGCGAGGGATGGCCTCGTGGTATTTCGAACCCAGCAATGACGATGGGCCATGTCAACCTGAATGGCAATCAGCTCAAGTGCACCACGATGATACAAAGTACTCACCAAGTGATCTTTCCGTAAGACGCCAACATCTCGGCGGCCAGCTCGATGATTGAGTCTACACTATTCATTACAAGTTCGTCATCGCTCGGCACTCCATACACCTTCCTTAACAGCCTGATCTTGATCGCATGTCGGTACGCCAAGTTGCCATACTGGGTGCGAGGATGCAGAGGGGTGAAATTACCGGCTTCGTCCCACACCTGTATCTCTGCCATGAGACCACGGGCTGCGCGTTGCAGCTCCGAGAGAGAGTTGGGGGGAAGGGGCTGGGAAGAGCGAGTCGGGGAAGCGGGTGGAGAGGGGTCGTTGTCGCTGAATAGTGGTTTACCTAGAGCGCGCACCGCAGCGATAAGACCACATGACTATGCAGATCGTTAGACACAGCCACACAGTTGGTTCATGGCAGACTCACTCTGGCAATGAGATCAACCATTCCCCTCGAAATCCCAAACATCCGCTCAACACTCTCCCACTCCAGATCCGTCCGTGACCACGTCTGCGCGGTGAAGAACCATGGAGAGAACGCGTCTTGCAGGATGGACGGCGCCAGCTCCGTCGTCATGCAGCCAAACACGTCTCGAATAGCAAGCTGTTCCATGAAGAACCTGCAGGGGGAGATGCGGTCGCGGGGCGCATCGCGAAGAATGTTTTCGGCGCCGCCGAGTTGATCAATGAGTATCAGGACGGAGGATAGGAGGTGGTGCCATGAGTCGTCAGCCGCCAGCGACTATTGGTTGAATCAGCTTTTGCCGTATTCTCACAACCCCACCTACACTAGCGATAGTACAACTCAACAAGGCCCCCAAAACCAGCTCCATATCGTCGTGGCTCAATTGCTTAGGCCGTCCGTCTTGATCCTGCAGTGTTTGTTTTACCATGCTCAGGACCTTGTCTTTGGCAGATTTGCAAATCTTGTTGGCGACGGCTTGCCTGTTGGGGTGGGTGGTATAGTGGAGGTGAACCGACCCTACGGCAAGCATGGCGATTCGGAGGGCGTCTGCTGCGGGGTTCATTCTAGCAGAGGAGATCAGCGAAAAGTTTTGGACCACGGGAGATAGCATATACCCAGGGAGATGTTTAAAGGCTAGAGGAGCGTGTATGCTGAGCCAAGGATTCCATGGATGCCGGTGCGATTCAAACGCTATTATGATGTGTACTGTCTTGGAAAGGTAGTGCCGTATGATTAAACGTTCATCCCTAGATACATGTGAGCAAGTACAAAAGGCTGAAAGATTTTACTCACACCGAAGGAAAATACGGTTGTAGAAATGTCCTGAGATATGTCAGCATTGCGCTCAGTACCATCCTTGGACAGGCTTACGGCTCCATCATCAGTTCTGCCCTGGCCTTTTCCGGGACCAGCCAGTCCACAAAGTCGTCCCTCTCTTTTTGCTTTCCCTTGTCCTTGCTCACAACCCTCTCTGGCGTCTCTACCGCTGGCGGCTTTCTCGACTCTTCTGCTCTGTTCGAATTCTGACCCATGCTGCCTGCAGGTAAAAATCCTGGCGGTACATGCACTGTGCCCTTGATAGCATGTTTGGGAGGACGGGGCATATCAACCGGGACAGAGATGGTCGGGATATGGAGAGGCGAGGGCGAGTGCGGGAGGTACTCTTTCCCTCGTACCGACCGGCCATAATATGACCTGCCGTTGAAGCTCCTGGGTGTGAACCCGTTACCGCCCGCCTTGCGTTTCTTGTTTCTCCGTCTCTCGGCCTCGTCTTCCGAGGGCCAGACGCACTGCTCTATTGATGAGTCTTGTTCATATGGATTGAAAGGAGGACGCACGTCTCGGGCCTTGATCCGGCATTTATCGCACACTGGCCGTTGTTCGTCGCACTGCGCGGAAACGTCAGCACAAAGTCACACCACCTCTGCGAGCCCCAGCATACTTTGACCTTTCGTGACCTGCATGTGAGGCAGCCGTCTCTGGAGCGCTGGGGGCGTGCATCTGCCTTGGGATTAGTGGCTACGCTGCCGTCGGGCGAGGAGGGCGGGGGCTGTTCGCCGTCGTAGTCTGCGTCGTCGGGGTAGTGCTGGTAGTGGGAGACCTCTGAGCGGGAGTCCATCGAGGCGGGATAGGGCTCGAGGGGGGGCTCAGGCGACATGGGGAGATGGGAGAGGTGTCCGGACAGGGGAAGAGGATTGTTGTGATAGCCGAGGGGTTATCTTGTATCTCGCCACATTTGATCCCGCCCTCCACCTCGCGTCATCATGCCCCCTGTCTCCTCTGTCCCGGCACAATCCGCTGAAATCCGGACATGCTCGCTCGCTCAGCCCTCCTCCGCGCCCCCGTCCTGTCCATCGCCCGCCCCCCCGCCGCCCCAGCCCGGACACTGCCCATCGCACACCTCAGAGCCATGTCCACCAGCCCCGACGCCCCGATCGTGCCTACCGATCCATCTACCGTGGCCAGCCCCCTCGGCGACGGCAAGTTCATCCAGACAGCTGGGTGCCTCATCATCGGGTAAGTGTTGGCTCCTTGCCACGCGGTAGTCAGCTAATTGAGCACTGCGCACAGAGACGAGGTCCTCAACGGAAAGACCAAAGACAGCAACAGCAAGTACGAGCGAATCACCACCTTTCCCCAAAGTCACTGACCCTTGCCCTTCAACAGCTTCTTTGCCCAGTACTGTTTTGATCTGGGTATAGACCTGTGCGCCTCAGTCATTCTGCAAGAGAGTCGTGTCGCTCACAACTCACAGGAAGAGGATCGAGGTGATTGCGGACGATGAAGATGAGATGTAAGCCAGCGCTGCATATTGGCATTGGAGCAAAAGTCCTGATTCCATCTAGCGTCGAAGCTGCGCGTCGAATGACTGAAAAGTACGACTTTGTGGTCACCTCTGGAGGCATCGGCCCCACCCATGATGGTGCGATACACGGTGACCCACTTGTCTTTGTCTACGCTGATGTGTCTACTAGACATCACATACGCCTCCCTTGCCAAAGCTTTCAACCTTCCCCTTGTCCATCATCCCGAGACACTCCGCCGCATGTGGGCCCTCACAACTCCAGAACGCCGTAAAGAGCTCGAAGCGGCATCCCAGGCGCAGCGGGAAGCCCGGGAACGAATGGCGCTGTTTCCTACGTGGAAGAAGGAGGGAGATGCGAAGAGCGAGGCTATCTTTGTCGAGGCAGACAAGTGGGTGCCGGTGGTCAGGCTGGGGGGCAAGGTAGGTTTTGCAGCCCGGGTGATCAAGGTATGGACTGCGCTGATTCGTGTCACAGCTCTGTGTCTTCCCTGGAATCCCTTCTTTGTTCCAACAACTGCTGTTGGCATTGACTCCTTACCTGCCGCTGCCCCCAGCATCCTCCAAACCGTTTAGGCATCTCATATACACCAGGCAAGTCGAATAATTGCTTTGGACTTTTCGTCTTGATGCTGACTTTCCATCTCTTTACAGCAAGCCCGAATCAGCAATTGCCCCCTATCTCACAGAGCTCCAAGCGCGAGTCAAGAAGGAGGGTATCAGGATCGGATCATACCCCTACCTTTACCAAGGTGTTCACGTCAGTCTGATTGGGCATGATGTTGACCGGATCAGGTCGCTTGGGGAGGAGGTGAGGATCTCGCAGAGCTAATTAGATGTGAGCTGATATCATCTTCTAGGTGATCAAGGAGCTGGATGGAAAGGTAGTATCAGAGGGCAAGTTGGGGGTTGAATCGGGGTCAAAGTTGTAAATGAGACCGCAGTATATATGAGCCGAGTCGCGACCCCAAAGCAGATAGGAGCTGGTAGGGATAGTCGGAGCATAGACTGCTTCATGTATGCGCTGCACTTGGCAAAGACCCAAGAACGAATGCCAAACGAATGCACACGTCGGTTGAGCCTGCTGCGTGTCCGCAATGTCCGGATCGCGACATTGTCCGGACCTGGTTCTCCATTTCGTGCATCTCGTCCGTTCGTCCTTACAGCTCTTTACAAGTCCTCGATATCGCACTGCCATCCACCATGGCGTCCCCCACAGATGCCCTCGACCTTCTCCGAACATCCATCACCAACAACACCCCTCCAACCCTCCTGACCGCCGCATCCGACCCTTCCCCCACCCTCGCTCTCGCCTCCTACCTCTCCTTTCCCTCGTCCCCTTCCCCCATCCAGCTTTCAAAAGACACTGCTACTCGATTCTCGTCAAAAATTGGATCAGTGGACGAGTTCTACAATGTAGGGCAGCTTTACCTGGCGTGGGTGGAGAGAGAGAGCGGTGTTCGGGACTATTTGATGAAAGGTCAGGCCGGAGGAGTGGGATATGTCGCCATCACGGATAGGAGGGTCGTGGTGGATTACTTGCTTGGAAGTGGGGATGGCGAGGGGAGAATAGTGGCGAGAGGCGAGGAGGGCGCTAGTGAGTCGGGCGCGTCGATGTGGGATGAGGGCTGACCAAATGGCGGACAGAATCGCAAGCGGCAGAAGCGTCAGCAGCATCCGCTACCGCTGAAGCGCTCCCTTCTGCCTTGGAAGCAACTCAATCAGGGCCTTCCAGTGCTGCTGTACCGTCAAAGCGCAAGTATGAGGTGGACGTTGCGGACCGCGAATTTTGTCGAAAAGTGAGCAAACTCAGAGGATCCAGTCGAGCGATAGCTGATGGCTGTCCAGTTGAGGACAGAGGAAGTCGAGCTCAGGGATAGGAATAGTGCTCTTCGTTCTGCTGGAGGTGGCAAAAACAACGTGAGTTCTTGTTCACCTCTAATTCCTCTCCTAACGCCATCATAGGCGTTTGAATCGTTCGCCAAAAATGTCATACACGACAAGATAAAAGCTCTTCGGACATCTTTGGCCGACAGTAAGGGCGGAAAGTCTGCGGCACCTGTCCTTGCCCCGCAACCAGATTTGAACAGGGCGAAGAAGGCCAGGTCGACAAATCCTATCATTGTCATCTCGTCCTCACCGACAAGTTTGATCACTATGTGGAACGTAAAGAAGTTCTTGGAGCAAGGGGTGTATGTTGTCAAACTCACCGGCTATATTGGGTGCTGATAAGCAATCACAGCTTCGAGTCTTCAGAACAAGCCCGGCAACGTGAAGCCTCTCAAGGCAATGCCAAAGCCGAGGACATGGTACCGGTCGTGCGCAAGCGAACAGGGCCACATGGCGATGTGACAAGCAAGTACTATGTGGTGGATAGTGCCGATGCGCTTGCAAAATTCGGGCAGGATGCTTGGTGAGTGTCGTTACTCTTTTAACATCGAGCCCGTCATTAATGTGAGGTCGTAGGGATCGAGTCATCTGTGTGATCACCACCGGTCAGGCGTGGCAATTCAAACCTTACAAATGGCAGGATCCCAGAGTTCTGTTCCAGAATGGTGAGGGTCATTGAATTTCTTGAAGATATGCGAAAATTGACAACTTCTCGCAGTCAAAGGTGTCTATTTTCATTGGAACAATGAGCCCGTCAACCCTACAGTGAAGGATTGGAACGTGACAGAGATGAAGGTAGGATGGACTGATTTATGGTCTCTTTCGTAAAAGCTAACGTCTTTCTTCAGATTGACAAGAACAGAAGACATACGGATCGACAAACTGTTGCAGACTTTTGGAGAATCATGGATGGCGCCAAACGACGATAGCTTGCACTGATGTATTGCCGTATCTGACGACTCGGTATCTCGTTCCCATTCCATCGATTGCTGTGACACGGTACATCTCATGTGGATCAACAGATAGCTGGTATCTTGGCCATCGGTAGATTTCCCGACTACAGAGCCTCGACCGCCGAGTGTTGTACAAAATTTTGCCTCTCCAACTGCCTTCTATATTCCAACCCATTTGTACACCGTGACTTTCTGCTCGCGTGTTAGCGGAAACACTGATAGGTGGCCATCAAGAGCTGATTGATTACTCACCCCTATGACAGGCTTCGATACCAGCTTCTTTGCTACCAACGTTATGAGACACTTGTTGACCCTAGCCTGCGGCATGTCAGGAGGTGCCACCATATCTTTCACTGTGCGACATCAGCACTGCTCTATCTATCTAGTCGCGGGGAGGCTCACAAGAGACGCCCTCCGGGTTATCCATCAGCTTCATGATGACCTTCTCCATTCGCAATCTCTCAGTCTACAACACATTAGTGGAGATCAATGTGACTTGGTAAATGCTCACAGGGTTGCCTCCTCGATACTCCAAAGGAAGCGTGTCAATGATGCCTGACACTTCCAGCTAGAGAAAAAAATCAGTCCGTAATTCGGGGCCGATGTAGCAGATTCCGACGAACTTCGCGCTTCTTTTTGAGAGCCCCTGTAGGCTTCTTGCCAGCTGCCCCGGTTGGAGCCTTCTTCACGCCTGCACCTGCACCTGCACCCACCCTGGACTTTGGCCTTGCGGGGGGCGTCTGTTCCATAGAGTTGTCCGAATGCGTTGTCATGTATGTCATGTCTGCAGCATTCGCGGAAGCTTGCGTCTCTGAGCGCGAACTGGACTGTGAAGGCCTAGATTGAGGAGTGGGAGGCATCGCAGATACTGATGGGGGCGGGGCAATGGGCTCTATTGCAGTCACAGTCAAGATATATCACTAGCACTGTCAGTACACACACCCTTTAATGACTCTGCCCGCTGGAAACTCAGCTCGTTTGGCGCCTGGGAACAGAATCTCAGCAGTGACTTTCACCGTTGACCATCAGACTCACCTCTGGCCATTCAACACAAAAAGCGTTCATCTTGAGCGTATACAGGTAGCCCGCAAAAGCTTCGTTGAATGTACCAAGAGCATCATGGAGTGCGGTCATTTGTGAGGTATTGGTGGCCAAGGTAGCAGCCTCGTCTGACAAGTCTGTTAGGGCGGGCAGCAGAAAGTCGAGGCCGGATGGGGAGGAGTTTGCCCGGTCGGTTGAGCGAGCCAGAGAGGACAGCGATCCCGTGGAGATGCGCCGCAGCGGGTGGTGGGGAGTGTTCGACGAGGGAGGCATCGCGGCGAGGTGTGATTGTTGCAGAGGCAAGAAGATGGCAATCATGATTTGTTTACGTTTTGGGACGCGACGCGAATATCCTTACGTAATAGCATGCAAGGCGGGTAAAGTAGTGTGTTTTGATTTTGAAGCCAGGAGGACAATTGGGACGACTCTCCTCGATGGACATCCATATCGAACCAGTCATACCTGTCGCCCAGAAGATGGTGATATCAGTTACTTCATCAGAGAAACGCGAAACAGTCCGCACTACTGTCAACGGCACGATATTTGAGAGCGAAGACGTCACAAAGATCTTTGTCATCGAACCGATGCCGCCTTCATCCTCTATACCAGTGCCCCTCGCGAAGAGCTCCATGATTGTGGATCAGGAAGAGCCGGCAAGAATCGTCTTGACGATTGTGGTATCTATGGCGTGGGTGCTATGGCTTTGGTGGGCCTTTTCTTGAGCTTTATGGGCGTCTCAGGTGTTATGTTGTGTATCAGACTGTGTACACCACGCGGCAAAGTGTAAGGCAAGTACCATAATGCTACGTATATCCGGATCCCGATAGCTGACATTATCGCTATAGAAGCGAAGCGCAACCCCCTTCAGAATTTCTTCTGGTCCATCTCTCGACCTTCTTCCCACATTGTCCTGCCACTGCAGGCACACACTGTCTTGTCGTTGCCCCATGCGCCTGCACTTCTGGCAACAACACCCGCAAACAACCTCCCAATAGTGGAGGTACTGTTCTCCACCTTCGCCGCGTCCTTGACGTCCTGCTGGGCGACAGTTGGCGCTGCGTTGGACGCAGCCTCAACTACACAGCCTCGGCCTATCCATTCCCAAAGCTCCCCATCTACTTCCTTGAACATATCGCCATAACCGTTCTTGTCTGGAGTGATGCTCCCGAGAGAGAAGAAGGGCTTGCCGGTTGTAGATGGAGGGTTGATGAGGTTGCCCGTAGAGGCAATGTAGACATTGTATATGGAGTCTGTTGCTTGGCCAAGACCAACTCGCGCAGGTGGGGGTAAACGGACAGTCAAGTCCATCAATACTGTTTTGGGCGCAATCTGCACGAACCTGCAGATACCAAACACCTTTTGCGTGTGTTCCTCCTCGTTCATGCCAGGCAGGGGCTTTGCAGCCGCAGCCTCCGAGAGGCCAGCGAGGATGGGGTTGGATGTGGATGCGAGCGAAGTGGGAAGGGGCAAGGGAGATTCCATGATAGCCACAGCGGCTTGTATGGGAAGGTTGGGGTTGGTAGAAGATGATGTGCCTCGTACGATGACCTGTCGATTCGTTGCTTTGAGGGCAGACAAGAGTTGTGACGGGGGAGCTATATCAAGTATTAGAAATGCACCGGGTCATGTCATTCATACGTACTTCTGCCTGTGATTATGACCTGCTTCTTTTCCAGGTCGATATCGTATCTTTCGACGCCTATATGATTATCAGGCATGCCATTATTGCTGAAGCGTAACCCACACACCTTCAACGTTCCTTAAAGACTCGGACACAGCATTGACACACTACAATGGCGGATCGTGATTAGTCCAGGAATTTTCAAACTATGCTGCTTTGTCATACGTTTTGGCAAGTCATATCGACCGCAAATTCGGTCTGAAACATGTCAGTCCGGCGGTGTGGGATGTGCAAGGCTGAGAATACGCACCTTGAAGGCGAAAGTGGCTAGCGTCATGTCTTGGGAGGCGCGATGTGGGTTAAACAATACTGACGACGGGAGAGATGGCAAGATGAGATGGCGAAATCAGTCAGCGACGAGGGAACATCCGAGTGCCTCCACCCCGAAGGCACGGCGGGCATCTCCGCTAAGCGCGTCTGAGATGGTGCAGCGTCTTTACGCGACTGATCACTCTTCTCTTGCGCATTAGACTCGCAGGCTGCCATCACCTATCACACCCAGGGAGCCCGCCATGGAAAGTATCAAGGACTGGATTGCGCCCTTGATCAGCAGGATCGACAAGGATAACGGTGGTTATAGTCCTACACTCGTCATCTCAGGAAAGACCGGCTACTGTTGCCAGCTGCAGAAGGCGAGTCTCCTCTTCACCTCCATCGACACATTTGGAGGAGACGCTAATCAAATCGGACAGTTCTTGACGTTCAGAAGCGCGGAAAGCCCTCAGGAGGAACTCCATGCGACAGCAAACGACGCACAGCACCATATCAAGTTGGTATTTGATGTGGTAGAGACGAACAGATGGGAAGCGTTCGTACGCTTTACTTCGAGTCTAGCATGCGATGGGCTTACTATCTCCACATCACAGAGAGTTGAAAGACCTGGCACCCAATGAGCGAAGAGATCTGACCCAGTATCAGCGTGCGACTTTTGCACTCCAATCATTCGAGATGCGGATGGAGTCAAGAAAGACCGGGCAACTGCCAAGGGTGGTTCTTTACGTCAAGAAATGGCATATATGTGGCAGCTCTGACGAGGTTCTGTACTATCCTGATGTCAAAGAGTTTGGAGATCCTGATGACAACGATGCGGGGAGGAATGCGACTGTGGTGATATCGAGATGGTGGAACGGTGGGTGAGTAGTGACGCTCTGGTCTCTGGGCCATTAAAGGCTGACGTTTTTATCTCCAGAGTGATATCATCTGTTTTGTCATCACCCAAGGCGACAATCGGGAATTCAAGCTTGGACCACGAAGATGGACAAGAAAAAGAGATCATTGGGTATCAAAGGCCCGGCAAGTGGTCTACAGAAAACGCCACGGCCATCTGTGCTGCATATGGTCCAGGTATACTCGACTCAGGCGTCGCTGGGAATGGAGACGGGGATGGACCTCCACGTCGTCAAAGCCAGCCATACGCCCGATGGTCTCCCCAAGACACAATCTCTGCAGGTCCTTCTGGGTCTGGTCCTCTCGTACAGGAAGAGCGAGTTGCCTCATTGCCTACGCCTCCCCGAGAGCCGCAAACTTTGAATGTCTCGGCTGTCGTTTCTCCTCCCACATCTCTTTCCTTGCCCGTCCAGCCTCGCAAGAGACAATCTGTGTCTCCTAGTAGGCGCATCACCGACGTATTCGCCCCTACTTTGCCCGCCTCTAGCCAGCCGGCATCACCTTTTGCTGGCGATGCGGATTCGGGAAGCACGTCATCTCAAGGGCACAATGTGCTCCCTTACTCTCCGATACCTTTGTCATCGGCTCCGCCTTCGTCTTCCCCGCTTCCTTCGGCATCGGCTGTGCAAGCTATCCGTCGTGCGGCTGCCGAGGTCGCGCCCAGCCTGCCGCCGAGCTCTCCGCTCTTCTCTCAGCCTTCTTCCCCCTCTCACCATACACAGCCAGGTAGCCGCATCCAGAAGCAGAATGACTTGCAACAAAAGTGGGACAATGGTTCTCTTGCTCAAGCCCGAGGAAGAGCACGAAAACAGGCGGTTGAGAGGTATGACTACGTGGATGAAGAGGATGAGAGTGAGGATGATGGGAATGAGATGGAGATCAAGGCGGCGTTCGGGGAAAGAGCAATTCTGTCGAATAGCCAATTTGGCAAGCAAGATGTGCGCAGACTCTCTCCGGCCAAACGCCCGAAAGACCCGGACGCGACGCCAAGGTCGAAGAGGAAGAGGCCAGCAATGGAGCACGTGGGCGATCGGCTGAGGGCTGGAGCGGAGCGAGACAACGACGAGAGTCAGGGGAAGGAAGACGACGGAGGCTCCAAGGGGGGAGCATACGAGGAGGACGAAGAGGGGGGACATGAAACAGACGGTGAAGACGAGGAAGAAGAGATGGAAGAGGAAGAGAGAGAAGACAGTGACTTTGCGGGTTCTTCATCATCAGCAGAGCAAACACCAAAGACAAAAACCCAGTCACCCATCCATTTCAAGCCTGTACCGAAAGTGAATGGCTTCAGGCTGGACATGTTCCTGAGGTTTGGAGGGCTGACGAAAGAATATGTGAGGAACGCGTTAGAACAGGCGGAGAAGAAGCGAAGAGAGCAAAGGAGGAAGAGCGGTCCAGTATGAGTATTCGATTTTGTATGACATTTGATTTTATAATGAATTAAGCATGAACTCTCTCGATCACGGCTGTGTCATTTCTAGATGCATAAAATTCTATGCCACAACGAATGAACCTCTATGGAAACAGATTGCCTCTACTTTTTCAACACATCGCTCACATACTTTTCCCAACCCTTCTCCTCAAGCACTTTCACCTTGACCAGAACCTCGTCTTCAAGGGCCTTGGAGTAGTCTTCTGTGGCAGCATTCAACGCGGGAATGGATGTGCCTAGTATGCGCACAGCGAGGAGGGCAGCGTTGGTAGAGTTGTTGATACCGACAGTGGCACAGGGGATGCCTCGCTATGATTGGTCAGCAAGAGCCCATTAAACGCTCAAAAGGTTGGCTTACAGGCATCTGAACGATACTGTACAAGGAGTCGACACCATCCAACACGCTGGCTTTGACGGGGACGCCAATGACAGGCAAGCTGGTCTCACTGGCGACCATACCCGGCAGATGAGCCGCGCCGCCAGCTCCAGCGATGATGGCCCTCAAGCCCCTTCCAGCAGCCGCCTTGGCATACTGGACCATCCTCTCCGGCGTACGGTGCGCGGAAGTGATCGTGAGCTCGTAAGGGATCTGGAACTTGTCCAAAATCTTGGTAGCTGGTAGCATGACAGGCAGGTCAGAGTCTGAGCCCATGATGATCCCGACCAGAGGTCTAGAGTGGGAGTGGGAAGGGGCTGGGGCTGAGGGGGAGATAAGATCGATCCAGGATGCGTCAGCGTCGGGCTGAGCGAAAAGAAGAGTACGGAGGCGGTCGTGAAGTTCGGCATCCGACTCGGCGGTGACGGTAATGTGACCCATCTTTCGAGCTTTTCTGCTTTCAACCTTGCCGTAAAGGTGAACGGCAGCACCAGGGACGGTGAGGGCGTTGTCAGACATCTTGTCGATGGCGTCCATGGTGGGGGCAGCACCGAGGATGTTGACCATGGCGGCGGCCGGGACACGCAAGGCGGTAGAGCCAAGAGGGAGGGAGAGGATGGCCCGGAGGTGGTTCTCGAATTGAGATGTCAAACAGGCTTCGATAGTGTGGTGTCCAGAGTTGTGGGGACGAGGAGCAATCTCGTTGAGGAGGAGTTCGCCTAGACGTACATCAGCCGAGTCGAGGTGGACAGTCCATAGCGCTTACCGTCAGGCATGAGGAACATTTCGACCCCAAAGATACCGGCACCTTCAAGATGCCCCACAGCCTTCTCGGCAAGTTCCCTAGCTCGCTGGTTGACACCGCGCTCACCTCTGAGAGGTGCAAGACAGACCCTCAGGATGCTTTCTCGGTGAATAGTCTCAACAGCGTCGTAACTCCTGACCTCGCCCTCCTTGTTTCGTACGACCATGACCGCGACTTCCTTGACGAAAGGAGCCCAGCCTTCGGCATACAAGGGTCTGTCGCCGAGGAAATCGATGGAAGCCTGGATATCCTCTGAGGAGGTAGACTTTAAGGGGGAATTGCCTCTGCCGTCATAGGCAAGCGTCTTGGCCTTGAGCATGACCGGCAAGCCCAATCGGTCGGCGATACCCCTAAAGTCCTCCTCAGTCGGGTTGGTAGGGAGCTCCTCAAAAGGCGCTACAGCGACACCCTTCTCTGCCAGGTACTTTTTCTGGTCGTACTTGTTCTGGATCAATCTGATCGTCCTAGGACTGGGCTGGACCTCACAGAGCCCCTCCTTTTCTACGGCCTCCAGGACATCGGCGTTGACGTGCTCGATCTCGACAGTCAGGACGTCGCATGCGGCGGCAAGCTCGCGGATGTGGGATTCAGAGGTGAAGGGGCCGTCGGGGTGGGCGAGGGACTTGGGGGGCAGGAGAGTCTGCTTGGCGGGGGTGTAGTCGCCCGAGTCGAGGATGAGGAGGGGGATGGAGAGGAGTGCGGCGGGGTGCGTGAGCATACGGCCGAGCTGGCCGCCACCGAGGATGCCGACTGTCTTTCTGGGGGCCATTTTGCGTGGTGAGCTGGGCGGGGGGGAAGGAAAAAAAGGCGAGAGAGAGCCAAAGGGAAGGAGTCGCTTTGGAGGCCGATCCCGAGTGTAATGGGTAATACAATTTGCGGGACTAGGCTGATTAGGAAACAAATTGTAATGGCCGGGTATGGGCTGTGCCGGCGACCTCCACCCTGGTGCACTACTACTACTGCTGCTGCATCCACCTGCGCTCCTGGACGGCCATGATAGCAAAGCGGCCCCAGTCTGGCGTCGAGCTCGGCGAGGTCCGTGCGGGCCTGCCCCTCGACCGCCTCGTCCCCTACCTCGAGCAGCGCATCCCAGCCTTCACCGGCCCCGTCCGCGTAGAGCAGTTCAAGGCAGGTCACTCCGCTCCCAGTCCGCCCCGCTGACCTGCCGCAGTTCGGGCAGTCCAACCCCACATACCTCCTCACCCCCGCCGCCCCCTCCCAGTCATTCGTCCTCCGCCGCGCCCCCTCCGGCACCCTTCTTTCCTCCACCGCCCATCGCGTCGACAGAGAATACACCATTCTATCCGCTCTCAACACTCACAACGCGAGCGTCGTTCCGTCCCAGGCAGTCCCAGTGCCGAAAGTGTACTGCCTGTGTGAGGACAAGGACGTCGTCGGCGCTGCATTCTACGTGATGGAGTATCTCCAAGGACGGATCTTTACCGATGTAAGAATGAGAAGTCTAGAAGAGAAAGAGCGGTGGGAATGCTGGAGGTCTGCAGTGACCACCTTGGCGAGGCTGGCTACCATCCCTCTCTCATCACTCAACCTACCGCCTTCCTTTGCCCCCGCGCCATCAAAGAAGCCATACTTTCCCCGCCAAGTCGTCTCTTTGCTGAGGGTATCAGACTCGCAATCAAAGGCCAGATCGAAAGAGACGGGAGACATCTTGGGTCCAATATGGGGTACCAATGAGCTGAAGCCTTGGCTGGAGCAGGGGGCGATGCGTATCGCAAAGACAGAGATCAAACATGACATTGGGGCTGTCGTCCATGGGGATTTCAAGATAGACAACCTTGTGAGTATATGATATTACTAGTGAAGGGCGAATTGCTGATTGAGAATAGATATTTCATCCGACAGAACCACGCGTGATCGGGATCCTCGATTGGGAGCTGTGCACTCTTGGCTCACCTCTTGCAGACCTCGGCAATCTCCTCCTGCCTTTCTCATTCCCGCCTCTGACTCCTGAACAACGTACCATTATCTCGGGGGGTGTCGGAGACGGGGCCGACCTGAACCTCCTTCTAGGACTAAAGGGTCTGAGCAGCAAAGAAATAGGCATACCTGATCGAGATTACTTGGAGAAGCACTGGGTCGGGGAGATGAAGAAGGGGTATGAATACCACAACAAACCTGCGGCAGTATGGACGTGGCCAATCGACGGTATGGCGTGAGTCCCACCGATCTTGTCCCGTGACAATCAGCTGACGCGGATGAAGTTGGGTTCGCTCATGGATGCTCTTTCGACTCGCAATCATTGCCCAGGGTATTGCAGCTCGCGCGATGCTTGGCCAGGCTAGCTCGGCGGATGCGAGAGCAGACAGTCGGCCTGTCTTTGACTTTTATGGACATGGGGCTTGGGACAATATGGTGGAGGCGCAAAAGGAAGTGAAGGGTTCGAAAGCCAAATTGTAATCGACCTCGTTGTGTGTACTTGTTTGACATGCGATCTGTAGCTGTATTAAAGGGGAGTCAGGATTGAAATGGTCTTTGTACAAGTTTCTAGGGCATGATACACATGGCTCTATAGACGTTTGGCGACAGCCTCACGAGTCGGCACACTCTCCATCGCTCCCTCACTCTCGACACAGATGGCACATGCCTGCACAACATTAGCCATTGCCCAAACTCAAGAAAGGAGACTTACAGTCAAGCAACTCTGCAAGACCTCCTCCAACGACTGGCCACTCATCAACCCAGCCACAAAGTACCCGGCAAAGCAGTCTCCGGCACCGGTCGTGTCCTTTACAGGGTACTGGAGCTTGGCCGCTGGGTAATACCCGACTTTCTGTCCAGGCTGGTAGTAGAGAATGCCCTTGGCTCCCAGGGTACAGATAATGCCTACGCTGGGCGAAAAGTATTCGTTCGCTGCCAGCTCGAGGATGCCCGCTGATGCCTTTTCGCGGAGCTCATCTTCACTAACAGTCCCAGGATTCGCGGTTGACCCGAAAGCGAGCAAGAGGTCGCCTAATTCGCCCTCATTCACGATGAGCCATGAGAGATACTTCCAAGGAAAGTCTCGGAGCTGCTGGGGAGAGAGCATGGGCGACGGATTGAATACGGTAATGACAGGGGGGGATGATTGGCCGGCAGAAGAGAGGTAGGAGAGGGTAGAGGCAAGAGGAATTTCGTTCTGGAGGAGAAGATGCGTGTAACCAGAGATAGAGGGAGGGGCGTTGGTAGCGGGGACGTGATAGTTGGCACCGGCATGGAGCACTGCATCTTGATCAGCTTATGACCGCGAAAGCTCAAAAGTGGCTCACCGATGGAGTTCTCTCCATCTTGAGAACTCTGAATGACAGCTCTCCCAGTGACTTTGTCATCCACAGTCAAGAGCCTCTTGACCCCAACGCCTGCACTCGCCAGCAAATCCTGGACCCAGACGCCGTCCTGGCCGATGGCCCCGTCAAGGTCGACCTGCCCAGCTGCACGGGTGACGGCGAAAGCTTGATTGGCACCCTTGCCCCCGGCACGTTTGGTGAGTTTTGTGGAGGAAATGGTCTCCCCGGGACGAACGATATGGGGAAGGTGGAAGAATTCGTCGATATCTGAAACCGCTTGGTGAGCTCGGCTGTGAAGAAGAGCAGGAGACTCACTGATTGAGCCTCGGACGAGGCAGCGGTTGGGAGTAGACATGGGGCCAGTGACTATGATGTGCAATGGGATAGATGCGAAATGAAAGATTAGATTAAGCCGCGTCGGGCGTCGCGCCGTGATGTTCGGGCGAGCTGCCGAGATCTTGGTCGGCTTGAATTGCGCGACAAGAAGATGCACCAGACCGTGCAAGAGCAGCAAGGACTACTGACAAGCCATGCCAATGCCCATGTGTAGACATGCCGGTACTGGGCGCTGAAAGTGCAGATCGTGCATCGGCCGCATGCTTCAGAGTATTTGAATATAATCCGGCCTACACGAGTATATAGCGCACGACGGATAGTATTCCAAGACTTTGACACTTTGACAGAGCAATTATATAATAGAACTGTAGAGTAGATGGGTTGTACAACATACAAACAGAGAAATGGGGACGGCAGATCCGTGGCCCCAGAACAAGATATACCCTCAGCGGGCGCAATCAGTCGCACCGCCTTGGCGTACTTGGTGTCTCGTCTTTTGTATATTCAGGTGGCGGCGCCTCCGTCGTCCCTGGTAGACTGCCTGTGAGCAGAATTGTGGTCCGGTCAGGAATGATCCTGACCTGGCCAGAGCTATAGACCTGTTCGGGTGGAACTGGCAGTGATGCAGCGCCTTTTGGGTTGTCAGTCACGACCAGCACATGGCTATGAACAGATGAATACTGACCATAGGCAGGCAAACTAGCTTGACTTTCGCTAGTCAGCCGCGCCACAGGAGCTTCATCTCTAGCTCGTCTCGATCTCCCCCTCTCCGCGCCATGATTAAAGCCCTGCTCAACATCGTCATCCAAAGAAGGCTGTGTATCATGGCGAGAGGTAAAGAGGTGGTTGGCGACATGCCTGAATTGGGCCGCAGGCTCCACTGCCTGATTGGATTTGCGACGCTTGGAGTAAAGGATGACGAGGCGGACTGGATGAGGTCAGCATTGATGAGGCCAGAAGAGAGTTGCTCACTGATCCAGAAGATTATGATTATGAGGAGCATGACGAGAAAGGCTAGCGCGCTGTACTGACTTAGCATGGCAATATGGAACAGAGTGGCACGTACTATAGCATGGTGCGTGCTGCTGATGGGTGAGAGTGCAGATGAATTGCCACCCATCGATTATTGAATAATGAAGTGTAGATCGGCCGGGTGCTTATGTAATGAACGGAGAAGGGATGATGTCCGTGGGTCGTCATGGTTTTGTCCTTCGGGCTCCTGCTCGCTGCATCCACTGCATCTGCGAGAACACCATGTCGGCCCTCTCCGCCCCCCCCAGCAGGGGCCCAGGCGTATGCGCTATGCGGGGCAGCTGCGGCCGGACCACCAGCTTCGGCGCCGACCTCCCGTGTCCGGACGACGCCCCCGCCACCCAGGTCAGTCCCCCGGCCCCCAAACGCCCCCGCTCACCGCCTGCAGACCACCGACGACCTTCTCCAGCTCATGGCCAGCGTCTGCGGCCCCTCCTATACGCCCCCAGACCACGTCTGCTGCACCTACGACCAGCTCGCAACCCTTTCAGAACGGCTCCAGCAAGCCGCACCGTTGATCGCCTCGTGCCCAGCTTGTATCAACAACTTTCGCTCATTCTACTGCGACTTTACCTGCTCCCCCGACCAATCCCTATTCTTGTCTGTCACTTCAACCCAAAAGACTACCGAAGGCAAAGATGCCGTCAAAGAGGTAGACTACGAAGTCAGCACCAAATTCAAGGACGGCTTCTTTGACAGCTGCAAAGATGTCCAGTTTGGGGCAACGAATGGTTTTGCGATGGACCTTATCGGAGGCGGAGCGCACAACTCCAGCGGCTTTCTCAAGTATATGGGCGATCTGAGACCAGGTCTCGGATCGCCGTTCCAAATCAACTTTCCCGACAACGACGACTCGCGGTATACCCGCCAGCCTCTGAGCTGCTCCGATGCGACCGACATCAATGCCCGGTGTGCATGTGTAGACTGTCCGTCAGTCTGTCCTGAGCTTCCCTACGTGCCCCCGCCAGCATCCACCAAATGTCATGTCGGATCGGTCTCTTGTCTGACCTTTTCGCTCTTGATCGTTTACTCTGTTGCCATTCTCTGCGGCATCCTATTCTACACTTGGAAACAAGCGCTCAAATCTCGACAGCGCCGATATGAGCGTGTTGCTCTACTTGACCCCCCTCAGTCGCCCACTTTAGCTGGCAACGGTAACAATGGCCTTGACGGGCTTATCGGTCGGGGCGACGATACCGAATCCGGTCCAAGCGGGTCAATCCACTTTCGTCTCGGTCGCGGCGCAAGCCTGCTCGACCCCCTCGAGCACCTTCAGCCCAAGCAAAATAGAATCAACGCCTCGCTCCGCCGCTTCTTCTATCGCCTTGGCCTTGCGTGCGCCCAAAGGCCGCTGCAGGTCTTTACGCTGACGGCGTTTGTCGTCGGGTTGTTGAACTTTGGGTGGAAGTGGTTCGAGGTGGAGACGGATCCCGTGAGACTCTGGGTAGCTCCCGGGAGTGAGAGTGCCACTCAGAAGCACTTCTTTGATGACAACTTTGGGCCGTTCTACAAGTCGGAGCAGGTGTTTATCACTTTGCCTGGCGAGTCACCCGTCAATCACGATACGCTCGAATGGTGGCTCAAAATCGAGAGTGATATCGCCAAGCTCAAGACAGATAACGGTGTAGGCTTGGACGATGTGTGCTTTGCGCCGGCTGGGCAGGGGACGCCTTGCGTTGTGCAGAGTATCTCGGCTTGGCTGGGAGAGGATATGGAGGAATGGGGAGAAGGGTGGAGCGAGCGGCTTGTTGATTGTGCTGAACGACCGGGGGAATGCCTCCCTGCTTTCGGTCAACCGATCGATCCTAGACTGGTCCTCGGTGGCGCCGAAGGTGACTGGCTCAATGCGAAAGCGATCGTCACTACCTGGGTGCTCAACAACTACAATGACGACAGAGTCAACCCCGCAGAGGAGTGGGAAACGGTTCTCCAATCGTATTTGATCTCTTTGAAACACCCCTCAATCAAGATCAGCTTTTCCACCGGAGTCAGCCTGGAGGAAGAATTGAACAAGAGTACCAACACCGACGTCAAGATCGTGGTGCTCTCGTACTTGGTCATGTTCCTCTACATCTCCCTCACTCTCGGTGGCGGTCTTCCACCCAATGTCATCCAGGCCTTCACTCGACAGCTATACCGTGCTGCAACCCGCATCGGTGTCTACACTCGCATTCTCAAAGAGCCCCAAGAAGACGACTCTGATCCATCCCCCAGTATCAGCCTCATACCAACCCTTCTATCCATTAATTCTCGCTTCTCTCTGGGGTTGTTCGGAATTACCATCGTCTTGGTTGCCGTTGCCTCGTCTGTTGGCATCTTTTCCATGATGGGTGTGCGCGTCACTCTCATCATTGCAGAGGTTATTCCATTTCTCGTGCTCGCCGTCGGTGTCGACAATGTGTTTATCCTTGTCCATGAGCTTGAACGACAAAACAGTCTTCATGCTCAAGAGCCTGTGCGAGACGACGACGACGATAGCGTCCATAGTGGCAGGCAACCTTCCGGCACTTCACTCGCCCCGGAGGAGAGAGTGGCAAGGGCAGTGGCGAGGATGGGACCGTCTATCATGCTGAGCTCTGTCACGGAAGTGGTCGCGTTTGCATTAGGGGCTTTGGTCCCTATGCCTGCCGTTAGGAACTTTGCCATATATGCCGCCGGGAGTGTTTTTCTCGGAGCGGTAATGCAGTGCACGGTGTTCGTCAGTGCCATGGCTTTGGACCTTCGGCGAGCCGAGGTGCGTATACATATCATCTTTTGAATTGAATGCTGATGACTAGCAAGGCAATGAGGATGGACTGCTTCCCTTGCATCCGCCTGCGCCCACCGATCGGCCTGTATGACAGTGACACTCCCCGAAGCGAGGGTGTGATCAAACGATTCATGCGAACGACCTATGCTCCATTGTTGCATCGTCACGAGATGAAACAGCTGGTACTGGTGATCTTTGGAGGTCTGTTTCTAGTCGCCACTATTGGTATTCAGCATATCACTCTCGGTCTTGGTACGTCCTCATTGCGAAATGCTTGCCTTTGCTGATTCCATGCAGACCAACGCCTCGCTCTTCCTTCTGACTCTTACCTTGTTTCCTACTTTGACGCCTTGGACTCCTATCTCGACGTCGGGCCACCTGTCTACTTTGTGGTTCAAGGCGGTGACGCATCCTCGCGTGAAGGCCAACAGCGGCTCTGCGGAAGGTTCACCACTTGCTTGGAACTCTCCGTGGCTAATAGTTTGGAAGCGGAACGTAAACGCCCGGACAGCTCATTCATCGCATCTCCCCCGGCTTCTTGGATCGACGACTTTTTGCAGTGGACGAACCCAACATTTGAAAGTTGTTGCCGCGTGCGCAAGCGCGATCCCAGCGTGTTCTGTGCCCCGCGAGATTCGGAGAGACTTTGCAGACCTTGCTTCGAAGGATCGGACTGGGAGTCCACCATGAGTGGGCTGCCAGAAGAGACAGATTTCATGAAGTATCTTGAGCAGTGGCTAGTCTCGCCTACCAATGCGGAATGTCCTCTCGGTGGCCAGGCGGCCTACGGAGCTGCCTTGAAACTGTCTGGAGACAATTCTACCGTCGCCGCCTCTCATTTCAGGACTTATCATACTCCTTTGAAATCCCAAACCGACTATATCGATGCGTTGACAGCTGCTCAGCGGATATCTTCCGAGATATCCCACAGGACAGGATTAGCGGTATCACCGTATTCCATCTTCTACGTCTTTTTCGACCAATACGAGCACATCAAGTCCACCGCCGTGGAAGTGCTCTTACTCGCATTCCTTGCTGTCTTGATCATCACATCTACCCTGCTTGGCTCCTGGCGTACGGGTGGAGCGGTTACCTTTACCTGTGCTCTTGCTGTAATCAATGTCATGGGTATCATGGGCTTTTGGGGTATCAGCCTCAATGCGTTGTCGCTCGTCAACCTTGTAATCAGTTTGGGTATTGCGGTCGAGTTCTGCTCGCACATCGCCAGAGCGTTTATGGGCGCTGGATCGGGGCTGCCGCTTGACAAAGCTGATGGAAGGCGAGAGATGGATGAACGAGCTTGGACGGCTTTGGTAGATGTTGGGCCCTCGGTGAGCTCCCCACTTGCTGAACGTGTGGTTCGGTGCTAATACCCCCTTAGGTCTTTTCTGGCATCACTTTGACAAAGCTTATCGGTATCTCAGTCTTGGCTCTTACACGTTCCAAGCTCTTGGAGATATATTACTTTAGAATGTGGCTTTCGTTGATAATATCGGGCGCCCTGCATGGTCTTGTGCTTCTACCCGTGCTACTCAGCTATGTCGGAGGACAGGGGTATGCTTTAGAAGATACAGACGAAGACTGGGTGACGAGCCAGATGCGGAGACCGTGAGTCATGAACCAAGCCATTACAGAGGCACAGCTGATGGCCCCCAGGATGGACTACGAGTATGCCCCATTCGCTGATACGGACTCTATGTCAGATTGATCATTGATTGTAACATTATGGATTGAACGCATGCATTGTAGAGCAAGAGTACGAGGGTAACGTGTCGTGTTGCGATCTCGTCGGGTAGCCTTTTTGGGTAAGATTTCATCGACGAAGAAGTGGCATTAACGACGAATTATGTTCTCGATCGGACAAGATTGTGCTGGTGCCGGATCCCCCCATAGCCTTGTACTCCAAAACATTCTGAGACTTTGTAGAGACTATGTATCTTCCGCGGCGTCTGTTTTCTGTCTGTTCTCCACCGCTGACGCAACGGGATCAAATTGGGTCCGAGATGTCGTTTGTTTTGTCCGCCCTCAGCAGGCGTGTCCCATTTCGGCGTCTGTAATCATATCTACTCTCTCATTTCAGCTCTGCCTGATATCGCACAACCATGGAAGACTTGTCCACCGGCTCTGAGAGTGACTACGCCGACTCGTGAGTGACCGGTCCCCAGTAAGCAATCAGCTGATGATTGTCTTCAGCTGGATCTCCTGGTTTTTGTCCTCCAAGGGCAATGTCCGTATCATTCTATACGTCTGCTATCGAAATCATGCTAACTTTATCATAGGAATACTTCTGTGAAGTAGACGAAGACTATATCCTTGATCGTTTCAACCTCACAGGCTTGAACGCCGAAGTGGTGCAGGAATATCCCCGAGCATTGAGTCTCATCACGGACAACCTTGGTTCGTCTTGCCCTCCGATGCAGCCCTTAAGTACAGCTGACTTATTCTCTTACAGATGAGACAGGTCTGGATGAAGAGACCCGAGAGTCGATCGAGACATCCGCCAGATTTTTGTACGGTCTCATCCATGCGCGCTTCATTGTCACCACAAGAGGTTTGGCCAAGATGGTGAGCATCATGTCACCCTGCGCGAGCAGCCCACTGATTGCATCCAGCTCGAGAAATATCGAAGATCCGACTTTGGCCGCTGTCCCCGCGTCTACTGTTACTCCCAACCCCTCCTCCCCGTCGGTCTCTCCGACATTCCCTATCTCAAAGCGGTCAAGCTTTACTGCCCTCGTTGTGAAGACATCTACTCGCCAAAGTCCAATAGGCATGGATCCATTGATGGCTCTTATTTCGGCACGACCTTCCCCCACATGTTGTTCATGGTGTACCCTCAAATGATCCCCGGAAAGGGCCAGCCGCTTGGCTCAAGTGCCGCGGATGTGAACAGGAGCATGCTTTCCTCAGTTCAGAGTAGGGAGGGGGGCAGCAGTGTCAATACGGTGGCCGTTGCTCTCAAGGCGGAAAGATATGAGCCAAGAATCTTCGGTTTCAAGGTCAACGAGGATGCCAAGTTGGCCAGATGGAGAACAGCCAGAAGGGATGGGTGAGTCGATTCCATCAACGCGGCGATGACCGAAAAACCTAACTGCTGTGGCCAGTCAGATCGCCAGATTAGAGGCTCATGAACAAGAGCAAGAGCACGATAAGGAAAAGAAGGCATCTGTTTGAGCATCCTTGACGTGTAGTCGTCTTGACCGGCCAGATATATCGACATTGGGTCCTCCCTTCTGCAGACCCCACTCATGGTATATCTTTCAGTGTCATGACAGAGAGCCAGTATATACACGCGCTGATTTCATGTGTGATGTACAAATTCACTTCCTGTCCTATCTGGCTGGTGTGCATTCCAACAGACTCAACAAATCGACTTCATCGGCGTGGATCTGCGGGCCGGTCTCAGTGTTCGTCGGGACTTTGTTGAACCCCTCAGAAGCTACGAGGGCCGAGCTTTCTTCGTATGCCAACACTCCCATCTCGTCCAGGATGTCTTCCATCATTTCCTTCCTGCCCTTTCTCCATTCGGGAAGCCTGGTGACCGGGGCAGGCCACGACTGACTGCCAGCGGAATGCGATTGCCAACGTCTCGGCAGGCTCTTCTGCTCTCGGCATGGCGGGGTAGAGAAGACCAGAGGAGTAGTATCTTTTCCAACTTCAGCATCCCCACCAAGTACTGTTCTACCCCCAGCTACCGAGACGGGTGCAGCACTCGAAGGTCGAGATGCGGGCCTCTCCAGAAGTCTCGAAGCCTCCAAATTTTCTTCTACGAACCCAATGGCGTCGATTCCGATTCCATCTGTGGCTCTGAGTTCATCAACACCCATTACTTCTGTCCTGACCCCCAAATCGCCCATCATTCGCTCCATAATCATTTTGTCCGCCTCTCCCTTTTCAATTCGACCACTGTCCCCTACCAGATTTACGGCTGAGAAGTCACCTAGACGAATACCGATAGAGGCAGAGGTGCTTCCGTGAAGTACACCAACACCCGGTGCGAGATGCCATAGAGGGATGCGGTCAATAGGGTGAACAGTAGAACAATCCATTTTGGAAGGATCCCGCAGGCATTGCGAAGGCGAAGTGGCACGGGAAGTCGGCACCGGACCTTCGAGAGAGGACGTAATGAGAGTTAGAGTAGCCACTGGATCCAGAGACGGCTTCTTTCTCTTGCTGACATCTACTGTGGACTCCTTGGAACCCAAGTTTTTACCGGCCCCTCTAAAGGCGACTTCCTGATCGCTGATTCGTCTCGTCAACAATACAGGACTGTTATCTGTCATCTTGCTGCCATGTCTCCAACTTCCTTGGCCGCTACCTCGGATCATTGCCTCTCCCAATGTGCCGTCAGAGGGAGACAGCCTGAAGCCAGATAATGGGGACATGTCGGATATGGAGAGGCCACTTGATGATTGAGTCATTTCAAGTGGCCAAGCATACATCGACATGGGGATCGCATGATTGAGGGCAAGTTGCAGGGGACGCTGCTCACGAAGACGCGTTTCAAGAGGTGAGAAAACGTAGGCCGGGGGCGTGGACGACAATGCCCAAGTGGACAGTGATGACAAATGATTTCTACAAGAGCATCGTGTGAGGTTCAAAACGAAGAAGTCAAAGTACGAGCACTGACTCTGTAACTTTGGAGTGTACATATGAGATTACGATGATACGTGGTGGCGGCTGACATGATTTCGCAATGTGACTGAACACGGCTTGAGCAGGTAGAGGGTCAAAGATGCCATTCTCCACTATGTAAAAAGAGGGGTTCAGATGCGGTCCCTTCTCATACGCAGACTTACTGTAATCGACTTTGACCACAGGATCGTGCAAGACTGAAAAGGGCTGTGGTACAGGGTTGCGTACCCTCCCATCTGAATCGCGATGATTGAGTGGCAGTTGGTGGTCCCCTGTAGAGTATGGTGATCGAAAAGCGTTATGTTGCTCTTGAAAGCGATACTTGAGGTGTAATATATGGACATTGGATGATACCTGGGACGTCAAAAACTACTCCGTTATTAGGATCTCTCTACATCCTCAGAACAAAACAGTTGAACACCACAAGAAGACGAGCTCACCCGTGCGTGATCGAGAAGCCTTATGGTATCTCTAAAATCTTCGGGTGCCACACCTTTACTTCCCTCGTGCGGGCTGCGCATGTAGCTAGAAAAGTTGACAAACAAGTAGAGCGCGTCGCGGTTTGGAAGATCAGGAGACAGTGGTCGAGACGAAGGAGAGCGCGACGAAGAAGCAATGGGGGAACCATACAGGGGATTGGTGCTTGTGTTGTTAGAAGGGGGGGTGGCTATATTCGGGCGGGATGCAGGTGTAGGTGGTTCAACGGTTGGGAGGGAAGGAAGTGGTGCTGTTCCCGGCGGATCATCTTGAGGATGCAAAGGCGCCAGAGCCTTCGTTGCTATGGGAGGCAGCGAGGAATGAAAGGGGACTGCTGATGGGGCCATGCCAATGAGTGAGGATAAGGTCGATAATAAAAGGTCTCCAGTATCACTAAGTTGTGATACAATCGAGAGCTAGAAACAGACTTGGCACTGGTCTCAAAAGGCCTAGCAGAGATATAACCCCATGAAACGAGAAAGGAGCTTCCAGTTCTCGCAACAAAGGAAGTGAGCCGATCCTGACTGTAAAGGAAGGATATCAGGAAGAAGAGAGGCTCTTGTGAAGAGGTCGAGAGGAGTACCACTGCTTATACCGCATGATGTTTGGATCCACCGCACATTTATGGAGGTGAGTAAGGGCTCAGCAAATCTCTTTGGTCCGTCTCAATTTCATGTAAGATTGGGACAATGGATGCATTCGCCAGCATTATCCCTGACGAAGGACATGAATCGCCATTACCAACATGCATCGTTGCTATCTTACCAGCATATAAGCGTCTACAACCCGTTTAAAGGTCGGCGTCATCCTGAGAAAGAGTCAGCATACGCGCTAGAGCTCAACTCATCGACATACCTCATCGGGCAAGGGGGCGGCAGCAGCAGCCTTGAGCTCCTCCTCGTACTTGGCAATAAGAGCCTGGTCAATCTGGACCTCAGGGGGGGCGAGGGCGGGGGCGGCGACAAACTCAAGCGCCTGGTTGCCGACAAGCTTCCTGGCGAGCCAGAGGAAAGGCTTCTCAAAGTTGTAGTTGGACTTGGCAGAGATTTCGAAATATTGGAGGTTCTCTACCGGACAATAATCAGCAATGCAGACTCGTGCGCGAGACCCATGCGCCACCCGACGCACTCTTTCGGTGGAAAGTGACGTTTCCAGTCTTGACCTTCCTCTCCTACAAAACGTGTTAACAAGGCTTTGAGTGGCGAGCGATAGGCAACTTACCTTAACATCGACCTTGTTACCACAGAGGACAATAGGGATGTTCTCACAGACTCGCTCGAGGTCTCGGTGCCAGTTGGGGACGTTCTTGTAGGTGATACGGGAGGTCACGTCGAACATGATGATACCACATTGTCCTTGAATGTAGTAGCCGTCACGCAATCCACCAAACTTCTCCTGACCAGCGGTGTCCCAAACATTGAAGCAGATGGTACCGAAGTTGGTGTGGAAGGTAAGGGGGTGAACCTCGACACCAAGGGTAGCTGTATTGGGTAAGCACTGCTCAGACATGAGAGCGAGAGCGAAAATGAGTCTACCTACCAATGTACTTCTTCTCGAATTCACCAGTCAAGTGTCGCTTCACGAAGGTGGTCTGTGAATTGCCTTGGTAAGCTTGAAAAGCGGGTTTCTGACACAGTGGCACTGACCTTTCCTGTATTTGTTGAGCGGAAGAGAATTCCAGGTCATGGTTAGTTACGTCCCAGGATACTGAGTTGTTACATACCCTGCGTCCCAGGTCGAGTCAGCGCGCGCAGGGGCCGGGGAGGGCAGACTCACGGTTCCACCGTCGCCACAGAGGACCATCTTGAAGGTAGCAGTGTTCTCCATTTTGCTTTCTGAATGAACTGGGGAGTTGATAACTTGATAACTTGAAGAACTTGAACGAGCGCGCTTTGAGCAACATCCACGGTCTTCTGCTGGCGCAAGCCTTTTTATTTTTCCCCTTTTCTCGCTTTTCTCCCGCGTGCGGATGACGTAAACTTGTCCAGCGACTTGGACGTTCATCAACAATTCATCAATGCAACGTTATCCATATCATGACCCCCATGCAGGACATCACCAGCTGGCTCACCCAGCAATGCGACGGTCAGATCTCTACTACGCCATCTACCCCCTCCGACATGTGCTTACCAGCCCACAGAGCTCCCGTACGGCGAACTCGCAAAGCCGTCCTCTTTTTCTATGATGGACGCGATGAAGGGTCTTCAGGTGAGGCTGCTTCAAGGCGGATTCAGCTCACAGCCTAGATGATGGACTCCAAGATGGACACTGGAACAAGAGACAAGCTCCAATCAACACAGTTGTTTGATCCCAACGCCAATATCTCAGCCGAGGACTTGTGCTTTATCATGGACCGTATGCTCGCTCTAGAGGTAAAACTCCCCGCATGTCCAGTATCATTAACGCAGTAGCTGACAATAACGAAGGTATCGTGGTATCGAGGGGGTAACCTCTGCCAGTCCGTCTACTCGTGTCTTTACTTCCACAACCTCTATATGATAGAGGCACCGTCAGACCCTCTGGCAACAGGAAATCTCCTGACCAAGCTTGTGCTGCGAGCCTACATCCTTCTCTTTTGCAAGAGTATTGACTTTGCATACACTGAGTTTGCAAAGGGCAACGTGTACGAAGGGGAGGATTGCTGGTTGGACCACTATGGAGTTCCTTTGAGGGTCAGCGAAGACACAGACACAGTTGTGGCTGTTGCAGATGACGCTTTGGGCTGGCTGGAGAGTGAAGAGTGCCAACGTAAGTTTGAGGCCCCCACTGGCAGATTTCGGGGCTAATTACCGATAGTGCCCGTTTTCTTGAAAAACCAGTTAGTCTACCGCCTGGTCTTCAGAAGAGTGAGTTTCACTGATTCGATTGCAGCTGACGTTTCAGAACTTTCTACAATACATTGATGCCTCGACATTATCGGCCTCGCCCACAAGACAAATATTGCTAGTTATGAAGCTAGCGGCGGAAGAGATCAAGCCATGTGAATCTCTCTCAGACACAGTTGGGTCGGCTTTCGACAAAGACATGTCTTCGTATCTTCGCCAGAGCATGCCTCTTCCTGATTTTCGCCAATTTGATTTTGATCAATCTTGGGGCGAAATGAAAAGCATGGTCAGAGACCTCCTGAGGGTAGAAACACTGTTGGCAAGTGGAGGCTGGGATCAATGGAGCGTAAGCCCCTGGGAACCGACAGTCAAGAACAGTGCTGATCGGCCAAAAGTGCTTCTTCTGGGGAATGAGGATGTCCATTGGGAAAAGGAACCCTCTCCTGCGCTCACTGATTAAGGTATTAACACTTGTATTAGTGACATCGCCGCTGATGCTCTACTAGACACGTTTCACCATGCTTTGCGATGAACGGGCTGATAGTGGCGTCTACAAGAGCGACATCTTGGCTACCGAAGGTCTTGCACAAGAAAGTGCCGACACGAACCAAGTGCAAGTCGTCCTAAAGTCTGTGACTCATAACACATCTTTCTCTTCGCAGGCGCAGTCGCTGAAAGTCTGGAAGGTTCTTTTGCTGAAAGTGAGCCGGGCCCAAGGGGTATATATGATTTACGGCTACTGACCCCACATTCTCCTCAGGATGTTCTGACTACACTTGCAATCGCATCGCAAAATGGACCTCGACAGCGCCGGTCTTTGATCGACCTTTCTCACCAACTACGCGAACGCGCTACCATGGCCGAGTACCAGGCCTTCCCGCACATCAGTCAGACTATACATCTGCTGCGACTGGACTGCATGCTCGATGCTGCTTTGGGTGCACTGGACTTGGAGCTGGTACACCCTGCCGATGAAAGAGAAGCATGGTGGTGGATAAGGACTGTGGCGAAGGCTCGTATCAGAGGGGGTACTGAAAGCTCTACCATTCGGGCGCGATGGGCTGAAGCATGGGAGAGTATTGGGGCTGGTATGGAAATTGTGAGTGCGCATGCTGCGACCTTGACAATATTGATGACATCTTCAGCTCTTGACTGCCATCCCTCTTTCGTCCTTGCCAATATCAAACTCGACACAGAAAGCTCGTTTCGCCCTCAAATACAAACACTACTCCAAGGCAATATACATGCCTGACGGAACCAAACGATCCGTCGGTGTTGTCCCGGCGTATGAGGACTGGATCAGATCACAAGACGAGATGGACAACAATCCAGTATGTACATAAGTCATCTACTTTGAGCAACCGCTGACGTCTGCAGACCTTTCGTGATGTATTTGTCGCCAAACCACTTCTTGAACAGGCATGGGAGATACTAGAATCATTGGACTCGGTTGATTTACCGGATGCGGCCACATCAGACTTGAAGGTACGTCGCTGATGAGAATACGGGGACGCTGTGCTAATTATACGAAAGGCAATCATAGGCTGTTTGCAAGCTGCCCTCTTGTCCAATATCCAGACCATTGAGCAAAAGCCTACAAGGCTACGTTGGAGACGGCACTCCCGCGAACCCGATAGTATCGGCCGATGGATATTGTTGTTGGAATAACGTTGGAGTAATTCATTGACATCATGCATGTGTTTCTGATCTCACCCGTTCATGGCCATCTCTTCCTCGTCCTCGGCTTGGCCCACACCGACCTCGAAGCCGTCTACCTCTGCCCTTTCCTCAAGTCCTTGGGGCTCATCTAGGACCTCACCCTTCTCCTCTGCCAACCGTCTCTCCTCCCAAACGTTGGTACCGCTCTGAATGCTCTCAATTCTCTCGACGATACTGGCAAAGATCACCGTACCCTTGGCCAGAGAAAGGCCCAGCCCCGCCGCAGCCTCATCGATAGACTTGCACTGAGCGACCACTTGACTCAGCCGTTTACGCTCGGCTTTAGGCATATCCGAGATGGGCGGTGGTGAGGGTTTGAATTGCGATAGAAGGAACTTGGTGTTGCCCCAAGGATTCTTGGTGTACTCGGCGATGGCCAGCAACCTCGGAATAACCTCAGTGAGGTTACATCTGGGCCCTATGGGCAGGAAAACAGAAGGATTACGCTCAGCAGCTCGCGCCAACATCAATGAGTCCGCCCCTTCGCGCCGCATGATCAGCTTTATCGATGGTAGTCATTTTCTTGACTCACCCGTCTGCGCTCTGATGGCTTCCCAGTTGGACCAGCCTTCACCATCACCATTGCATGTTATGGGAATGCCCCTTTTCTTCCCAAGCGCAACGAGATCGGCTAGTCTGCTCCATACAGCTGGCACTCCTGGACGCATGTCACGAGTGCGACAGTGCACGGTCAAATTACGAATGCCAGTCCGGATGATTCTGGAGACGAGCAATTTTGTTGAGGGCTGAGTGGGAAGCAGGCGAATTTTACATGAGATAGGCAGGGGGATGGAGGTCAACAGAGCCCGAAGAATGTCCAAGAGTAGATCGGGCGTGGACAACAAGGCGGCTCCCATACCAGAATGTGTACTAGAGGTATGTGTTCAGTGTTGATAATGGTAGCAATTACTTTACGAGCTCACGAGAATGGCTTGGGACATCCGCAGTTGAGGTCACTGGGTTTCGTCAGCTGTCATCCCATGGTCCGCTGCTGCCCAGATTCCCCTTACATTCCTGCAACGTCTTGCTGAACAGTCTGGGCTGCTTTCACGGCGAGAGCTGGGTCCGACGATCCAATCTGGAAGATTACTGATAGGAGCGTCAGCTTGGAACCGAGCATCTGCTGTACCAAACTTGCGATATGGCTTCTCGATAGGATGCGTTGTAAAGATTGGCCCTTGACCTTTATGGTAAGTGATTACGCCTGATTCCGCTACATATATGCATTAGTGTCGATGGACGCAGCACACAAGGAATTGCGCCTTACGATCTACGACTCTTTCACATCCGATAATCGCTTTGTCGACGACTTCTGGGGACCAGACCAGACCAGCTCCATAATACAGTGAAAGCAATCGCATTGGTACTATAGAAGCTGGTCAACATGCTATCAGTAAATGCTCATTCATACTCACGACTGCCAGTCCTGACCATTGGCGCGAGGACCAATTTCTCTCGGTAGTCTATGTCATTCTCATACTCTCGAGACACCTCTACTGGAAGGTCCATCTGTTCGGCGACCAATTGCTCTTCCGACCTTGTATCTCTTGGAAAAGGCGAGGTAGTCAGCCCGGGATCGGAAGTAGTGAAGCTACTATTGTCGAGCTCCTCATTTGTGAGCATGGCTCCGGGCAGTACATGGTCTGTGATGCTTTTAGTCCTTTTACTGGGGCGATGCTCTGCGGAGGGAGACGAGTCGCGTGGTGTAGGCACAGGCATGGTCGTGAATAGAGAGACTTGAGGGGAGCGGAAGAGATGCGGTCTTGTAAAGAGTTTAGGGAGACGAGCTGCTCGTAGGCTCATCTGCTACTTTGATCAGAAAGAAGTAAAGAACATCGGCTGACAATGAAGTGGCGGCGAGCGCACGCTGAATTTTGATTTGATCCAAATAAGTAAAATAAAGTTACGCTGTTAATAAGCTTGCTCTTATTCATTCTAACAGATTGAATTTCACGCGCCATACTAGACTAGACTTCACTTTGTGCTTGAGTTCAGCTGATAGAACGGTAGTTGTACCTGCACTTTGTTGTCTACGCGCGACTAATCGGACTCCCGTGGGCGCACTTGAGAAAGCTGCGAACGCCTACAAGTACTTGACAAACGAGGCAAAATGTGCCCGATTGTACTTCGTACGGTCCTCAGTGATGTCCATGATCTCCGCTGCGCTGCTGGAAGACTAGCGTCGGTTGCCCACATATATGTGTATTCCCGCATACTTTACATACAGTTTCAAATGACACAGACGATCAGAGGGGGCTACGCAATGCGCTGAAAGAAGACAAAAAGGTACATCAGTCTCGTCCGTAAGAAAGACAGAGCTTAAGGATGATCAACTTACATATGAACCGTACTCTTTGTCTGGGTCGTATACCTCCCATCTGGAAGCTGGAAAGATCTGGAAGGACTAGGTCAATATTTGATATTCTACAAAACTCGAGACGGCTTACGTGTTTATACCGGTTATACCACGATCGTTCAACCACCTTTCCAGCATGAGACTAGTGCTATTGTCAGTTTCGCTCGGAATTCCTGATAAGAGGGGACTTGCTTCATCTTTTTCGACCGTCGCGTCCGATACCATTCGGACGTCATCATGCACGTCAAAATTGAATAGGGGGCCAGACTTTCCTCTTGCCTTGTTGATAATGAAGTCGTAGAATGTATAGTGCTTTGGCTCTTTATGAGCTTTGTTCCAACAATTCGAACGCAGGTTGCTTACGTGCGGGATTATAAGGTCTTCTTTGATGTACATCAAATTCTCTACGCTTGTGCCACGCAGTTCAGGAAACTGTTGACGACATTTGTTGAGGAAACTCGCGATATCGTCGCCCTTTTTACACTGTTGTGTAGCTATCAGAGATCCGTCCAATTTGACATGAAACAGATGCGAGACATACCTCCACTGACTTCCGATGTCCGCTACCATCCCAGAAGGAGTAGGTTATCTCTATGGTCTCATTCTTCGTTTTCTCCTGCTGCGCAAGCCACTCTTTCCGCAATCTCTCTCGCTCTTGCGCCTCTTCCAGTTCACGGTTCCTGTCCGGCAAGAATGATGTATCTACACCAGGGTTCTTAAATGATTTCTTCTTGGGGGTCTGGTCCGGTTCACCTGGAGACAACAGTGAGCCTTTTGAAGATATTTGAGTAAGCTGCAGACCTTCTTCATCTCGACCTCGCTTGTCCACAGAGGATTCTGCCAGTCCGGTATCATCTTCCCCTTCCTCATCATCAAAAGACAGTTTTGACCTGTTTTTCTTCTTCGCTTTTTTGACCTTTTGATTGGAATTACTATGCGGTCCATCAAGTTCAGTGTCTGATTGAAATGGAATAAGCGTACGGTTTGTCAGTCTTGACTTGCGCAGCAAGCTTCCTCTGAGCTTCTTCTAGGTCGCTTTTTGTCTTTTGAAACTCGGACAGGGAAACGAGTCCAATCGTCGTTTTGATCAGACGCTCGTCCAAGTTTTCCGTGACTCCAACAAATCGGTCAACAGTGTGATCTCTTTGTGAATCCTGCATACCTCTCCAGTCAGTTTGTTTCTGTAACACATTGGTCTCGAAGACGAACCTTCGTGATTGCCTCCTTCTGGCGTTGGATTTCGGCCTGGTTCACAACAAACAAATCGGGATCAGTATATCTTGTTCGCTTTCAGGTTAAATGGGAAGTCATTTACAGCTTCCTTTTCCCGTTGTTTGGTCAGCACTAGTGTCCTGAGACTTTCTTCTGGCGGACCTGACATGTTTGATATGCACCACGTGCACGAAGCAAAAGCAAATAGCTTACATCTTTCATCTGCGGCTCACGCGGCGTGAAGGCAAACAACAAAACACAATTACGTAAACAGACGTGAAAGGATGGAGGTTTGACGCGTGCGCGAAGCAACACCGCATTGTACGTATCAACCGCCAACCACGCCTGTCATTTCTCCCTTCTACATTTTCGTTCAATCGCGTCGACTGTCTTGACTTCCGGAGGTCTCCTGTTGCCGTAAGAAACATGGCGCACTCAGATCCCTACAACGACCCGTATGGCCGTCAGCAGCAACAGTACAACGCCAGTTATGCCGCGGACAATACCAACTACGGACAACAGCCCTACCACTATCAGGAAGAAAATCCCTACGGCGAAGAGCCAAGATATCCAACATACTCTTCGGACCCGACAGCTGGCGACTATCTCAATTCGAGCACCGAGAAGGTGGCCTATGAGTCTTATCCACAAGGGAACACTGCGCGAGCACAGCCTGGCCGCTCTGGGTTGGCCAGGCCAACGACTTCTTTTGCAGAGATGGGACCACCCCCCCGAAGTACTGGTATCTTGAGGGTATGGTATGTACCAAGATGGCACGCTGGTGGGATGCTTGTTGAAAATCCTCTAGGAGAATGGATGAACGAGGCAAGCAATGGTCAAGGGTAAGTCTGGCCGGCCCCGACTTCGGGCGGATGCCAGTGCAAGCTGATGTTGAATCGAGGGCGGTGGCGTTCGCACGTCCTTACGCTTCTGCTGCTGCACCATCACAACGGCGATCATCATGATCATCAGTGTCGTGCTCGCGGTGCTTCTCGTGAGTCAATCTGTGCAAGGTCGTGTCTGACATACTAGTATATACGCCCTCCAAGCGTTACATTGAACAGTGCGACAGTAGAATCAGGCTCCGTCTCCGCCAGCTCCGATGGTCTCAGCCTCAAGTTTGACTTGAATATTAGGTGTGTACTCGCAGTGTTGACACGCACTCGCCTGTAACTCATCCTCGCAGTGTCGCCAATCCCAACTGGTTTGATGCCGATTTCAAAAAGATCGAGGCAACCGTGAGCTACCCAGGTAACAACACAAACAATTTTGGTGGTGGTAGCATGAGCAACGTCAATTTCAAAGGCTACACGGACTCAACATTCGTGTTCCCATTCACCTTGAAGTGAGTCTTGCTATGCCACCGTCCTTACTGACAGTGTAGCTACACTCTGGCCAATGATCCCGACAAAACGGTCCTTTATGACTTGATCAGTGAACAACCCTTCCCCAAGCTATCCGATACTGAAAAGCTGATTGCAACTTCAACACAGGTAAATGCGGTATTTTGGGGACAACGACCGAAGATATCACTGTTGATTACGACCTGAATCTCAAACTCAAGGTAAGCTGCTGGCATTGGCGCACCCCCATTAGAGCCCTGCTAAGATTGTATAGATTCTCGGTTTGACAGTCAATCCCACAATCAGCAACAGTGCCAGTTTCGAATGTCCCATCACAGAGAGCGACATAGAGGTGCGCTTCTTTCCACAATAACGATCTTTTGTGCATCGCTGACCTCTTCATCTTTGTCATCAAGAGCATTGTTGGCAGCAGTGGTCTCAGCAGTCTCACGGGAAGCTAGTGAAGAATATTCAGACACAGCTGTACCTCAGGGATTCATATGTATCAGAAGATAAGAGCGGCCGGATATGTAATTATCTACGCAGCAACCTTTCGCTTCCTCTCTGCGTCTGCGGCCAAAGCCGTCAAATTCTTGAATTCTGTACGACCTGTAGCTCTACATAGCTATGCCAACCAAGAGTCAGCGGTGTCTTACCGCAATGCCTCAGACTTACAGCGTAGAATTTGGATTTGTGATCGCGTAACAACTCAGCTGGGCTGGCAAACTCGGCGATGTTGCCTCGGTCCATGACAATGACTTTATCGAAGTCGATCTTTGGTGGGTCAGCGAATCACGTACATGCTTGCTGACCAGTTGTCCGCGCTTACAATCGTATGGATGCGATGAGCGATCGTAAGGATGGTGGAATCCGAAAATTCTTCACGGATTGTTTTGGATACTGATCAGCAGTTGTTAGTTTTGCCCATGGCTCCCGTAGGAGATCTATGTGAGTTTTGCTTACTCAGCGCATCAGTTTCATCTGAACAAGCAAATGTTAGCGCCATATCACATCACTAAAGAAGTACTCACAATCAATGGAAGCCGTGGCTTCATCCATCAGAATCACCTTGTTGCGCTTGAGGATAGCTCGCGCCATGCTATAGAATTGTCAATAAAACGTACATTCTGTAACTTTTGATCTTACCAGATGAGCTGCTTTTCACCACTAGAGAAGTTGTCTCCACCTTCCCTGCAAAGATTGAAGTCAGTTCGAGGCCTGAGACAGTTGAGTAAACTGTGACCTACGAAACGGGATTGTTTAGGTCCCGGAAGACGTTCTTGTTTCTCGCTTCATCGACATCTCCGACTTCAGCCTCTCCGGTAGTATCTTCTTCTTTAATAAGATGAACACGCCTCAGAGCAGAATAGATTTCGACATCGTCGTATTCTTCAAAGACATCGAGAGTTGAGCGCAAGGTTCCAGAGAGAATTGTCGGGTCTTGAGGAATGATAGTCAAGCGACTGCGCAAGTCCGTCAAGCCAATCTTGGATATATCCGCCTGATCTATGACGATTCGACCTTCGGAAGCCTCGACGAAGCGGAAGAAGCTCAAAGCAAGAGTGGATTTGCCACAGCCCGTAGGACCGACAATGCCGACCTTCTCCCTGGGCGCAATCTCGAACGAGATGCGATGGAGGACACTAGGCAAGTCAGGCTTGATGGCATTATGATTAGCTGACGTCGGGTGTCGTCCTAGATCTCTACTTACTGCATATCTGATCACAAGGTCCTCGACCTGAATGGCACCATTTTCGGGCCAAGAAGCGGCAGGCCTAGGCTCCACATATTCGGCAGCTTCGCGCTTCAACTCCGTGAACCTGTACAGCAATCAGTGATGTGCTTGCCATTGCCAGTAGGTTTTTTTTCCACGCACTCCTTCAGCCGCTCGATTGCAACCATACTCTGCTCCAACTGAACAAAACGTCTGACCACAAAGAGCAAGTCATGGCAGATGGTGCCCGCGAAAGATAGCGCGAAACCGGCCATGGCCGCATTGACACTGGGAGCTATCAAGATGGCAACCGCAGTCAATCCAACCATCACGGCACTAAGCAAATTGAAACGTGCTATCGAGTCGCATCAGTATATTGTAATGATGTGAGCTGAAAAGACTAACCTGAAAGCCATCGGTTCACGGTCCTGTACAATCATACAGGTCAACAGTCTTTCCCATATAGTGTAGAAAGATCTCACCAAGACCAAGCAAAGGCAAGCAAATTCGTGTCCGCAAGCTTCATCATGTTGTGCAAAGCGAGGGTGCCTTGGTAAGGTCAATCAGCCCGACGTCTACAAGGCGGAGGGACATAGGCTGAAAAACTCACTACCGCCAAATGCTCTAAGCACGGCAACTCCAGAGACAGTTTCACCAAAGAGAGAATAGAGCGGAGAGCGAGTGACCGAATCGAGCCTACGCATATCACGAGATGTTTGCCCATAGATTGAACCGGCTTGATAGTAGACGATCAGAACCACGCTATTTGTGAGCCGATAAGCATCAGACCCCGCCCATGACTTGACCATCACTCACCATCCGGCCAGTACAAAAGGTATACCCCCGACCCATGTGATGGAAATGAAGGTGATGACAACGTTCAGACCATACGCAACACTTCGAACAAAGTTGTCCGCCGTTGAGCTGTCGAGGCCTTCGATATCTTTGCCGAATCGGTTCAGAAGTCGACCGCGGCTGGTTGTGTCGTGGAAGCGGAGAGTGGAGAAGAGTACAGATTCAAGCATGGCTAAAGATTGCAAGTGCATTAGCTCCATCATAATTGATGCCTGTGAACCCACGTACAGTTATGTAACTTTCTGCTTGCCTGTAAAGAGCCATAGTAGATGATGGCGTACTGAATGTTGGCGGCAAATACACCGACGATGGTGATCTGTTCATGTTTAGTTTTGACAAATCCCCGTTCGAGCAACAAGACTCACAATGGAATAGCCCATGACATAGTACCGACTGGTGTGGCCACCATTGGAAGGATCAGATCCGGTCCAGTACCTAATACAATATTGTCAGATCGCAGTACGAGATTCAGCCAGAGGCGCACGCACTCTAACCAGCCCTTCTCACAGACTGGGACAACCATAGCCATGGCTAGAGAAAGCAAGAAGAAAGCCCCTGCGATAATGGGTCAGAGCCTTTGATTGCTCATGGGGATATGCACTCACACCACCAAGGTCCACCCAGAGCCTTTGTTGCATGTCAGCAAGAAAGAGACCGGAGTCATATATCGACTCACCTGGAAATACGTCTTCCACACATCCGCCGCGATCCGTCCTCGCGCCCGTTTCTCATCTTCGATAAGTTTTCGAGGGGGCTTGGATTTAGTCTCTTGAGCCGAACCGACCAAAGTCGCTTCATCCTCGGGAGCGAGAGAACTGGTCTCGGAAGTGGGTTCTGAAGGGTAGCCCGTGCCGGAAAGACTGACAACGCTTTTGTGAGCGGGTTTCAGGGCAGCCTCTTCAACGGTGGATCGCTCTTGCTGCTCCGCTTCAGTGGATTTGGCTTGGGCATCTTCCTCTTCCAGTTCCTCCAAAAGACCAGTGGCGACGAATTCGTCCCTGGACCCTGAGAATTTGACATCGCCCTGGAGAGCCACTCTGGTCAGTGATGCCGGTGAAAGAGACAAGGTATGACGCTCACATTCTCAAGGGCAACAATATAGGCAGCACCAGGGGAGACGAGGGCGACGTGGTGTGAGACAACAACAATGGTACGACCTTCGACAAGAGGCCCTTGAAGGCAGTTGTGCATTATAGTGTGGGCAGTGTGGGCATCAACAGCACTCAGAACTGGTCACAGTCAGCCGCTTATTTGGTGCTGGAGGTATCCACAAACCATCATCGAGAAGAAGGACGCCAGCACGGCTGTAGATCGCTCTGGCAAGAGACACTGTCGTGTTTTTAGTGATGCTGTGTCGCCCTCATTCTTTCACGCACCTCTGGCTTTCTGGCCGCCACTCAAGTTGAGGCCCTTTTCTCCAATCTCCCTGCGACAATACTTAGCGTTACATTCCCATCAACTCTATACCGCTTACGTTTCATCGCCGTCTTCCAAGATTTCCAGATCCGTTGTCAATGAGCAAGCCTCGAGGACTTGCTGATATCGCTCAGCATCCCAAGGGGAGGAAAAGATGATATTCTCCTTGATACTCTGGTTTTGCAACCAAGCCTGTTGAGGTACGTATCCGACCAGTTTGGGGACAATCCAATTATCAGCGCCGGTCCACCCTGCCGCATCTTGCATAGCGTCAGGCGGAGAGCGAGGGCAGACCATGTTGCCAGTGACGAGATCTGCCTCGCCCAACAATCCAGACAAAAGAAGAGTTTTACCGGAGCCTACGCCGCATCAGCAACAATTCGGTCACGTTAGGGTCCACACACCAAGTTTACCGCAGATCAATGTCAATTTGCCATTGGGAAACTGCAGGTTGAGATTCGCCAGAGTGAAAGCATCCTTGGGCGTGGGGGCTGCCGAGTGAAACACTTGAGTATCGGGCTTGGCTGATGCAGCGGAATCATCCTGAGGCCAAGTGAAGGTGGCCGAGGACAGAATGATGTCGCCCTGGCCGTCATTGTCCTGAGGAGTGGGAACTTCGGCTAGGGACAGATATCTCTCAATTCGGCGACAGGAAACGAAACCTTGAAGGGCCTGAATGAACGTTTCAGGGATGGCGTTGAGGGCGTATCTGCACTCTTGGATCAGCAAGTAATCGCGACGAGGAATACAAGACATACCGGAGTTCAGCAAATACTGCAACCGAGGTGAATGCAACCGAAGGTGTAAGAGTTTGGCCCCGCACAAGAGTGTAATGCTGGAATGGTGATTAGGGGGACACTTATACTGCAAGTCGGGGGCTCACCAAGAAAGACACCACAGTCACCATGACAGGAGTCAATGCCCAGATGCCTGAGAAGTCCTAGGGTCAGCTGCGCTGATTGTACAAGGAGTTTGACGAGACATACAATTGAATGCGACTTCGATTTGATAATTTCTGGCTTGCCAAGAAAGCTCGTTGGTTCGAATAGACTGTACACGAGTTTCGAAAGATCGTTCCCAAGCCATAAACCTATCCTTGCCGTCAGTAGACGGAAAGTCATCAGATATGATGCGACTGACTTGAGCATGCGTATGCCTTGTAGGATCTCATTCATGAGAGCTGTCCGCTGGTCCCGGTTCTTCATCAAATTTTCTTGCGCCCGCACGACAATTTTGGACGCAAAGTGGTTGAGGGGCAGGGATACTGTGAGGCGTCAGCGAATATGATGGCACCAGCAAAGTTTGATTTACAAACAGCAGTCAAAAGACCGTACATGGCGGAAATGCCAAGCAATTTGAAAACAAAGATACTCGCCCTGTTTCGTGATGAGCCTCCAGTACTGTAGCTTGTAGCAACTTACACAATTATCTCCAGAGGAGCATCGATGACGGCAAACAAATGAAACACAAATTCGGTGACCCTGTCCACGTCGATCGTGAATAATGACATGATCTGTGTCTTTGAGCTAACCCCTTCTTCATCTTCGTCACCGTCTTCTTTTTCGCCTTGAGCGCTCCTTTGCTTGTCTTTGGCAGCCTCATCCGCGACACCTCCCACTTGGTCCTTGTCACTGCCCTTTCCGGCGATATCCTTTTTCAACAAGGTTTTCTTGAAGAGCATAGTATTGAGCTGCAGCCTGATTTTGCCCTGGAGATAGGTGGTACAGATGGACCAGGTCACACCAGAAGCGATAAAAATCAGGGCGTTGGAGGTGAAGAGGCCGAAACAGAGGAGCCACCCCCAGGCCGGTTCAGAGCGGGTTGGATCGTTCTCCAAGAAATTAATGAAGAGCTTGAGAAGGTAGTGGGGGAGGTAATAGCCAAACGCGGTTGCCGTGGCCAAGACGGTTTCTGAGAAAGCGTATTAGTTGTTGATCTGTTATGGTTGACGGGATGTACTCACGAGCGACGAGAAGACCTATATTGACTTTGGCGAGAACCAGGAGCAAGTTGAACCCTTCCATCCTACCGAGACGTTCTTTGCGGTTGCCGTATGCTTTTTTTATTCGCTGGAATTGAACAAGGGCACCTGAGAAAATGGTCAATACATGATTGAATGACAAGGAATGGACTTGCGCAAAGTGGCGGGCAGTATAGGAAGATCCCAGACGTCCATGCTCTCGGCGACGTATCCTTTGCGGATGACACCAGTGGCATAGCCGAACAGCAGCCACTCGGGAACATTCGCCTGCACTTCTGGACTGACGTTGGCTTGCCTGGGGTCCAATGCTGAGGCGTCTTCCGGCACTGCGGCGATGATCTTGGATGGGTAGATGGCGTCGAGCGGCAAATAGAGAGGGGGGCCTCGTCGGACGGAAAGGATGGCTACCAGCGAAGGCAAGTAGAGAATGGGCAGAAGAGCCTTGAGCAGCCCGACAGGCGATTCGGTAATACTAAAGGCGAGAGCGTTGAATGCCGTGGGCACTACCGGGTCCGAAGGGAGGGGAGACGAGGGCAAAAGACTGAGGAATGCGAGGACCAAGAATTGGGTGGAGATGTCGACAGCCAGATGTATGGTCGTCGCCCAGTGAGAAGCCACATCACGCTGCGCCAGATGCCAATAACTGAGGAGCAGAGTAATGACCTGGGACGCAAGAAGCAGCACGGAAAGGGCGATACTTCTTTGTCGACTCTCGTCGTTATGTGCGTCGGAGACGATGCTGAATGCGAGGAGGCAAATGTTGCAGGCGAGGGGGAGAAGGTAGAGCACGAGCACGGCGAGCTTGCGCCTCCTCATGGCTGCCCAGAAGCGCTCTGGCTCGACTGGGGTGCCGTCTTCACATACTATGGGGTCGTGGATGTCAAAGGGGTCCTTTTGGTCGAGGAGGCCGTCGAGGGCTTCGCCGTTGTGGACGGGAAGGGCGATGGGCTGGGGGGCGAAGAGGGCGGTGATGGGCGAGGCGGGGTTTGTGGCGAGGTAGATGGTGAGGGAGGCGAGGGTGGTGAGGGGGATGGCAGCGGTGGCGGCGAGAGTGAGGAGGGCGTGGGACATGGCACAGCGAGTGCACGGGGGAGTATGCTCCAAGTATGCTCACTCAGACGAAGCATGCACGCACGATAACGCAAAATGACGGCGGGCAGTCGGCCATGTCCGGCGGTGGAGGCTAACATGGCGAGCCGACAAAACGCGTTTTCTTTTCTTTCGTTGTCCCTCTGACCTTTTTCATCTGCTGTTGTCCCAGAACGACGATGAAATACCTCTAGACCCCGTATTACATGTGCACTTGAAACGCCCACAACACGGGTAACGACCGAGAATATGCTGCCCATCCCGATGAGGTAAAGTACCCTGCTCGGTCGATATTGAGTGGTGGGGAATCATGCCGCCTTCCTTCCGAGTTGTGCAGTTGTTGGAAACATGATGATGGCACCGTTGAATCAGACTACTACGATCATTGGCTTCCATGGGTCATTGCTTCGTCAAACGCTTGTACGACGATCGATTCCCTGCTCCAAGTGATATACAGACTACTGTCGAATCATTCAATATATCACGACAGGAAGGAAGGCAGATTCGGCAGCTGCCTTCATTTGGTAGGCCGGTGTCATGCAGAGCTAACCTCGGTTGATCTTGAGCGCTGGAGAAGCACTACTTGCAAAGAGCAGATGCCGGACGTATGAGTCAGTCCGCTTTGATGGTGCAAATATAAGATAACAAGGACTTTTGATCCCGTCCTACTCCATTATAACGTCGTTGCCACCGACATCATCTGCGCTCCGTCTGAGCTTTTATATGTTCCACACGTGTACCGAATCCCTTATCGCACGCCCCCTGCCTGATCCTCTACCTCCAACTTCTCCGGCACTTGGCGGCCGCTTCGCTCTCATCCATTTCCGCGCCGAAAGTACAAGTACATAACCTCCTTCGACATCTTGCGGCGCCCCGCCTTCTCTATAACCAAGCTATGCGTCTCTCCCCCTCGACTGGTCTAGGAGTACCCCTCGCCCCATTTTGCTACCGGTATTGTGCTGATGACCCGTAGCTCTTCGCATCGAGACTGTTGACCTAGCAGCAGCTATCACAAAGACAATTTCGCTATGTACGTCTCGTCCCAGCGCTACCGCGACCACTCTTGCTGAGATTCTTGCCACAGCTTCCCTGTTAGCTCCTCGTCCCCAATGCCTTTCCTCGAGCTTATCTGCGAATTCTGATGCTCCTGCTGTATGCAAAGAGAGGGCAGTTGGAGAGCGAGCCAGTGAAATAGCTTTTCAAGCTTGCCTTCGTCTCCGCTAACTCCCCAATTTTCTGGTCAACGAATCTCCAGCCTCCGCCTGCTCTCTCCAATCCTTCTTCCTCCAGCAGTTATATCTCCTTCACCACCAGATCGCTTTGAAGATCACTTGGAGGCGAGCTCGCTGAGGATGTGTTGTTTGATGCGCAGGAGAGTAGCAGTCTTTATCGTTGAGACACGCTGGGTTGGATATTTCGAGGCTGCGTATAGTATAGGAGGGGTGTGATATTGGATGTAAAGTATGTCACATTTCGTACCTCTGCCGACGTTGTAGAAGAGGAGATGATGCAAGAACGGTTAATAACCGTTATTACCCATGGGCCCGGGTAGTCACGTGGGGGCGGTGTGGGGCGCCATGAGCCCATGACGCGTGTTCGCAGGTATATAAGCAGCAGAGCAGCAGCGCATCCACTCATATGCACCATGTCCCTCCCCAAAGCTATTCTGTACAGCTGGCCTTCCTCGGTCTGGAGCACTGGTACGTAAGCATATCCCGGATACCGCTCACCTCCCAGTCCCCAGGCTCTGCCTCATCGAGAAGGGCTACGCAGAGGACGAGTACGTCGTCAAGTATGTCAACATCTGTCAGTCGCCCCCTGCCCCCTTTTCCCCGCTGACACACCCCAGCCAAGGGCGAGGCAAGTACCCTCCAGTCCACACCACCCCCCACTGACACACAGCCCGCCGCAGAACTTCAGCCCGTCGTATCTCAAGTGAGCAGGCCGCACAGGCGCAGAAGGCCCGGCTGACAGCTTCGCCACTAGAATCAACATGAACGGTAGGCGGTACTTTGCAGGTCCAGATCGCGGTCTCTGATACATACCTTGCAGGCACCATTCCCACACTCGTCGTGCCGACCCTCGAGACCACAGGCGACGACGTGGATACCCGATACCGATCCTTACGTGATACTGTCGTCGGTCTTTCTCATGTCCGCCCTTGCGCTGGCGTATATGCTGATTGTTCTCCCAGAGCATCTGTGACTTCCTCGACCAGGCTCGCGGCGCCAACACTTCTCAGACCTCGTCCGAGAGGCCCGCCCCTGCTTTGGCTCCGGCCACGATCGAAGGCACGTTACACAGTGATCCTCAATAGTCTCCCTCTCATTTTTATTTAGCCAAGACGTTGTCCGACCAGGTAGTCGAACTCATACACCTCCCGGTCGTCGACCCCAACTTTATCGCCATTTCCGCCGTCAACGAAGCCGAACTCAAGGAAAAGGCCGCGGATGCTCCCGGCAAAGCTCTGTCTGCCCGTAAAGACGCCCTCACAAAATACCTTGCCGAGGCCCGCCAAGTTGTCGCTGGCTCTACCGTCGTGCCCAAGGAAGGCTCCACCACCTTTGACCAGCGGATCGTTCAGTTTCTGGAGGAAAAGCTCAGGACAAACGAAGAAGTTTGGAAGATCTACCATGGCGAGTCTGCGTCAGAGACACTTGACCAATTCTACGAGGTTTCCCAGAAGGCTTGGAGGGAGAGGTTGCCCGAGGCTTTCAGCCAACTGGAGAACTTGATCAAGGGCCCCTATGTTCTTGGTGACCACTTGGTATGTCTTTTTACACTGAACGCCTCGTACTGACACGGCCTTCCAGTCTCTTGCCGACCTACACGCAATCTCATGGTTGACTCGAATCGTGTCCATCGCCGGCGGCTTTCCAGATGCTAATGGTTTGGATTCTATCGAGAGGAAGACAGGCGCGAATCTGGGCGAAAAGACTAAAAAATTCTGGGATTTGTGGATTGAGAGAGAGAGCTTCAAGCAGGTTCTTGTGCCTGCGAGCTCGGCTTTCCAGGAAATGAAGTAGAGGCCGAAAGCAAGGCCTGGGTTGTAAGATACACGTTGGGAATTCAATTCAGTTTCACCCTGCTACGGGTCAGAAAACACGCAAAATCATGCTTTGGTGTATATGTTACATGTATATAACATAGCTATTAACTTCCACCCCCTGGCATAAGTCGGCGTTTATGTCCTGCAATCGTGTCGACTTGTTCATATGCCTTCACACCCTGCCCCCATCTCCCAGCACCTTTGCCCCACTCGTCCGCCACCCCCCACACATGTTGTTCTTTGATCACTGGCGGCAAAGCGTCGGCTTGTTTCTTGGTGCGGATCTTGAAGAGTAAGGGATCCGAAGAAGGCCGCTCGTCTTGCTTGGAGACGCTAGCTTCATGCCGCTTCTGCGTGTCGGCAAAAAGCGGTCTCTGTTGGGGACCGGAACGATCCACATCACCTTGCCAGAGTGTCCCGGAGAGAGGGCGCCAAGCTTCAGATGCGTAAGCTGCAGATGACGTGGTCATTTCTATTAGCCTGGATACCGCCCTCTTCTGTCGACATCATTATCATCAGTAATCTGTGATCCTCAACAATGACAAGCTCACATAGGCAAATTTTTCATCCTCTCCCGTCCAGATGCCAAGCACACTGAACGAGGATCCCTTCTTCTTTGCCTCTGTGTTTTCTCGATTTTGCTGGGACGATGTGAGGTTGTTGTAGTAACTGACATTCGGCCTGTACGGAACTTGCAAGGTAGCGGACAGGGCTTCAGCGCTCATCATGCGCTCGTTGGTAAGGGCTTCTTGTTCCTCTGATGAAAGTGCAAGAGCGTCGGGGAAAAACAAGTCGAAGGGGCTGGCCGGCGTTCGCAGATGCAGCTGACAGCGGGATTCGTCTACGAATCAAGTAAGAGAGGGGCGCCCAGTAAAAATCCAAGGGACATACAAAGAGCATCGATGAGGCTGATGAATCGCCTGGCTTCGTTTTTGTGCCGCAGATAGAGCGTTGGGACCTCGTCAATGAAGAACGTCTTGAAAGTCGACACCAGTGCGAGATAGTCTGCTGGGCCGAGAGCCTAGGTATGTGTGTCAGCTTTCTCGTGATTTTGGCTGAATTTCATACCTCTTCGCACAACTCTGCGAAAGTGAAGCGGCATGCAAAGTCGGAAGCCTTGGCAACTTTGAGTGGTCTCCCATAGACAGTGATGGTTCTCGATTCCACTGTACCGGATCAGATAGCGCAAGAGGTTCCACATGAATGACACGTACCTTTGCATCCCGATGTTGCCTCCTTCCAGGCCCCCTCAAAGCCAGCGTCGGCGTTCTCATACCACCTCGTCCGATCATCATTCACATCATTCACATCATTTAGACGCCAGTCCCTTCCGCCGTCTACCTGCACAACTTCACACCTCGCTTTCAAGGCGTCCAAAAAGCCCGAAAGACGCTCTCGTTGCACACCATGGTGATACAGATCTTCGGGCACTCTGTTGGAGCAAGTCACAATGACACCTCCAAGTCGCCAGTACCACGAAAGGACGTCTCTGATGAGAGCAGCTGCAGTGGCATCGATCAACTGAAACTCGTCAAAACTTTTGCAAATCAGTAGTGCCATGTCGTAAGAGCGAACGGCAACGCACTAGAGCACAGAGTATCGTAGAATCATTTTTCTGGCGACTAGAAACTATCAGTGCTTGAAAACAAGCAGCACACTCACTATTAAACGTCATCCCCTCTTCCTTTGTCCACATAACCCGCTCTTCACCTTGTTCATCCCATCTCCCGCCAGCGAACACTGATTTCCAGCCTTTGCGGCCCGCCATTTCCTTGTTCTGCATCACTTTCTCGTACTCTTCTTCTTCAGATGAACGATTGCGAGATATCTCTTCGAAGACTTGCTTGTAGAGCTCGAGGGTAAAGGCATGGTAATGCACTCGACATTTCGAGATGGGTAAGAGATCATAGAAAAGGGAGAGAAGAAGCGATTTGCCGGTCCCAGGTGGTCCTACGAGGCAAAATCCCTGATGCGCTGTTAGCTATGTGGTCGATCGTAACCACAACTCACCTTTGGGGTTGTGAGATTTGCCAGCTCTTCCTCGCCGCTCAGTACTCTGACTAATCCCTTTTCATCTTCACTGTTGGTATCGATCCCGAGTCCACTAGGCGATTTCTCCCGCAGGTTCCACCAAAAGGGACGTGGTTTCTGCTGCTGCGCTATGAAGGGAGCCACTGGAGATAATTTTGCGAGTAGCTCGAGAGGAGGAGAGTAAGAGCTAAGAGTCTTCAGGAGGTGCCGCAGCTGAACAGATGAGACAGATGTCGTCAGCATACAGAGCGCCGACATGCATCAGCGCGCCCACTTTCATGATGCAGCGGACCTGCTCGTCATCCCATTTTAGGCGTCCGTCTGCGACCAGCTGGCGGTAGAGATCGAGGAGATCTATGGAGGAGCGTGGAGATGGAGCGTCAGAGGTAAACCGGCGGGCGCAGCGGGAGACAGGGGACAATCGGAGGGGACGCGGAAGGGCGTAGCGCGTTGGCGATGTGACTTTGAGCATTGCGGGGACTCGGACCAGGGTTGTGCTGGACACTGCGCTAGACAAGATGGGACGATTCCCAATAAAGCTGCTGCATCTAATCTGATTAGACGCCTCGTTCCTGGTTCCTAAATCCACTATGGCTGGCGGGATGTTTACGTACGCAGGACGAGGGGCTTACGTCGAGCCAGGCAGACTGCACTCTGCAGTCCTGCAAGTGCAGATCCATCCCAAATTTGGAAAATGGAAGCAAAATCTTCCTCAACAAAGCACTTTCGGGAAGATACTCTACAGGGTATGCATAGTTGATAATGTAATTTCCCGAATGCAGAGATGATGAAATACGGTAAGACGGCTATATGCAGCTACCAGCTTTTTGGAAATCATGACAAAGATCGTTATCATTATCTCAGCCCCGAGTCCACGTTCCTCTGCTCTGCGCTACGTTCGACATTATAACTCACATCCCCCTGATATAGCTCAAACCTCTCCCCGTCTAGCCACGCATGGCTTTGATAAATTCAAAGAAGGTCTTTTTGAAATCCTTGGCCTGTTGGGTTGTCAAACTCGTGACCAACTGCCTCGCAATCTCGGGGGGGCACTGAAGTCTAGGCAAGAGGTCGTTCAGGATAAAGTCGACTGCTTCTTGACCTCGAGCCTGAACAGTGTTTCGCACAAGGACTGCTGCCTCATGTACGATCTGCGACATGTCAGCATTGATAGTTCCGAATGTAGCGTACTCACAAGTTGTCCACCCCGTATATTAAATTCGCTGTTTGCAGGCACCTCAAAGCAAGCGGGCAACAGTCTTTGGTAGATGAAATTCTCATAGCCAGGAAGGCACTGTTTAGCCCTCTGCTCCAATGAAATGGCATGAGTGCTGGGCTGCGCAGTCCCATTCGATACCATTTTGCTCTGAGTAGGCTGAGCGGTCTCGGCAAAAACAGAGGGTTTGGCGGCCGCTTCCGCACTAGTCCCCCAGGCAATCACGCTCCTTGAGAAGAAACCGAGCGCTAGTCTTTGAGCAGTGCCATCCGCATAGTCCTGCACCAAATTATAGAGAGCGGTAAGGACATTCTCAAACTCTGGCTTGTTGCTATCGGTGATGAAGATGCCGTCAAGGTTCTCGTTCATCAAAGTCGTGAAGAAGGAAAGGTAGGCGTCCTTCAGACGAGTATGGACCTGCGCCTCATCTGTGCCAGTCACAGGCTGCCCGAGAACGGCAAAGATTCGAGAGAGAAGGGGCAAGAGCAGCATGTCCATGGTCTCGAAAGAGCTTCCCTGTAAAAAGGTATCAACAATGATGCAATCACAAACTCGAGTCAACTTACCTGAAGTCGGTGCATCAGAAGCTGCAAGAACAGCAAAAAGTCGACCAATTCGGAAGGCTCAAATTCGATGACTACTGCTGACACAAAGCGTGGCACCAATTTGGCCACGGGGGTCCCGATGGCATTTGCGAATTGAGAAAAGGCGAAGCGTGCCGCATCTCTGACAACCCTCCTGCCTTTCAACTTTTCGATGGCCTGCAGCAGAGCCTCGGCCATCTGCATGAAGGGAACAGAGTACGGCAGCGATTCCACTTGGTTGTCGGGTACTATCGGGAAGCCCTTTGCGAAATGTCCCAAGGCTACTAAGTGGTGATGCACTTGCAGAACAGCCTGCAGGTCGGTCGGCTCAACCTGGGCTCTTTCTACTGCTGACGCCAGACCCGTGATCAGGGGTCCAGCGACAGCTTGGAGGAGCGACATTTGTTTGTCAGGGTCGGTTTTGGTGGCAAAGATGAGATTGCCGGATGCCTCAAAAAGATAAAGTTGGTCCGCCACGTATGTCTTGCCAGTGGTAGCCTTGAGCAAGGGATCGTCTTCCGGTCCTTCGATAGGAGGTAGTTCCGCAGTGATCACCATCAAGTCCTGTTGAAGATTAGCTTTACCAGACTGCCCAGATATACCAGAGACCTACCCTGATATTATCTAGGATAGGTGCGACCATAGGCTCGATGGTATCGTTCCTACACTCTTTACAGAGCTTAGAGAACAAATAGAAGCAGCGCCGCCGCACACCTTCGTCAGAGTTGTGGACACCTCTTGCGTCTAAGATGGCTTCGAATAAAGAAGGCAAGACATCCGCCTTTGGCTTCCAAAATTCTACGTATCGCACAATTATCTCAAAGTACTGCAGCGTCACACTGGGGTGGGGGTAGGATGATATGCCCGAGCCCATGGACCTGGTGAGGAGCTGTCCGAGCGCGGAGAGGGGGTAATTCTCATATTCAAATTTGTCTGAAGGATCGGCGGCGTCGGATGCAGATGAAGGGGTGGTGCGTCCACTGACTTGAGAGTCGGCCTTGTTTCGCAGCTTGTTACGCGCGGCTTTGGTGGCAACTTCCGGGGGCAAGTCGAAAAAGGCCGCTCGGGTGGCATCTGAGACATATCAATTAGACAACCGAGTATAGCTCCGATGAACTCACTTTTCGAGACTTCTCCAAAGGTGTAAACCAGATGCAACGCCAACTCGGCTTGTTGCCAAGCAACAGCACCTGCTCCCCCCGTCGTATAAGCATCGAGAGTCGAAGCCACAATTCTCGCCACAACCTCCGTGTGC